TTGGCCACTAGGAATTCAACAATGACCTTTAAGAAAGCAGTTTCAGTAGAGTGGTGGAATAGCAAGCAAAATACTGGGTAATCAGTAAGTAGAGGTATTTGATATGGACAATTTTTTTCAAGTTTAGCATTGAACGTCTATTCTAGCTCCAACAGTTGTCAGCTGGTCCATTTCATAGATACAAGACACCACCACCAACGTACTGAACAAAAATCTCCAAGTGAACACTAACCTTTTTCCTATACTTATAGCATGCTTTAGCATCTAGACACTGGTTCAACAATCAATTGAAATTTGGAATCAATTCTGAGTCACAGGAGACACTGGAACAGGACAGTCTAGTATCAAAGAAGGTGCTGTACTCTATAAGCAAAGCAGAATTGCAGTAGTTCAAAAGAAACGTGTGATGTGCAAATGTAGAGACTGCACTCCAGATGTTCATATTGACTATTTGTCCCCAACCTATGGTAGAGCCTTCCAAGCTTGTATTTGTCTGATCAGCCACAGTCAGACACACTGTACCTTGACCCCAACATAGTGATGTCATTTTGGTCCTTGAGAATGAAGAACAAAGGGGCAGCTAGGTGGTGCAGTGAATAGAGCTCTGGCCTTGGAGTCAGGAGGTTCAAATCCAGCCTCAGACACTTAACACTTACTAGCTGTGTGACCCTGGTCAAGTCACTTAATCTCGATTGCCTCACCAAAAAAAGAAAGAAAAAAAAAGAGAACAAAGAACAAACAGCCTACCACCTGGCTCAACAGAGGTAAAAGTTAGGTCAGAAATTCTGGTAATGAATTCTGGTAATGGCACCTTGCTTTCCCCACCCCAATCACTGCTCAAAAATTGGGAAGTGAGGAAATCTATCACATTCAGAGATGGGACTTTTTCAAACAGGAGAAAGTTGGGAATTTATCTTGGAGATCTGTTGCAGTTCTCATATCAGCCTTCCTGAGATTCAGTCAGGTATAAAGAATACGCTTCAATAATTCTCATTTAGACTTGGAGGTAGATGGTCATTGACTAATTAATCCTTGCCCTATCATCCAGTGGATGTCACAGAAAAATGTTGTTAACAGAAGTAATAATTAATAAGTAATATTAATAATAATATCATAATCTATGATAATGGGGTAGTGGTGTTTTTGTTGTTGTTAAGTCATTTCAGTCATGTTCATGACCTCATTTGGGTTTTGGGGTTTTGGGGGGGTTTTTTGGTTTTTTTTTTAGCAAAAATACTAGAATGGCTTGCCATTTCCTTCTTATTTTACAGATGAAGAAACTGAGGCAAACAGGATCAAGTGACTTGCCCACAGTCAAACAGCAAATATGTGTTTGGGGCCAGATCTGAGCTCACAAAGATGAGTCTTCCTAACTCAAGCCCAGCACTCTATCCACAACACCTAGTTCCCAATACATTGAAGTGTTAAACTAACTTTAAAACCCATCTGTGCACTTTGTTTCCTTACAAAGCATAAAAAAAAAATTTTCCAGGTGAATTGAAAAGGAAGCTTGGGATTGGCTACCTGGAAATCAGCCATGCCCTAGGAGGCTAAGGCTATCAGTCCTGAATTAAATGAATGAATGAAAAAGCATTTACTATATGCCAAGCACTGTATTAAGCAATGGAAATACAAACTGAAAAACTGAGATAGTCCCTGCTCTCAAACTTCTAACACTCTAATTAGAGGAGACAACACATAAAAGAAACTTACTCCCTGAGTACTCTTCAATCCAGTGACTCTGGCCTTCTGGCTGTTCCACCAACAAAACACTCAATCCCTCAGCTCTGAGCATTTTCTCTGAATATCACCCATGCCCGGGGGGGGGGGGCATCTCCAGTTATCCTGATCTATATCTTGCCACTGGACCCAGCTGGCTCCAAAAAGAAAATGAGGCTGGTGACTTTGTACAGCTCTCCCTCATTCAAATCCAATCCACTTGCAAGTCATAGCATCACCTTCCTTAAAGAATGAAGGACAAACAACACCCATGCCTGGAATACTCTCCCTCCTTCACTTGGACTACTGATCTCCCTGGCTTTCTTCAAGTCCCAAGTAAAATCACATCTTTTACTAGAAGCCTTCCTCAATCCCTCTTAATTCTAGTGTCTTTCCTCTATTAATTAATTCCTATTTATCTTATATTTAGCTTGATCTGTATAGATCTTTTTTGTATTAGATTGTGAGTTCCTTGAGGGCAGGGACTGGCTTTTGTATCCCCAATGTTTAGCACTGTGCCTGGCACATAGTGGGAGTTTAACAAATCAATGGATTGCTTGATCCTCATATGACAAAGAAAAATTAAAAATGAAGTAGGATAGACCAAGATGATCTGTAACTTCCCTTTAAGCTCTACCAATCTATAACTCTTTGTAAATTCCAGATATATAAGTTAACAATAGTCAGGGTAAGTATATAATTTCATATCATAGCTTAGTTCAGTATCCCTTCAGCTTCCAAGGGTAATAAAGTATAGAGTAAGGGCCTATAAAGTAAGTGGTGGCTGTGGGGCCCAATCTCTAACAAATTTGAGAATTTTTACCTAAACAAAGGGATGGGGTGTCAACTCATCTTATTTATGTGGTTTGTCATAAAAGCTAGCTTTATAGTTTGCTCTGCTGCAATCAGTCAGTTCTAGCTGCTTCCTACAAGAAATCTCTCCTCTTGCTAGCCCCTGGCTGGGCTTTCAAATGTTCTCAAGTTGCTATCTTTCTTCTGATCAGAAAGAGCAAAAGGAGAAATCTATTCTCTTCCTGGTTTACTTAACACTTTACCCTTACCTTCCAAAACAGTTCAACAGACATTCATTTAGGCATCTACTTTTGCAAAGCACTGTGCTAAGCTGAGATAGTATATAAAAAACAAACACATACATAAAAAACCCAACCCCTCAAGGATCTCACTTTCTACCAAGAAAAGGGTGTAACATATAAACAGATAAGTAAATATAACACAGTTTTAGGAAGGCAAGAACACTAGGGATAGGAAGATCAGGATAGGATTTGCATAGGTTGTACCTGAGCAAAGGCTTGAAAAAAAGCTATGGATTCTAAGAGGCAAAAATAGTGTGTTCCAGGCTGGCCTATGTAAAGTCAAATAGAAAGGAGATAGGATGCTGAGCTAGAGCATGGACAACTAAGAGTCCATGAAGGGAGAAATATGAAACACACCAGGCAGGGAAACTGGCATTTTGTCTAAGCAGATAGGTGGTACAGTGCATAGAAGGGAATTCTGCTTCAGACAATTCTTGTTTAGTTGAGTCTGACTCTTTGTGACCCCTTTTGTGGTTTTCTTGGCAAAGCTTCTGGGGTGGGTTTACCCTTTCCTTCTCCAGCTCATTTTACAGAAGACGACACTAAGGTAAACAGGGTTAAGTAACTTGCCTAGGGTCACAGCAGCTAGTAAGTTTCTGAGGTTGGATTTGATCTCAAGCCCAGCACTTTATCCACTGGGCCACCTACCTGCCCTAGTTCAGATAGTTACCAGCTGTGTAATCTTGGGAAAGTTAATTAACTTGTCTGCCTCAGTTCTGCATCTGTAAAATGGAGATAATAAAAGCACCTAACTGCTAGAGCTGTAAGTATCAAATGAGATATTTTATTTGTAAAAAGTGCTTAGCATAATGCCTGGCACATAATGAACACTATATAAATGAGGGCTATCATCATCATCATCATCATAGTCATCACTATCCTTGGTTCAAGAATCCCCCTCTGACTCTTACTATGTGTATGACCTGTCACTTAACTTATCTGGGCCTCATTTTCTTCATCTTTAATGTAAGGGTGAGGCTACGTTACCTCTGAGGTCTCTTCTACATCTAAGATCCTTGAATAAGAGGCATGACATGATCTTTCTCTTGAACTCTCAAGATGCGCATTTGAAGGAGGAGCCCCAAGATGAACTCAACTTCTCTTCCAGCTCTAACAATGTATAAAACTTTGAAAATTCAAGACACATAGGTAAGGAATAGACAAAGTGCATGTACACAGTTTAGTTCTCTATAGTATAGTATAATCAAGTACAGAGAGCTCCCTGGAAGATCTGATTTTATCAGTGGAAATGACATTAAAGATGAAGCCTTACTGCCTGCTTTGCTGCTGCATCCTAAGAAATCTTCCAAATGTGTTGTTCCCCCCCCCTCCCCACTTTAGGGGATGAGCTCCTTGAGGTCCGAGCTTGTCTTTTCTATCTGTATTCCCAGAACTTAGCACAGTGCTTTGCACCTGGTAAGCACTTAATAAATACTTCATTCATTCATTCAATTATTGGCAAAACTTGGCAAGTGTTTGCTAAGGCAGCTAGGTGGTGTAGTGGATCGAGATAGACTTGGATTCAGGAAGACCCGAATTTGAATTCCGCCTGAATCGCTCTGTCACCAAGAAATGGGACACCAAGGGTGTCCCTTAACCCGTCAGCCTCAGTCTCCCCTAGTAAACTCTACTACGGCTCTGCTACTTTGAAATGCAAGCATTCAAGGTGAGCGCTCGAGGGAAGTGTCTGGAGGAGGCTTCAGTTAAACTTGATGGCATCAGGGCGGCAAAGGCGTGACCAGGTAGCTTTTTTGAACTACGCAGGTGGGGTCAGAAATGGATTGGCCCGTAAGTCGGCGCGACCCAGAGCGAGCTGGATGTGGGCACGGCAGCGGGCTGAGGCAGGGACGGCCGCGCGCCCCTAAGGGCCCCGGGGAGCAGCAGAGGCCAAGGTCGCGGGCGCCCCGCAGCCGTAGCACCGGCCTCGGGGCTCCCGCCTCTCCCGCGCGCCTCTCCCGCACTCAGGCCCCCAGGCCGGGGCCCGCCCCCGGCTCCTCCCCTTCCGTCGCTGCCGCCGCCGCGAAGGAGCCGAGCGGGGCCCGGCCGAATCGGAAGCGCCTAGACCGGAACAGGCCGCCGGCCAGGCGGGCGGCAGGCGGGCAGGGAGGCGGGGGGAGGGAGGGAGCTGAGTGCGTTCGGCGGGGCCGGGCCGGGCAGGGCTGGGCCGGGGGAGCCGCCGGCTCACTCGCTGTGTGGATCGTCCTGCCGAGGCCGGAGCTGGCGGCGCCGTCATGAGGCCAAGCGCCCCAGCCGCCGCCGCCAACGCAGGGGCAGGTAGGGAGCGAGCGGACAGGAGGCGGAGGGTGTGGCGGGCGGCGGGGCCCGGCCCTACCTCCGCGATCGGCCTGGCCGGGCCCCCGGCGCGCCTGCGGCGGCCATCATACCCGCAGGGTCCGGAGGCGCCGGCGTGAGGGGGGGGTTGGAGGGGGAAGAGCCATCTCCACTCCCTCCCCCTGACCCCCGGCGAGTGTGGGGGCCGGGGCGGGCTGGGGTCGCGAGGTCCCCGCCTCGCCTCGGCGTCCCCTGGGGAGCGCGGGGCCCCCGCCCCCCGGCCTCCCCCCGGGGCTGGCTCCGGCACAGCTTCCCAGTAACAGGTATTTTTCGGAGACCTGGCATGGATTTTGTACCTGGCGGTGGCCCGACTCCTTCCGTCCGCCTGCCTGGGCCCCGGGGCCCAAGGGGAGAGTTTGCTTTTCAGAGATGGTCACTTGTGCTGTACTTGAGTGTGCAGTGCTGTGGGCAACGCAGGGGGTCCATCCCCAAGTCTGTAAGGGGGGGCGTCTCCCAAAGACACTTAGGGACAAGGATCCTGGTACTGGAAGGTACCTCCGAGGCTATCGAGGCCTTTACAGATTAGGAACCTCAAGCCCCTGGAGGTCCAGACTTGTCCGTGAGCGCACTGGCAGAAAGCATCTGCCTTAGGATGTCTACCTGTATCCTCTGACTACAGAATCAGTGGCCTTCCCCGCTCGTGAACTACTTGGAAATGATTTGGCCTAGACCTTTACCTTTAGGTGAATTATGTGAATAATCTCAGTAAACTGCCCAAGTAGTACGAACTAGAACAGAGACGGCATCATAAATGCTAGTTATCACCTCAACCCAGTCAGTTGCCTAAGGGAACCTTTTCTATTATTTTTCTTGTATATGCAACTTACCGAAAGTCATAGGTGAGAATTCTCTTGCACGGTTTTCCAAATTAGGATGAGTAACAAAGTACCACCTTGAGTAAGCATGAAACAAAATCAAGTTGAGAGTCAGATGACATAAGAATATAGGAATCTAGTGACGTATCACTGGACTGATAGGAGGGTAATTAATTAAATTTGTTGCTTGACCACCAAATTAGATTGACTTCTGAAGTATTCTTTAGCCTACATACATAAGAAGAGGTGAGGATTAGGTGCTTTTGATAAATAAAGTGATATCAACCTGCATAGTTATATCACTCTAAGTGATTTTTGAAGTTCTCAGTTTATTTCAAGTTAAATTTTAAAGTAATCAATCTCGTTGGTATTTAAAATAAAATTCAATCAATCACAAGCTTTTAACTCTGTGGTCAGCTTCTCATCCTACCTGTATTTAATTTATAAGTTGGTTAAATCACAGGATTAAAAAGTTCCATTTTCAGGCTTTTCCAGGAGCACTAATTAGCTATATAGCAGAAAATTGTAACAGTTGAGTTTGGAATCAGAAGACCAGTGTTTGAATCCTGGTTATGCTCTTTATTTCCAGTGTGACACAGGCAAGTTACCGCCTCAGTTTCTTCATCTTTACAATCAATAGACAGGTATTTATTTAGCACATACTACTATGCCTCTAGCATACCTCTGGGAGTTGTTGTGAGGATCAAATGAAGTCGTAATTTCCTAAATTGCTTAGCATGGTGCCTGGCACATAGTAGGCACATAATAAATGCACACACCCCCACAACACACACACACACACACCCCCACTCCCCTGCCATACACTATGCTGGCAATACACAGTTAAAATAATTCTCCTTGAGAAGCTTACATCCCATTGTGAATAAAGAGGTTTCTTCCTTTGAGGTGCCTTCTTACTCTAAACCGAGAGCCACAGATTGTACCCTTGGCTCAGTGAACTAACTGCACGCTAGTGGTCGCGTGGAGCCAAGATAAAAATTTGTGGGGATTAATAATTAACATATAACTCTTTAAAGTTTGCTTTTATTTACTATACATAAGAACCCTGTGAGGTAGGTGCTATTATTATCCCCATTTTATAGGTGGGAAAACGAGACTAAAGAGGTTAAGTCTTGTGAGTTTTTTAGGGTCACATAGCTAGTAAGTAAATAAAATTTGAACTCATATCCTAGGTCCAGGGTACTACCACTATGAAACCTAGCTGCCACAGGGAAGTAACAAAATACCTCCCCCCTTGTTTCAAGGGTTGGGAAGGCGGGAGGGGGGGGATTTTATACTAAAAGGTCATTGAAATTGATAGATTTTTTCACCTTGATTTGCATAAAAGTGTTTAGTGAACATTGAAACTGATATATAAGGGAATAACTAGCCCATAAGAGATTATGAAAAAAGTTGACTTCTTTGAGAATAGAAGGTAATGTTTAATAATCTCTTCAATTATATTCTTCCAGAGAATAAAGTGTTTGGAAACTATATACACAGACCAAATGTGTCTCCCCAGTATTGTTAATTTTACTTTTCAGAAATGATTCAAAGATTTTGTATGGAAGTTCTAGAAAGTGCTTTTTTAATATTCATACAGGTTGCCTAAAACTTTGAAGATGACTGTCACAAGTAATTTGCCAAGTTAACCACCTGAATACTTTTTGTTTCACTTCCTTGACCACCTTATGTTAATAAAGTTTTTGTCTTTTTTTTTTTTAACTTCAGCAGTACTTTGAAATTGATGTTGGACATGATTATCACCACACTTCATCAACGCACATAAATTATTTTCTCCTCCTTTTGGATAATTTTTTTTATACTACAATGGTAAGTTTCATCTTTTGAGGTAAGGGGCCTGGACTGGTGATTTTATTGGTTTAGGGAACCCCTCTTTAAAAAAATTTCCTCTGCTAGACAGACCAGCAGCTATTCAGCAACTTAAGAGTCTCAGAGGCTTGCCTGGGGCACCAAGAGGTTAAATGACTTGTGTAGAATCACACAGCCATTCTGTTTCATAGGTTTGGACTTAAGCCCAAGCATTCAGAGACAGAGACCAGGTTTTTATCCACAACTCAAATGTCTCTCAAAGTGAATTTTGAGGCAGCTAGATGACACAGGAAATTGGGCACTGGACCTGAGTCAGGAAGACCTAAGTTCAAATCTTACTTGAAGATGCTACCTATTGAATGCTGGGCAAGTCATTTAACCTATTTGCCTGTAAAATAGAGATAATAATAGCATTTACTTTGTTATGAGGATAAAATCGGTCAGTAAACATTTATTAAGTGACTGCTATGTGCCTGACACTGTACTAATCACCGGGGATAGAAAAAGAGTCAAAAAACAATCTTTCCCTTTAAGGAGCTTACAAGGGGAGAGACAGCAAGCAAACAGATATGTGCAAACAATATATACAAGATAAATAGGAAATAATTAAAAGAGGGAAGGCATTAAAATTAAGTTGGGAAAGGTCAGAAAATTAAAATTAAGTTGGGAATTAAAATTAGGTTGGGAATGACTGTCTGAACAAGGTAAACTTTTAGTTGGAACTTCATGGACAGCAGAGATGAGGAGAGAGTTCCAGGCATGGAGGACAGTCAGAGAAAATGCCCAGAGCTGAGAGATGAAGTTGGCTTATTCATGGAAGAAACAGGAGACTAGTGTCAGTAAGTTGTAAGAAGACTGGAAAGGTAGGAAAGGGCTAGATTATGAAGGGTTTTGAATGCCAAACAACCTTTTTTATTTGATCCTGGAGGTGATAGGAAGCCACTGGGATTTATTTGGAGGGGGAGGGTGGTTAGCCTGATCAGACCTGTGTTTTAGGACAGTCACTTTCATGGCTGAATGGAGGATAGATTGGAGTGGGGAGAAACTTGAAGCAGGCAGACCCATCAGTAGGCTATGACAATAATGAAGACATGAGGGGATAAGGGCCTGCACTAAAGTGGTGATATTGTTGGAGAGAGAAGGGCATGTGAGAGATGTTGCAGAGGTGAAATCAGCAGGCCTTGGCAACAGATTGGGGTGGGGGGAGATAGTGAGGAATTCAGGATGACTCTTAGTTGTGAGCCTAAGGAACTGGAAGGATGGTCTTGCCCTCTACACTAATAGGGAAGCTAGAAATGGGGGTCGAGTTTAGAGGGAAAGGTAATAAGTTCCATTTGGGACATAATGAGTTTGAGATGTCTGCTTAGACATTCAAGATGTCTAAAAGGCATTTGGAGTTTGGGGCAGGATAGAGATGGTAATTAAATCCATGGTAGCTGATGAAATTGCCAAGTAAAGTAGCATAGAGGGAAAAGAGAAGAGGACCCAGGACAAAATCCCTAGGAACACCTATGGTTAGAGAGCATGTTCTGGAGAAGGATCTAGCAAAGGAGACTGAGAAGGACATGTCAGATAGGTGGGAGGAGAACCAGGAGAGAGCTGTGTTTTGAAAACCTAGAAAGTATCAAAGAAAAAAGGGTGATCATCAGTATCAGAGAGGTGGAAAAGAATGAGGATTGAGAAAAGGCCAATGGATTTGACAGCTAAGATCATTGGTAACTTTAGAGAGAGCAGTTTTGGTGGAATGAGATTGAAATTTGGATTGTAAGGCTTGGTCAAGAAGTGAATGAGAGAAGAGAAATCAGAAGTATCTGTTGTCAACAGGCCTTTTCAAGGAGATTGCCCACAAAGGGCAGAAGAGATATAGGATTATAGCAGAGATGAAAGAATCAAGTGAGGGATTTTTGAAAGTGAGAGAGACATAGGCAAGTTTGTAGGCAGTAGGGAATGAGCCAGTAGAGAGGGAGAGATTGAAGATAAGTGATAGAATGTGGTTGACAGAGGGGTTAATCTTTTGGAGGAGACAGGATGGAATGGGATCACTTGTGCGGTTGGCAAAAGGGGGCTTTGGTGAGGAGTAAGGCTACCTCATTATGTGAGACAAGGATTAAGGAGGAGTTAGAGGCAGAAGTCATCTTATTGGGGGGGGGAAGATGGAGAAGAGGGAGCTCTTGGACAATGACCTCAATTTAATTTTGGGGGGAGGTTTGAGTAAAGTATGAGGCAAAGTTCTCAGCTGAGGGGAAGCAAGGTTGGTGGGAGCCATGAGAAGTTTGAGGAGATATGAAAATTGAGATAATATCTGTATTCACAAACCTTAAAGCACTATATAAAAATGCTAGCTATTCTTATCTTAAGGTAGAGGCAGTTAGATGGCTCAGTGGCTAGAGCACTGAGCCTGGAATCAGAAAGACCTGAGTTCAAATGTGGCCTCAGAACCTTACTAACTGTGTGACCCTGGGCAAGTCTCTTAACCTGTTTGCCTTAAACAACTGGAGAAGGAAATGGCAAACCATTCCTGTGTTTTTGCCAAGAAAATCCTCTACAGAGTCACACAGAGTCAGCCACGACTGAACAACCAAACAATTATCTTAAGAAATGTATGTTCTCTATGAGCATGGCAGCAAGTTTTTTGTGACATAAAAGAAGTTGCATCAGAGTATATGTCAAAGTGCTTTTGGAGTAATCTAGTTGGAAAGTACTTTAGTAATCACATGCAAATTTTCTACCTCATGATTAACATATCTATATTATATACACATCTTTTTTTTTCCTTTTCTGAGATCTTTAGCATATACTAAAAAGTTAAGCATTTACTTTTTACACATAACAGGAACAGAAAAGTTTCTAGTCATGTGTATTCTTTCATGTCTATTAACCCAAACCCAGTGCTTAACCTGATGCATTTCTGCTTCTGCTAAGCTACTCTTAGCAGTCACACTTAGACAGTAGTTGACCTTTTTTGGAAGTAAGTTCCTGTTGTACACTCTTAAAGGGCAAGGAACCCAAACACAAGAAACATTAAGAAATATATTTTGATGGGTTAACTGATCACCTCACTAGCTGTATTGGGAACTCACTCAATGATAAGCATTCACATTTCCTAATTAAAAACTTTCTAAAGACTGTTGAAAAAGTGAAAAAAAAATTAAACTGCTCAAACATATGACAGCATTAACCATTTCATTCCAATTAAAGTTAACATGTGAAGGAGGATACAAATAAGCACTGCACATGCTTATATTTCACTGGGTAGATTTGCTTTTTTGCCCTAAGTTGATGTCATATGTAATACAAGGCCAAAGTCTTTGTTTCATATATTGGAACCTAGTTTCATAAATTTTTACATATAGAGTTGTATTTGAATCTTGGGACCAAAAATATTAGAGCAAAGCATAATAATAATCAACCTTCACAAAGTTCTTTAAGGAACACAAAACATGAGGTAGCATCATCTTATGTAAGCAGCATTATCTCCATTTTTTACAGATGAGGAAACTGAGGCCTAGAAATAAAGTAGTTTGCCCTTGGTTACGCAGCTAGCTATTCAGTATTAGTGTGGAGATTAAAACTCAAGTTTTCTCTCATTTCAGCAAAGTTTCAGTGATAGCATGCTTACTTATTAAGCATTTGTACTTTAGGTGGCTCTGTGGATAGAGTGCTGGCCCTGGAATCAGGAAGACCTGAGTTCAAATTAGGCTTTAGACATTTAATAGTTGTGTGACCCAGGGCAGGTCTGTTAATCTGTTTGCCTTAATCCATTGGAGAAGAAAATGGCAAATTTAATCTTTGACAAGAAAAACCCATGGACAGTACAGGCTCATGAAGAATTGGATATGACTGAACAGTAACTTTAGGGGAAACTTAGAAAAATGTGATTTCATGTAAAGTTTTCTATAGATGAAGACCTCAATTCATATTCTTAACAAAATTTTTACAGAGTTTCAGTAGGAGTTTTTACTCTTTGTAACCATTTTTTTTATATAAAAACCTTGCATTTCAAAGTCATGTTAACTTTCAAAGTGTTTGAAATTTATTAGTTAGGTGTTTGATAATATGTATTACTATGAACATTACTTTTTGGTTATAGCCCAAATTACAATTAAAAAAAAAACACTGCAGAATATCTCGAGTTCAGAAGCAGTGCATGAGTTTCCATAGAATGGGAGAATTTGATTTTGTCATGGGGGAGGGTCAGCAGATGTAGTTAAGTTTTGTTTTTTTTTTCTCCATGTAACTTTAGAGGATGTGTTAACAGTAGCTTGTAAGGCTGAAGATAATCTGGCTCATAAAAATTTTTTAAATGGAATTAACACATATTTTAGTGTTTAGGAATGAGGTCTACAGACCTAGATCTGTAATTTGTTCTCTTTGTATATGCAGTAAAGATTATTCTATTTTAAAATACTTAAGCTTCAACCATTACTATGGGGCTGGAAAGAGAAAACATTTATGAGACTTTGTTAAGCCAGTTATGAAGACACAGATGTTTGTCTTCTCCCTCCTTTCTTGTATTCAAATGAAAGGTAACTCAGAAAAAATTTCGAGAGGTCATCAAATCAAATTCTGTGACAACAGCTTTAGGTGTTGATGATGACCAGGAAATATGTAACTTTGTGAGTAGTTTCTTTTATCCTTGTTGGCATTCACTGACATGTTTTTATTCATTCCTAGAACAAAGTGTACTTTAAGAAAAATTTTGCAAGATTGAATAATTTTTTTTCATTTGATGTATTTTTCTGCCTTTCTAACTAAGATAGGTATTTGAGTTAGGTAAGGGTGGTGGTGAATTTAAGAAAATTCTTGGATCACCCCCCAAAAAAAAGGAGTGAATGTATTAGATTAAGCAGTCTTTCACTCAAATGCTTATTACATTGTTTATTATTAAAATAATCAAGTAAATTTTTTTTTCAAATCATTTTACAGCAACAAGCTTTAGAATTAGCTTTGGATCGTGCAGAGGTAAGAAATAGTTATTGAAATTTTGTTACTTAAATAATTTTGCTTCAGGTGAATATATTGGTTGGTTCATTTTCCTTTTTAAAAACAGTTTTTATGGATGTATTTTGTTGTTTTTTACATCACTACACTTTCTTCCAAAATTCTTTTTCTTCCCCCTTTCAGACAGCCATCCCATGTAACATATATAAAAATAAGCATAACTGATCAATGCATCAAAAAAAAGTCTGAAAACATGTGCAGTGTACAACACTTGTGGACTTCCTACCTCTCCAAAGAGGTGGAGTGAATGATGTCTTCTCGTGCAAGTCATCCTTGTTTTTTAATTTTGCAGCATTCACTTTTGATTTTTTTTTAATGGTTACTCTTTTCATTTACACTGCGGTAGTCATATTTTTTTTCTTGGCTCTGCTTACTTCCTTCTGCATCAGTTCATGTAGATCTTTCTATGCTTTTCTGTCTTCATCATATGCATAATTTCTTCCATCTCAACAATATCTCATTACATTCATATACCACAATTTGTTAGCCATTTCCCAATCGATGGGCATCTACTTTGTTTCCAAATTTTTGCTATCACTAAAAGTACTGTTATAAATATTTTGATGAATATGAGGACTTTTTAATTATTCGTGGCCTCTTTGAAGTGTAAGCTTAATAATGTAATCTCTGGGTGAGACGGCACGGAACTTTAGTCACTTTATTTACGTAATTCTAAATTGCTTTCCAAAGTGGTTATACTGATTAGCAGTTTTACCAACAATGCACTTGTATGCCTATTTTCCCACAACCCCTTCAACATTTACTATTCCTATCTTTTGTCATCCTTGCCAATTTTCAGGGTGTGAGGTAATAGTTATTTTGATTTGTATTTTATTAGTGTTTTGGAGCATTCTTTCAAATGTTTGTTAATAGTTTGAATTCGTCTTTGAAGAACCATTTGTTCAAATTCACTGTCCACTAAACTGCTAGGTAATAATGACTTTTGGTGGTGGGTGGTGGTAGTGGTATGTGGGGGGGTGTGTGTGTGTGTAAAGCAATTAAGAGATATCAATAGATAGAAATATATCTGTTCGTTGTTTTTATATCTTGGATATCAAATGCTTTTCAGAAGAATTTAATACAGAGGTGCATTGATTTTGTTTGTGCCGAAGTTTTTCATACAGTCAACACTATTTTAACTTTTACAATTGTTTCTATCCGTTGTTTGGCTAAGAATGCATTTCTTACCCATAACTGAGAGGTTTCTGTATGATCTATGTTGTAGTAATGTTCAAGTAAGTATTTTTTAGGAGAAAAACTTAGGATATAGTTAGAATCTAGATATGATATAATTAAAGACCTACTATGGAAGGAAACTTTCAAACAAAGGACACTGAAAACTTATTAAGACAGGTTTTACAACGGTTACAAGTCTTCCATTTCTTACTTGGTTTTCTAATCATGTACTTTTTATATAGTAGGCCCCCACTGATTTGTTGAATTGAATTAAATAATTTTGAGGAGAAAATAATGGAAATTAAGAAGAATGTTAGCAATTGAATGTCCTAATTTCTAAATGAATAAATCATAAATATTCTAATAAAACTCAGGAAAGTTACACAACTTCCCAGCAATGAGATAGATGGTAACTGGAAGTTATGGAGTCTTTTTTACATCATATCATTATAAAATAATTTTGTTGCCAATTGCTCCTGTCATTTAAATGTTAATGACAATATTGTACTATAACAAATAGGGTTTTTTTATAAGGCATAATTTAACATACATCAGAAATTTGCCCATACTTTTATGGTAAGTCACTGAGAAATACATTTGTAATCTTACATATTTGTTTCAGTTATAAAACAAAAGAAATCAGTGTTTTCATAGACTTCTTTTTTTCAGTATGTCATTGAAAGTGCCCGTCAGAGACCTCCTAAACGGAAATATTTATCTAGTGGAAGGTGTGTACACTTAAAAAATTTTTATAGTATAGTTTATTTAATATCAGATGTTTTATGATCATTGTCATAGTTACATTAATTTTATGATTTTTTTAAGGAAATCTGTATTTCAGAAGCTATATGACTTATATATAGAAGAATGTGAGAAAGAACCTGAGATAAAGGTAAATAGAATTTTTCTTCATTTGGCATTATACCTATTGAAATGCAAGGGAAATAAAGAGTAGAATTATACAAGTAATGACCTTTTAATTTTTAACTTTCTTAGAAGGTACCCTTCTCTTTGAATGTAACATTGTATTTTCAAGGTAAATTTCAATCCAGTTGTATAGGTTGTTGTATAGGTTGTTTTAAGGACCTTATCATCCTGGCTTTAAGTACTTAGGGCTAATGACAAACATGAGGAAGATTGTATTTCTAGGAGTAAAGAAGCATATAGCAGAAAATTAAGAACTAAAACCACAGGACTGAGGTGAGATGAAATTACCAAACCATTTCCTTAAGCTTTTTCATGGAAGGTAGATGACTCCTAAGGTGACTCCTGTGCATTTAGAAATGAATCCAAAGGTAAATTAGTAATTGATCATCTTAAAAGTGAGCAGATGGTCAGAAAAATTAGCTTTAACTTTTTTTAAAAGTGTATAAAAGATAAGAAAATTAAAATATAGGCACTAGAAACAGTTAATCCAACTAGTAGGTAATCTACCTAGATCTGTTTGGAGCCACGTTCCCTAGGCCAGTGCTTCTCAAGAAGGTATTTGTTCAACTCTGTTCCATGTTAGACTACTAGGAATTCCCTCTATGTTGCAATGGATTGTTTGGTTTTTTTTAGTACCATAGAAGTTAATAATGGGGTACTTTTATTTCCCAGAGGTTCTGCTAAAAACTTGAGATAGTTAAAACCAAATATAATTTGTTCCTTTAAAAAAGTTTTTGTTTTGTTTTGTTTTATTTTAATTTTCAGGATGTTAAAGCTCTTTATTCGAGAATGGCAGTATACCAAGAATGATAATTCTCCCAGTGTATTTAGCTAAAAGTCTCACAGAAATTTGATAGTTGATCATTCTGTAGTTGAAAATAGTGTTTCTGATCATCTCAAACACATTTTTTACCTAGATTAATACCTTTCCAAAGCATAAAAATCTAATAAAAATAATGTTGGTTTTGTTCTTGAATGTGTTCATTTCTAAGATAAAATACTGATGCCAATTTAAAATATCTCCTGCGGCAATTTTTTTAATGGGAATTTAAGAGTAATTTGATTCTCATTGACTCTGAAGGCTAAGAAAATTATGCAAGATGTATAGAAAATCATCAGAACTAGCTAACTTCTAACTAATTCAAAGAAAGTATTTTGTATTATCTTTTGCAATTTGAGGAAAGAAAAAAAAAACACACTGGGCCAAAACCCCAGGATATTTTTCATATAATGAATTTTAGTAGAAAATAAATGTCTTCACAGTAGTGCTGATTTCCGTAACAAAATTATTCAGATTTATACTGACCCAAGTTCTCTTTGAAGAACATGTTGGTTTATTGACATGCAAAGTGTTCCTGAGTGCCTCTTTGCTTAAACTGTGCCTTATAGAATTAGTTACTCTAGGAATTATATTTATTTAACTAATTGTTGAATGTTCCAGTAAGTAATCTTGGATTGATTTTTCCAGAAGAGTGACTTATGAATCAAATAGTTTTAATGATTATTTTCATGAGCTGTGTCTCCTTTTAAAGCAGAAGCTGAGACGAAATGTGAACTTGCTAGAGAAACTTGTTATGCAAGAAACACTCTCCTGTCTGGTAGTCAATCTATACCCAGGAAATGAGGGCTATTCTCTGATGCTCAGGGGAAAGAATGGTTCGGGTAAGTACTGTAAGCATGCATCACTTGGCTTTTAAAGTCTTCTAGTTCAGTACGACCTGTCAGAACTTAAGTTCTACTGGTGTAGCTTTTGAAAACCCAGGTTCACCTGTACATTTCTAAGACTAGTAAAGGAATTTATATGAATTTAAGCATTTTAAAAATTTAGGTCATAGATTACGTAATACATTTTAGCGTGGTGAGTATTAAGGTTTGGATTATTTTTAGAACATATGTAGGAATTCTGCCAAAAAGTTTTCATTTTATATTGGTTTCAAATTCCTTTTGTAGTTGTGATATCAAGAGAATTGTTATAAGTGACCATTTTGTAGATGAAAGATGAAGTCATCAACATACTTTAAGTTTTATTATGATGAAATTCAAGGAACTATCAGCTTCTTTGTTTGGAATTTTCTTATGTTTAATTCAGTAAGTGTTAAGTGCTCCTATGTAAGATATAGACCATAGTCCCAAGGACATAAAAGCCATTGAAATTATTGAATCTTTTTAACCAGTAGGCAGTTGCCTAGAATTTGTATTATGTTTTATATTAATAATTTTTTTGAACTGGTGTTGATTATGGCAGAATTGATCTTGTACCTGTTGGTTAGATACTTCCTAAGAGATTTTATCCTTTTTTTTCCTTGCCCCATACTTTTGTGTAGTTTATCATTCATCCCTTGCTCTTTATTCCCGTTGCCCCATCCTAATAGAAGAATTCATTACACTCTGTTCCACACCACCCCACCCCTCTGCTCCCCCACCTCCTCTAATCCATTTATAATACTGGTTTAATTTTTCTTACATATCTAGTTGTGCCATTCTTCTTCAGAAAAGTTCAGTAACTCCCTGTGGCCTGCTAAGTAAATTCTTCTGCCTCCTCCCTCCCAAAAAAAACAACAACAATGTTTGAACTGTTGTTTCCATGGCTTTCTTCATTTGGTCTTATGTGCCCTTGTTAGGCTGCCCTTTTCTCTTGTCCTGTTGAATTTCTTCCCATTCTTTAAGCATAACACAAATGCCACTTTTCCTCAACTTACTTCAGTCATTGACAATGTTCCATCTCCCATGGCACTTTGTCTTGCAACTTTCCAGTGGACCTAGTGTGTAATGCACTGTATTTCATCATTATTTATTTGTACTTTATCCTCTTGTTACACTTATAAGCTCTGAGAGAGCAGAGAACACATCTAATTTAAATATCCTATCATCCATAACCTAGCATAGTGTTGACTGAGTGGAACCTAAATTATTAATTCATGTAACTTAAGTGAAGAGGAACTTCAGAACCCTTTTAAATGAACAGCTTTATGTTCATTGATCCTTTCATGTCTGCTTATGTTCCCTTTGGAGAAAGAGCATTTAAATTAAGAAAGTGTACTCTCACTTTACTTTATCCACCAGTTTTACTTTGTCATTTTAAATGCAGATTCTGAAACCATTCGCCTGCCTTATGAAGAAGGAGAACTGCTTGAATACTTGGATGCTGAAGAATTACCGCCAATTTTGGTTGATCTCCTGGAAAAGTCTCAGGTGAAAAGTATTTTCTCTTTACATTGCCTTTTTATTAGTCACATGTTTCCTTCGGCGGAAGACTCCATTAATGTCTTAACAACTAACTGCCTTTAGAAAGTGGAAGGAGTCACCGACCCTTACCAATGGAAAGTTGATTTGCTGTAGAATCTGGAATGTTTTTACTTTCCTGTAAAAAGGCTGAATATTGTTGTTAATAGGTTGCTGTTTGCTGCATCTGACATAAATAGACTGAGTCAAGTGCTTCCTACTAAAGTCATTGTCACATTTACCTCACCAGTTATCAGTCACCTGTCGGAAAATAATTACTGATGTTCCTGGAATGAGCATGACTTAATGTTTGGGGACATCCATTTGCGTAAACTTAAATGTTCTTGCTGCAGGCAACGTTTTTGGTATTTGTTAGACTAATATAAAGAAAGCTTATTCTCTTACTTATGACATCTATTTAACTCCTATGATAATCACTTTTCCTCTTTTATTAAGCTCTGAATCTTCATATCTTTTAGTGAAACTTCTTAAGTTAAGTTTTTTATTTTTTTTCCTACAATGAGACAAAAAGCATCAACCTAGTTTAAATGTTTTATGCTTTTAAGCATTTCACCACAGCCTCAAAATCTTGATTCAGTCTTTAAGAAAGTAGTATTTTCCCCCCAAAAAAACATTTTTTTTTCTTCTTAAACAGGTTAATATTTTTCATTGTGGATGTGTCATAGCAGAAATACGTGACTACAGGCAGTCTGGGAATATGAAATCTCCAGGTTACCAAAGCAGACATATTCTCTTACGTCCAACAATGCAAGTGAGCATTTTTCAGTTAAATTCTTAAATTGTACACTGCTGTTTTAATTGCATGTTAGTGTTTTAATTGCATAATTTATTCCTATGCTCATGTGTTTTTATATAGATGTGCTATTTATTTTTTTCCAGACTTTAATCTGTGATGTTCATTCTATAACAAGTGATAATCATAAATGGACACAAGTAAGTTCAGCAATTCTTTTTTTTCCTAATAGAGCACATACTTAAGGCATAAAGTAAAAATTGTTGTCATCAAAAGTATAAGTTAATACATATTGATACATATTCGTATTTCAAGGTCATGAAGCAAAATTTCTCCCCACATTTCACGTCCTTAAACAGTCCAAGATGCTCTCTTTTGGGTTTAATTATTCTGGACACATTGGACTTACCTTCCTCATCTTGAATAATCTCTAAATTAAAGATTTAATTATGAAATCTAAAATCCTCTAACTGATCAGTTAGCCTCATATTAGTGGTCTTAGAATATTTCAAATAATAGTTATAGTCACTTATTCCTCAAACCTTAGAGCTCAATTAGTCCATTTCCTCCTTTCACCCCAGCTTCCATCCCATTCAGGAAATGCCTCAATAATCCAGCCCCTTTTAAAGAAAATAACTATTCAGTGTAGTAATTTAAATTATTCTTTCTATGGCATGTAATTATAAAAGAATCAGTAGTCATATATAAAATTAAGAAGACATTTCTTCCCTGGAGAGAACAGCAACTTCCCTGTTCGTTTCACAATGTATTACAGAGTGATAACTGTATGAACAAACTATGCTTATTTCTTTGCAAAAGTACTTGTTTAGCCAAATGATTAATTAGCATTAGTAAATATCAGTTCTAGATTTAAATTTTTTGAATGATGGTGCTTTTTAAAAATGCAATATTCAGTTCTAATAAAAGATTCAATAAAGTACTTAGTTTACTTAATGACAATCAAAACAAATACATACATATACACACACATATATGTACACATATACACACATACATAGTCATACACACCCTTTTTTTTTTTTTTTCCTTAAACAAAGCTGAATGTTTCAGTTTATGCAGGACAAGTCTAGTTAGCTTTGTTCTGGTAAAATCCTTAGGTGCTGGCCAAACTGCCAAAATTACATTCTAATGTAATTCTTTATCCTGAACCTGTCTCTTAACTGTGAAGAAAGCAAAGTAATCTATCATCATTGTTCATTTTGGACAAATAATTCTGATATGGCCGTTTTGTGAAACTGTACGAATTATTGTAGTATCAATGGGAGTCTTTTTATGATGCCAAATCCTTAAACTCTTGTATTAAAATTCTAAAATTAATATTTCATTTCATTCAAATATGTTTGAAGGTACAAGAGTGTTTAAAAGTCTTAAATGTCTAGGTTTATAATTTTAAAGTTTTGAAATGTCTCCAATGTGTTATCAATGTGTATATCTACATTTCAGGAAGACAAACTTCTCCTTGAGAGCCAGCTTATCCTAGCCACAGCAGAACCATTGTGTCTTGATCCTTCTATAGCTGTGACCTGTACTGCAAACAGATTGCTCTATAATAAACAGAAGATGAACACTCGACCAATGAAACGGTAATTATCGTTGTATTAGGATTGTATGTAGACCTAAGGAGATTCTGCCATAACTAGTGATCCTAACTTTTGCCAGAGGTTCTTGCTGTATGGATGTTGTTTTCCCCCAGTGTGTCCTATGGGCCTCATGTGCTTTGGTTTTGACTTCTTTGTATTCCCAGTGTTTAATCAAGGATGACCTCTGTTCTGACTAATCTTATTGAGATTAACATCTCTAATGATTTAGTAGATGGAGTCTGAATCCCAGCACTGATATTTACTAGTCTTGTGCTCTAGGACACATCACTTAGTCTTATCTGTAAACTGAGAATAATCATACTTGTACAACAACCAGGGTTGGGAAGATAGGAGGAGGTAGAAAGTGCTTTGGAAAACCCTAAAGCTCAATATAAATGTCATTACTAATGTTGTCAGATTTTAGGCCAAAGCCCTTGGGTACCAGTATTAATTTGCTTAGCAAAATATGTTAATTGTTTTTTTGAGCACATTTCCTACAGACTTTTTTTTTAACATTAAATATATGCTAATGCTGTGGGAGAGAGTGAGAAACTACTGAATAATATTTTTTCTGCTTTGTAGCACTGTGCAAGCCTACCATTATTTATAGTGTTTTGTTTTGTTTTTTTATTTTAATAGGTAGTATACAAATCAGCTTTCCTGGAAGTATTCATAGATGCTTTTTTAAAAATCCAGTCAGAATTTTAATGTCTCCTTACATGCTGTATCCATTAAAGATTTCTTTCAGTATAATTTTTGCATTTTGAATCTTAAAATATTTTAGCTGTTTCAAGAGGTACTCCAGATCTTCCCTGAATCGGCAGCAGGATGTGTCCCACTCCACAGCTCCTCCACAGCTAAGATTGCTTGACTATTTGCAGAAAAGAAAAGAGAGAAAAACAGCCCAGCAGTATGACCTCAAAATTTCTAAAGCAGGAAATGTAAGCACATTTTCTTTTAAAAATTAATACTTACTGATAAAATAAAAACCTTGCTTTGTTATAGTTTCCAGGATACTCATACTGTTATTTAATTTTTAGTGTGTGGATATGTGGAAACAGAACCCTTGTTATTTGACTACACCTTCAGAAGTGGATGTAAGTTAATTAACTTATTTCTACAAAAGGTACATAAGTTTAGCTAATGCTGATTTGAATTTTGGGAAATTTTGAAAGAACTTTATATGTATATGGTAACCGTCTTTAAAAAGTAATTGCTTATTTAAAATGCTGTTCTTTCTGTACTGTTTGTTGTGAGGTTGTGAATGAAACAGCTCAAGATATTAAAAAACTATAAACTCTTTATAGGGTAAGATTAATCAAATGACTCCCAAAGTAGACTGATTTACAAATGGAGCCCCTACTGTATAACTGATTAAGTTTTTCACACTCATAACATGTAAGTGTTCTTTTTCTCTCAAGTTGATTGATTACACTCTAAAATTGACAGTTTTGGGGTGACCAAGGATGAGAGCTTTGTTACCTATGAACTATAAGTGAATGGAAGATTACCTTTATAAAGTAACACTATCAAACCTTCCTACCACTCCTCATGTCTTTCTCTTCTTCTAAAATGATAGGATTTAGAGTTAGAAGGAGCTAGGATTTAGAGTTAGAAGGAGCTAACCTGCTCATTTTACAGGTGAAACTGAAACTTAGGGCTTAGTGAATTCCCTAAAGTCACACCTATAGTAAGGAGCAAGATCCAAGGCTCCAGATCCCATGTTGTTTCCATTATTACTATCCGGTCTCTTTTCCTAATATGCTCATTTATAAAACTGTTATAAGAAATAGGTTGAAGATAGTAGTAGAGAGAGTTTTATCTTTCAGTAGTTTATATGCTTTTCTGGGAACTAATTCTGCAAAAAAAAATTTTTTTTGTGTAAGTACTGGAGACAGAATTCAGCTTGAAAGTTACTTAGATCTCAAACAAAAATTATGTAAATGTGGAATTTGAGTTTAATAATATGCAAATTGTAAGTCTTCACCTGATGGAATACTGTGGCAGAGAGAGAGAGATATCATGAAAACTATTCAGTAGTAAGAAATTTGGGGTAGGGATTATTTTAAAGGCAAATCACTTTTCCAGAATATGTAGAGAAGTTCTAAATACTATTAAACTATGTTTTGTTTGTTTTTTTGTTTTTTTAGTTGGGCAATGGGGGTTAAGTGTCACACAGCTAGTTAAGTGTCTGAGGCCGGATTTGAACTCAGGTCCTCCTGAATTCAGGGCCAGTGCTCTATCCACTGCGCCACCTAGCTGCCGCCTTTTTTTTTTGTTTGTTTGTTTTTTTGTAAACTATGTTTCTATGGTTGAATGTTATTTCATTCATCTTAAATAGCTTCTTGAACTGATGTGCTTATTTTAAAAAGTTCTTCTATAGAATTGTAGCTAAGGGGATTACTGAACCTCTTAAGCTCTTTTCCTGCTTTCAAACTTTTTTGTTCTTTGCTCTACAAACCAGTGTTTTGTTGGTTTGACTTTTTAGGTGGAAAAGTATGCTAAAGTGGAAAAGTCTATCAAATCTGATGACTCACAGCCAACTGTCTGGCCAGCACATGTGAGTAATTGAAATCTCTGCCAATTTCTGTTTCTAATATTTAGCAAAGATGTCCTGGAACACAATTTATGAAGTATTAGGAGTTATCTTTTTAATTTTTTATTAATTTATTTTAAACCTAAATACATAATAAGAAAAGGAAAAGAAACTATTATAAACTTAAATACTAAAACAAGTAGAAAATAAGAAAAGGAAAAAAAATGTTGCCATGTATACAGCAGAACCTAAGAGAGGATTCAAAATACACAGCAATACATTTCTACTTCAAGAAAGCCTATATGTTAAATACTACACATTGTGTTCAGAGATGTCCATCTCTTTTTTACTTCCTTGTAGGTTTTCTTTTGTTCTCTGCTGTGCAATTTTTGCTATGTTCTTTTTTTCCCCTTCCTCCCTCCCTCCCTTCTCCCCAAGAAGGCTACAATTAAGCTCAGATATATGTACTCATAAACACACACACACACAAATATTTATACATATATCTGTATATGCACACATACATGTACACATACATACATACACACACTTACATATACTTAGGTGTCTATAATCACACTCATATGTATATATACATTCACATGCATCTGTGTAAGACCGTTTCATACTTGTTTGTCCTCCCTTTCTCTAAGGGTGGATAACATCTTCCTTCATAAGTCCAAGTCTTTTCATATTTTTCTAAGTCCACCAACTCATCATTTCCTATACCACAGCAATATTCCAACCTTATACTGTCTAATTATTTTAAATAATTTAAAACTATTGATTAATATGGCTGACATATAGTGTAGTTTCCCTATTTTTCTCTCTTTTCTCTTTTGATTAAATCTATTTTAGCTTTAACTTTGAGATGATGATTATTGCCCCTGCTTTTTTTTCTAATAAATTCTACTCATGATATTGAGTTATCTTTTTAAGAATAATCAAAAACATCTGGTTTTGTAAGGTGTCATGAACTTCCAGAAAGAAAAATTATATTCTCCTTCATAACTTACAGATAGTTGCTTCATTAGAAACCAGATATTAAATGTTAATTTTTGGTTTTCTTTAAAACTGTATAGGTAATTACTGCTGTTCACTTTTTATTCTAAATTTTTGATGCACATGTCTTCTAGAATTGAACCTTGAAGAAAAAAGTTCACTGTTATTAGTCTTATTCCTTGAAAGTGGGAGCTACTAGATCTTTTTAGTGGGAAGTTTTCAGTTTAGGTCATCACAAGAAATTGAAATGTTAAAAGATCCTTTTTGTATAGTAGAGAAAAAATTACAAATAATAAAAATTAGGATTGTTTTCAAAGGATATTTCCTTCTAGTGTTATTATTTGCATTTTATGTGTCCATTATGTGTGTCTATAATATTTCTGTTAAGCTGGATTCATGAAATTAAAAGTTCCATTGTATTTTCCAAGTGATAAATTATATGAAAAAACACTTGTAAGTTATTTTTATTGTTAGGCAAAGACTAAAAAAAAAAAAGCCAAGTACCATAGGAGCTATTTTCTGTTTGCCTACCAGACATTGGGGTGGGGGTGGGAGACCAGTAGAATAAGGTCAGGAAATCATTTTAGGCATGTATGGATAGTCAGAATTTGTTTCAGCAGCTCTGCCTTCACTCACCTTTTCTCCTGTTTTACTATTAATTTGAATTGCTACCTTGCTTTGGAAGAGCACTATTTGTGATATTTTGTCTTTTTTAGGAGATAAAAGAAGATTATGTGTTTGAATGTGAAGTTGGTAATCAGTTTCAGAAAACAAAGCTAACCATTTTTCAATCACTTGGTAATCCACTTTACTATGGGAAAATACAGACTTATAGAAGTGATGAAGAAAGTGAGAGCCCAATGACACCAACCCAGTAAGTTCTGTTTAAATACACATGTATTTATATCAGCTGAATATGCAGCGAACATTTCTTGAGCTTTTAATATTTATAAAATGGAATTTTGACAAATAATTTAATTTTTGATTTGAAATAAGATGAAATTTTAGTTATATCTTAAAATTAAGATTTGGTAAAAGGCTCAAAGGGGTCATTTATTTCCTATCCTTGTGTTTAGTTAAATTTAAGTAATTTATTAAACAACTATTGTACACAGAGCTTACTTATAGGCACTGAGAGAGATAAAATTGGAGTTTACATTCAGGTGAGAAGATAAGACACACAAGTGAGTAATGTACAATGAAACATAACAGTTATATTAAAGAGGTTAAACCAGGTGCTGTTGCATTAGGTTTAAGGGTGAAGGTTGTCACCTAAAGAGAGAATGAGAAAGATGGAAAGACTTCTCATAGGATTTGGCATTTGAGTTGATTGCTAAAGGATAAGTGAGAATTCAAAAGGAGAGGGAGAAAGAGGGGGGTATGTGTAAAAAGGATAGCATTCCAGATATAGAGAACAGTGCAGAGGATTGCAAGGAATATTTGGAGACAGAGAATAATCCAGTTTAAGTGAAATATAGAAGACCTGTAGAGAAAGAATTTTGATTGATAGCTGGAAAGGTAGAGTGGAATCAAATTATAAAGGCTTTGAATGCCATTCAGCAAAATTTAAGCATTACTCAGTAGAGCAAATAAGCAACTCGCATAAAGAAGATGATTCTGGAAGTAATGTGAAGAATATTTCATGTTAAAGAGGATGGAACTGGGAAGACGTGTAAGAAAGCTAGTGCAGTCTCCTTCAGAAGAGTGTCAGTGAGGCTCTAGAGTCTAGACTAAGGCAGTGGTAGTGGGAATAAAGAGGGAACAGATGTAGGAAATATTGCAGGGTAAAATCAATAACTGGTTGTTAGAAGCAGAGATAATACCAAGGTTTTGAAAATGGAGACTAAGTGAATAATGGTGGCAATGATAGAACACTAGTAAAAGGAAGTTTAGGGGAAGCGAAATAAGCCATTTTAGGCAGTTCTCCCCAGGAGAACTAGTGAGACATTCAAGTAGATCTATGAGTTTGGAGTTCAAAAGAAAAGTCAGGGTTGGTGATACAGAATCAGGAGTCATCTATATAGAAGTGATAATAGAGTGAGTTTGCCAAAGGAGAGAATATCGAGCAAGAAGAGGTCCAAGATACAAAACCTTGGGGTAGTATCCACCACATAAGGATGAGGAACAGAAGAATACTGAGAGTTACCAGGTGAAGTAGACAGAGAGTAAGGTGTGTCTGATGTCTCAGAATCCAACAGAGGAGAAAATTTCGAATAATAGAAAAAGACTTGCAGTGTCAAAATGATGCAGAGACTTCCAAGAGGAGAAAAATTGAGAAAAAGATGATTGGATTTGGCAGTTTAGGAGGCAGCCTTTCAGAAAGCAGGTTCAGTAGTACCTACTTTTCCTGGGCAGACTCTTTACTACAAAGGATTGAGGTGAGCAGGTAGTGAGGAAACAATACCTGGCATCACGTGTAGGAGACTTTTAAAGAAATTTAACAGTTCATCATCGTTCATTGTCCTTTGTCCTCAAAGAAGACCAAAATGGCAATCAATCTGGCATGATCAGGAAATTGTGGTAGAATTTATAGGCAGGTGGGAAGGAAGAGTGGAGAAGAAAGATTGAAATGCAGGAAGTAAAGGGGATAACTACTAATGCAAGATCTGAAAGTGGTCAGGAGGGAAGCCCTTTTCTAAATGCCTCAGTCTTCTGAAGTAGGAACTGAAGTCATTTGATAAAAAACTTGGGGTTTTGGTTACTTTTGAGAACCTTAGAAAAGGGTATGGCAGCAGGGAAAGCTTTGAAATTGTCACTGTAGGTAATAATATAATAATGGACAATTTATATAGGACTTTTAAGTTGTACAAAGTCCTTTACTATATATTATTTCATTTGATCCTTAGAGCAACCTTTTGAAATGGGTACTAAAAATAGGGAATGAGATAGAGTGTTGATAAGAGTTAGAGTAGAATCTTAGAGATGGAAGGGACTCTAGAATAGACCAACCTGATACCTAAAGCATAAATCCTCTCTACAACGTTACTCACTCATCGTCTTCTAGAGTAGAATATGCCCTTTATTGCCAACTCTAGTGTCAGGAAGTTTGTTTATAAAACCAGCCTCAGTCTACCTCACCAACTTCTGTTCACTGTTTCCAGTTATGTCCTGTGGGGCCAAACAAAAGTAAGTCTACTCCTTCTTCCACATGATGTCCCTTCAGGTATTTAACTGTAGCTATTATGTCTCTGTTAAGCCTTCTCCTTTTTAGTTTAACCACCCCTAGAGCAGCAAACATTTGAATCACATCACCCTTCTGGTTGCCTACTTGTTAATGTCCTTCCAAAACCAAAACTTTTCCCCAAATCCTCAATTGCTAAGTACCAGGAGGAAGTCATAGGCTAAGCTTTGTGAATACTGAGTTGAGTTTAATATCAAGTTGGGGCTACAAATACCAGTTTCAGAAATAGCTACACCTGTCCTTACCTATATATAATATAACATTTAAGGAGAAAGGATGTGAGGCAGAAAGATTTTCCTAGAGTCAAAAGTTTTTCTGCACACCTTGATGCGTATTTCTTAAATTTACTGAAGCTGGAAGGAATCTTGAAGATCATTGGACCTAATGGCCCACCACCACTCTACAGTTGAGGAAACTGATACATAACGTTTGTCATAGTGTTTATGGGCATTTGCTTGTTCCTGTACTTCAGCGTTAGACTATCAGCTTCCTAGGGGCAGGATGTTTCTACAGTGGTGGCAATAATTAAGCCCTGAGGAAAATATATCAGCTTAAGCTTCAATTCAACACTGTGCCTTCTCTGTTCAAAGTACTGTGCTAAGTAATGGGGACCCATTTAAAAACTGCCTGCCCTCAGGGAGTTTACAATCCCTTGTAGGGAACTTTTAAGTGGGAGGGGAAAGGAAGTGGATTATGCTGCTTTAAATATCAATTTCTCTATTGGTGAAGCATCACCTAAAGTTTCTCCCTTCAGGCTTCTAAACTCCTGAGATCATTCTCTCCGCTGACAGTCTTTGATTTTTGAATCTGTACTATCACCACTTTCTTCCTCAACCTTTCTTCTTCTGTTTCATCATCAGTGTTCTAGTTTCACTTTTTAAGCAGAAATAAGAACCCAGAAAAAAATAATGCACCATAAATTTGTGGCAAGTGAAGTCACCTCAGTTATATGATTTTTCTCCCTGGGCAATGAAATCAAATGATAGGACTTACCCAAAAATGTGTATTAGGAGAGTGGGAACACCAGAAGGTCATAGAGACACAGACTCCAAAGAAATAGCTGGTTGAAGCATTAAAACCTAGGTATAACAGCAAATGAAATGTGTTAGGAAGGTAGACTTGGAGAAAATAAATGAGTGCAGTTTTGGACAAAAAGAGGGGGAAAAGCAACAGAGCAAAGGGCTCGTGTGATTATCAGAATATTGTGAAATTTCTTTTGGACGTTACCTGCCACATGTTCTGGCAATTGAAATCAGCAGCTAAAGTTTGCCAACCAATTGAAGAGGTTTACCTGGCTAAACAGCATAGAGTGCTTTACCCCAACCCAGGAAATTTCACTGTATGTAGTCTGAGTCTGAATTCCTTGAACATTATCCTCACTTACTTGACTTCAGATAAATAGTACATTAGATAACAAATCTAATGTAAAACCCTGTTTTATATTGTCCTGGTAATTTTAAAAATCATGATATGCATAGAATTATATTTTTCTACTATAACTTGTTTAAGTTTAGTTTTGGATCTGGAGATTTCCACAGCTGTCCATCCATCCTACTGCTGCAGGAAATGACTCATATCTGAATTTTTCTTTAATGCTTCAGGTTCCTTATTGGATCAAAGACTGACGCTGAAAGGTAAAACATTTCAGATCTTGTTTTCTGCTTGTTTTGTAATCAGGAAAAAGCACAGAATCAATCCAAAAGGGAATAAATCTGCATAGTATAGTACACAGTGAGCTACCAATCAGGAATGAGAAAACCTAGATTCTTTTTGGTCCCTATTCTGTTAATAGCTAGCTGTATGATTTAGGCCAGGGTTGGGGGACCTGCAGCCTCAAGGCCACATGTGACCCTCTAGGTCCTTAAGTGCGTCCCTTTAACTGAATCCAAACTTCACCAAACAAATCCTCTTAATAAAAGGATTTGTTCTGTAAAACTTGGACTCAGTCAAAAGTCAGCACTCTAGGACCTGGAAGGCCACAGGTTCCCCGCTCCAACTTTAGACAGTCAGGTCACCTCTCTGGGCCTCAGTTTCCTCATTTATAAAATGAGAGTGTTGAATTACATTGAAGTCTGGTCCTTCACTGGTCTGAAATTATGATTCTACAAATGCCTAAAATGTATTCTTTTTTTCCTTTCATTTATTTTTAGCTAGTGAATGGACAATGCTAAGTGAGATTACAGTAGAAAGGTAGTTTTCAGTCATTTTAGCTAACAAAAGTAATTTTAGCTGGGTAAAAGTTGGATTAAAAAATGCTATAAGCAGGTGCTTTTGATGGCTTTTGGTTAAATTAAAAAATAGATTCCTAAACCATCTATAGTATGTAAAGATCAGATGTTTACATTGTCAGTATGGGAAATTTAGTTGGTATGATCTAACCATTGAATAGGGCCTACATTGGTCATTTTTGATGAATGTGGGAGCTTGGTTGTATACCATTTAGAACATGCAGAAAAAAGTGAAAAATGAGGTAATTTTGTCAAGGTCATGCCTGTTCATAGAGCAACATTTTCATTGGGATTTTTGTTATCCATTCAGTGCATCTGTAATGAGTTCATTTGAAACAGTAGCAACAAATTCTTTTTTTCATATATATTTCAGAATAATTAATCAATACCAAGAGTTGATTCAGAATGAAGCCAAATGTCCAGTGAAGATGTCCCACTCAAGTGGATCTGGCAATCTTAGTCAACTTTCTCCAGGGAAAGAAATGGAAGTAAGAGTGGTCACTGTTATTTCCTTATGAATAATCCAAACAGAAGAACCCGAATGATTCTTTTCTTTTTAAAAATGTTGGGTTTCTTTTGCCACTTTATGTACACAATAATTCATAGATCTTTATCTCAACTAAGCTACAAACTCTTATTATCCTTTAATTTTTAGTTCCCTATTTAATTGAATGCCTTTAAAACTGCTTAAGGGTTCTTGTTTTGGTAAATTGACAGTATCACTATAAAGAGTTCAAAGAACAGCCTAACCTATTATCAAATTTGAAGATTGCTTTAGTATTCCACATATATTCTTTAGTGTCTATAATGCCCGAGTGCCTTATAGATGGTTGATTAAGCTTTTCATTGTGGCATAGAGTTCTTAGTATATTACTGTGTTTTTCTATTACATTTTTCACTTTTTAGCCTTAATCAACTATTTATAATGTTGGGAATTTTTTTGTCATTCATTGTTTGCTATATTTGGTAACTTTTATTTTTGAAAGCAAATTTCTTTAGTGGCACCTATTTGTGTATTAAAATGTGAGGTTTATATTAGAACATAAGTAATTTTTCACAATATCTTATTTGATTAGCTACTATCAATGCATCTTTTTATTAATAATGTTATGCTTAATTATATTGCACGAACTTAAGCAAAAATGTATACCACCCATAGTGTTCCCAAAATTTTCTCATTGTAAGAATTAATTATGAAAAAATGATTATGAAAATAATGACATTCCTTAGGTCATGTGATTATTAAAAGGCTATTTGTGTTTTTTAAGGAGTTAAGCCTGGTGTAATAGAAAGAATGCTGGACTTTTGAATTAGGAGACCTCTCTGTCCTCGTTTTAGCTCTACTGTTAACAGCAGGGTGTGTGATTTTGGCAAGTCACTTCACCTCTCTGAACATCATTTCCCTCCTCTGAAAAATGAGGAATTTGGAGTTTAGAGCAGAGTTTATTAACCTTTTTAAAAATCTCATGAACCCCTTTGGCAGTTTGGTGAAGCCTAATGCCCTTTTTTTAAAATAATGTTTTTAAATGCATAAAATAAAATGCATAGTATTACAAAGGAAACCAATTATATTGAAATACAGTTATCGACCAACCAAGATGGTGGAGTAGAAGGAAGTAGTACAGCCGAGCTGTCTCCCACAACTACTCCCCAAAGATCTAGAAAACGCATCAGACCCAGTCCTGATCGGGAAATTCAAGAAAAAATCACAGTGAGTCATTTTTCTAGCCCAAATTGGCATAGGGAGATATGTGGAGAGGAGGGTTGGGAGGTAGTGGGGAAAAATTAGGGGGTAGGATTGGTGGGGAGGGGGAAAAGGGAGGGAGGCAAGGAGCACAGACCCCCGTGGAGCCTTCCAGCAAGGCTGTAGCTTTGCACCAGGGATGGAAGAGGTCCCAGACTGGGCCCAGAAATGTCTGACCTTATGCAGGGAACAGGAATGTGTACTAGTGCGAAGCTCTGTCACTTCCCAGTATTGGGCTATAGATCCAGTAGAGATTGTGTAGAGGATCTATGTCTGGCTGAGGGTGGTCCAAGGCAAAGAGTATTTAAGGGCCCTAGACTGAGAACTAAACAAGCATCAAAGCAAGCAGTAACTGTGTGGCTTTCACTCTAGGAGCTTGTTGTGATCTCAGATCCACTCCCAGCCCAGTCTAAAGTTTGCAGCAGAATAACCAGGGCAGGAAGCACAGACCAAAGGGGTGCCCGCTGTCACTATGAACCTGCAGCGCTTTCCATCTGGTTGATAGTGGCCAGCTCCAATAGCAGTATACTCCAGCTCCAATAAGCCAACAGTTGTGTCGCTCAGACCCAGACCAGGAGGGCAGGGCTCAGATTTCAACATGGATTAGATGGTTTTGGTTACACCAAAAGGTTGCAGTCTCCCAACCTGAACTGTCACATGTGTACTCCAAGAAAGATGCAGGAAGAACACAAAAGGACAAAAAACAGAATGAAGCTTAGCCCCGGCCGTTCCCTCCAGAACAGCTTTACCCTAATGCATAGAGCCTTGTCTTGTTAACACAAAGTCAGGAAGGAATTCTGGAAGAATGAGCAAACAAAAAAAGAATTAACCATAAAGAGGTCTTATGGGACAAGGACCCCCAAGACACAATCCCAGAAGAGAATGATTCCCAAAACATCGAGTAAGCGAAGACTGAGAAACACCATTTGGAAACAAGTTCAAATAGAATTCCTGGGTGAGATGAAGAAGAGTTTTTAAAAAGAGATAAAATGACTTTATAAATGAAATGAGAGTGTTAGAGGAAACAGTTGAGGGAAAGAAATAAGAGCACAAAGGGCTATCAGGCTTCTTGAAAATTAGAATGGGTCAAATAGAAGAGAATGATTTCATAAGGAAACAAGAAATATTAAAGTAAAAGGACTGGGGGGAAGATAGAAGAAAGTATAAGGTATCTTATTTTTTAAAAAGCAGATGACATGGAAAACAGATCAAGGAGAAAGAATTTAAGGATCATTATACTACCTGAAAACCTTTACCAAAAATATCTTAGGCATCATAGTTCAGGAAATTGTAAGAGAAAACTGCCCTGACCTCTTAGAACCAGAGTGCAAAGTGAAAATAGAAAAAAATCCACCAGTCACTTCCTGAAAGAAACCTCAAAACAAAAATTCTCTGGAACATTATAGTCAAAATCCAGAGCTTGTAAGTCAAAGAAAAAAAATACAAACAGCCAGAAAGAAAAAAAAACCAAAACTTTAAATATTGAGGAACCATTGTCAAGATCAAACAGTATAGCAGCCAACATTTTAAAGGATCAGAATTTTGAATATTATTCTAGAAGACAAAAGATAGAGGCTTGTAACCAAGAATAAAGTACACAGCAAAACAGTATAATCCTAAAGGGGGAAAATGGATTTTTAGTGAAATAGAGGACTTCCAAGCATTTCTTGATGAAAAGATCACAGCGGAGTAGAAATTTGAAATACAAATACTGGAGTCAAGAAAAACATAAAAAGTTGACAAGAATGAGCAATCCTGAGAGACTAAAGAAGGAACTATACCCTCCATTGCTCTGTCATCATTGGGGTCCATAGAGGAAATTTATGTCAGTTTTTCTGATCTTAAAAGAAGAATGGAAAAGGAGAGGAAAAGTGATGAGAATTACATCACATAACCAGGGTATACAAAGGAGGAGGGAAGAGAGGGTGGAGGGGCTACTCTTGAATCTTACTTTCATCTGAAGTGGTCAAAGGAATACACACACAGAATTGGGTACAGAAATATGTTTACTGGGAGCAGCTAGGTGGCACAATGTGTAGAGCCTTGGAGTCAGGAGGACCTGAGTTCAAATCCGGTCTCAGACACTTGACACTTACTAGCTATGTGACCCTGGGCAAGTCACTTAACCCCATCTGCTTCACCAAAAAGCAAAAAACAAAAACAGAAATATGTTTACTCAGTAGGGGAACAGAAAGGAAAGGGGGGATTAAGAGGGAGGGCACATTGAGGGGGAGGGATTAATCCTAACCATAACAAATTTAACAAAAGAGTAGATCGATCACAAAGAGGAATTGAAAAGGAAAGTAAGAAAATATACCAATCCACGATTGGGCTCTGGGAACAGAAGAGAGGCAGGAGAGCAGAAGCTAACCACAATTTCAGAGGGCTCACGATGAGACGTGTTACCCAACTCAGACAGATTTAGACATATTCTTTTGGACACAGTTATGAGGATTGTTTTGCTGGACTATGCATATTTGTTACAAGGGTTTTGTTTTTCTTTTCCTGTTCAGGGGGTGGTATGGTGATGGGGTGGGGGAGGCGGATTTTCATTATTTGTTTAAAAGAAAAACAGCTTAATTTTAAAAAAATACATAGTTGTCAGAATATTCACACACACACACACACACACGTTAAGAATTCCTGGACTAGAAGACTATAAAGGTGTTTTCCTATCATATTCTATGATAGTCTTCCCTTGTATGAAGGCATGAACAATAATAGCTTTTATTTATGCCTTTTGGCTGGTTTCCTGGTTATCACTTCAGTGCAGTGGTGTTGACATTCAGTGGAATAGGATTGTAAAAGGTGTAGTATAATTGAGTTTAAATATCGTGATCCCATTCTTTTGCTGGGAAGGTGATACAGAAAGCATGTCCTTTTGGGCATGGACCAGAAAAAGAAAAGAAGAAATAGCACCTGCCTTTGGCTCATGTTGGCCTGGCAGCCTCTTCTACCACTATCAGTTTAGTTTTTTAAAAGTGTTTTCAAAGCAAAAAGAAAGATGAATTCTAAAGATACAATTGTAGCCTTCTGTGGGACCAGGATTATATTCAGGTGAATATCCTGAGCCCCCTTTCACTTCCTTTGGCTATTATGGTAACCCATAAATCTCACATAAACCAAGTGACCTCTCACAAATCAAATTAGAGCCTGACTTTGTGGTACTTCTTAGATCACAGTCATTAAAATTGTGGTATCTGTAATACTGAATCTCTTCTGTAGGGAGTAAAATTGTGTTTTCATTTGAGAATTGAGTGATTTTAATGTGTTTCACAGTTCCTGTATTTTTGGTAATAATCTTAATCTTGATAAGTATTTCTTCTTAATAGCCCGAGAGTTTATTGGTTCAGCCATCAGTGTTGGGAAAGGGAGTAAAACATCGGCCTCCACCCATTAAACTTCCTTCAGGTTCAGGAAGTAGCTCTTCAGGTAATGCAGTCCATCCATTTCCTCTTTATTTTTATTTCTTGGTTTTATTTCACTTTTGGGGGATGATCTTGGATGACAGCTAATTAATTGTAAAAACAATGTGATAAAGATATGCTCTATCATTACCTGTCAAAACTCTTTTGACTTGCATTGGTAGCTTTGACATAATTAAAAATCTCTCCTGTGATGATTCAAAGCAATAATGTAAATTTATTCTTTTTCAGGTAATATTTTTAGTCCACAGCAGTCAGGCAGCCATCATAAGTCCCCAACTCCTCCCCCCACTTCTAAGCCACCTGGTCTTTCTCGGAAACCTTCTATGGATCTTAGTCAAGTTAGCATGCTTTCTCCAGCTGCTCTGTCACCTGCCAGCTCATCACAAAGTGAGTCACAACCTAAATTCTCCATTAAATATTCATAAGCTTTTGCATTAGTGCATTCCAAGACAACTTCTTGGCCAGTGGAATGATAAAACTCAAATGTACAGTGGGCCCCCAATTGTATCAGTTTTGCAAAGCTGAAGGCAGGTCTCTTGTTGACTGTATGTACTTTATGTTTATTGTATTGTATGTTTTTCTGTATCTATGTATGCACCCTTGTGTATACGTTTCTAATAGATTTGCCATCCGTGTTACTTTTTTCCTTTAAAAAAAAATTAGCCTGGAAATTAATGTGACAGTGAGATTCCAAAGTGTTCTTGATACCAGTGTACCTTGGACCACTTTGCATTAAGTTATGCAACAGATTTGATAAAAATGTCTTAGGGGATATAGCAGTTATATCTTTGTGTATGTAACAGTCTGTTTAGTCCTAAGGTGGTGATGCAATAAATTAAAAGCTGATTTTTAAAAAATACTCCTATACTGTTTTATAAATCATTGTCGATTATTAAACTGTGATAATGATTGTAAAGCACTATATTGAAGATGTTAAAATATAATTTTTTCCAACTGAGTGATTTCAAAGGTTTAGTTATCATTGACATAATTACTAGAATTCTAGCTCAATGTTGAACTAAATTCTTCAAATAAAAATGAATCTTAAGACATCTTAGAAAGAGATTTGTCCAAAGAAACTCCATTCCAGTTTTTACATTTTTTAAATAGACTATGTGTACTGAACCTTTTAGTACATGGCACAGTGGTAGAGTGTGGTTCTCTGCATTAGTTATAAGCATCTTCATCCTGATAGCTCAAAAGGTGTAATTTTTCTGCCTTCTTGTTTTGCACAAAGAAAAACAAAAATCTTTGATAAATTCTCTAAGTCTTCTTCACACCTTCTTATGTTGGGGGTATGGATTATGTTACTCTACTGCACACGGTTGTTACTAGAAGTAAGGGTTGGGTGACAGCTTCTGGACATTCACATTTCTTTCCTTTCTTTCTGCAGGACATGAAAGCTAAAAAAGAAAACACCTCAAGAGCTTTTGGTTTTGCTTTTTTTTTTGTTTTCTTTTTTTTAAATTGATAAACTGTGCGTACTGCATTCACAACAGATTTTCTATACATTCTACATTTAAAGAGAAATACACAGTTACTGTTAAAGATACAGTATCGTCACCTTTAAAATGATTTGCTTTATTACTGGCTTTTATGATTTGGGTGAACTATGTTAGAAATTATATTTATTCATATAGAGAGAGAGAGAAGTGCCCATTTTTTTTGTTTATTGGCCAAACCTAATTTATTGATACTGTTAATCAGTTTGATTCAGATTTATCAGATTATTGTATAAATTATATAAGTAGTTTAAAAGTTAAATCAATTTTAAATGATTCATTATAAAAATTAATTTGGGTTGCTTCAGAACTTTAGTAAAAAACAAAACAAAAAAACAAAAAAAACTGAATATAGGAATTTTAACTTTAAATGGATGTTGGAAAAAGTACCAATTTGTATTAGCATTGTAATAGTAAAACTGCCACTAATGGACTTTTTAGGTGATATACTGCATCCTTAATTGTGATTGAGTGTAGCAACACTCTTGTATCATATGTAGAAATTAACACTGCAGTTTACTGCTTTAAAAAAAACTGGAACAAATTGTCAGTGCTAAGTAAGATTCCATTAACCTTATTTTAAAAAGGACTGGCCTTTTATAACAAACTAGCACTTTTTATTTTTCTCAATGAGCAGGATCTGGAACTCCTAAGCCATCTACTCCTACACCAACCCCTTCATCGACCCCACACCCTCCTGATGCTCAGAGCTCAACTCCTATTACCCCTTGTGCCACCCCTACTCCCCAAGATTCAGGCTTCACCCCTCAGCCCACTTTGTTAACCCCGTTTGCTCAGCAGCAAATGTCTCTGAGCCAGGCAATGCCTGTAATGACCATTCCTCTTTCCACCATGGTAACATCTATAACTACAGGAACCACGTCCACCCAAGTCATGGCAAACCCTGCTGGACTTAACTTCATCAATGTAGTGGGCTCTGTATGGTAAGTTTGCTTTGCTGCCATGTTTTCTCATTAGTTTACATGAGTCATAACTCTTAGATGTATTTTCAGAAAGATTCAGTGTGCCCAAAAAAAATAGATGGTTTTAAATTTTCTAGCCTAAAGTTTATTGGACATACTTGTAAAATTAAGAATAAAGTCCACATTAGCCAAATGTGAAAATTGTGCATGTTTAATTTTTAGAAAAGATAACAGCTACAAGTAGTATATTGTAGCTATCCTTGTACTGTAATATCATCTCGATGTGTATTCCTGTTCTTTATACTCATAAATAATACAGTGAAATCTTTACAGTGAATTTCTCAATTTTACGTACTTTTTAGCCTCCTCCTTTGACAGAATCTTTTTTTATTTTTCCAATGTTACACTTTTTTGGGAGTCTTTTTTTGTATATAATACATAGTTTCAGTATCCTGCAGTCAGTATATAGCCTAAAAATAACAAGGAAATAAAGAAGTCTATGCATAAGAAAGAGAAAGGAAACACACACACATACGCAGAGAGTTTGATATCAATTTTTTGCACGCAAATTTTGTTGTTGTTTTTTTCCAGAAGAGCTTCTAACCAGTTCTAGAATTCATTCTGTCAAGAGTTTAGTAGATTTGTATTTCCTAAAGCAAATGAAAATGTATACAAAAAATTAAATTATTGCTAAAGCTATGCTGTCGCAAACAGGTGTTTGGGTCAAAGGGAAAAGAAAGTCCAGCTGAAATTTGGGGGTTTTAGTGCATTTCACACAATTAGGCATTATTAAAGAGAAATAAACTGAATGAGTAGTCTTAGCCTAGTCACTATCACTAATGACTGCAAGTTTGTCCAAAGTTAAATGTATACTGCTATCAAAGAGGAAAAACTGTTACTATTTTGAATTTAACACATGTCTTTTCCTCACCTGCAGTGGAGCGCAAGCATTGATGAGCAGTTCAAATCCCATGCTCGGGTGCAATTCTGGTGCCATAACCCCTGCAGGTTTAAATCTGAGTGGCATTTTACCCTCAGGAGGTCTGGTACCAGGTGCATTGCCAGCTGCAATGCAGTCAGCCTCTCAATCAGGTTAGTATATTCAAAATAATGTAATCTTAAAGACAAAATGTTCATGTTGTCAAGACAGTAATGACCTTGAACATGAAAATACAAGCCTCTAACTTCTCTACATATACCATATTAGCCTACCATGACCACTGAGGGCTTTGGCTTATTTCTCATAAAACTGAAAAAAATATGCTAAACTCTTGTAGATGTCATCAAGAATGTTTGTAGCATTCTTAATCCTATAAATTATTTTAATATAATTTGCCTTTTAAGAGTCATACTAATAGTGAATTAAGTAGAGGTTAACCCAAACAACCTCTGAGTTCTCTTCCAACTCAGACTCTGTGATCCTTTGCACATATGCTTCCTGTAATTGAGATAGAATCTGGAAAACATGTTAGAATACTTAGTAAAAGCTGCTGTTGGCCAGACATATAAGTTAAAAATAACTTCAAAGTGCTTTTATGAAACAATTTGAAAAATCGAGTTTTTCTTATTAGTTACAAGAATGAGAGGGCAAACAGTACACCTTTAAATCAGTTTTACTTGTTAAATAGTTTCCTCACTCTGGAAGATTAATATGTATGAATGTTATTTCAGCTTGTTGGTTTCACTTCTTATAAAGAGTTAAACCAAAGAGCCTTGTCATTTATTTGGAATTTTTCATAAAATATATTAATGAATCTATTTATAATTTAACAAAAATATATATTCTCAGGTACATATACAAAGTTATTTGAGACTCCTATGGTTGAATATCATACATGTGTTCTTTTTCCCCTTATTAAACTTCATCTGGTTATATGGCCAGTTGCTATTGAAAATAATGCTTATGATTGAATTTTCCGTCAGTGTACTTGACTATAGTACCTTAAGAGTCACACCTTCAGTTTTGAGGGTTCAAAGCTTTCTAGGAAGTAGATCTATATAAAATAGTTATAAGATTCCTGTGTCTGTACTGAATCCCCAACATTCTCTTGATTAACCTTGATGTGGTTAAAAGATGTACAGAGATCCCACGTGTCACAGGCATGCTAGTGTATTTAATGACACTGCACCAGACAATACTTAGTCATTTGTTAAGAGAGAGAAGCATGTAGAGTTTTGTTTTGCCCCTAACACATTACAGTTATTCCTTGATTCATGAGTGAAATAAACTTTTTGGACCCCCTATAGAATTTATGTGCAAGCTTAGCGTAGCACTTATTAGAAATGAGAGTAAAGTTATACTTACTTTTTTGATATGATTTCTCAGATTCATGCCCCTTTATGCTTTTGTGCTGCACTTCTGAGAAATATCATAAATGCACGGTCTGCCAAGGCTCGGTTTAGAAAATGAGATCCAACTTGGTCCAACTGGTAAATGGGCTGAGTATATATTGAGTTGTGGCCTGGCCAAATTAGTTGAACTGCCTTTCTTAAGTAACTAAGATCAAAATGTCCTAAGGTTTCATTATGGTGTCTTTTCCCAGTGGAATACCTTATGTCTGTCTGTCATCTATGAATATATGTAGTACGTTTGCATAAAGGATTTGAAATACATAATCAGTCAATAAGCATTTTTTAAGTGCTCGTTATATGCCAGGTACTGTGCTAAGTACTGGGGAGGCTTAGAAAGGCAGGCAAAAACATGATATCTGCCTTCAAGGAGCTCATGATACTGGGAGAGACAACATGCAAATGACTATGTATGTACATGGTAGATATATAGTGTAAATGGAAGGTATCCATGCTGTAAAATCATGATTGTAGTGATATTCATGGTGCCTGCATAGCACCATTCTAGTCTTCTGCTAAGAATGATTCATTAAGAAGTTCTTATATCTATAAATAGAAGGTTTTATTTTGTCAAAGATCTCCAAAACCATCAATATTATTTTTAAATTTTTCTTACTAATATGTCAAATATAAGATGCTGAACAAAATACACACAAAACTAAAAATAGCCATGATTTGTTGATAACATTTTTTAAGTAACGTCAGTGGACAAGTACCAAATTACAAGCCTATTTTAATATATAACATTCTGTTGCTTCCTTTTTATAATTTAAAAAACCTTTTCTTTGTCAGGTGTCCCCTTTGGTTTAAAAAATACTTCAAGTCTCAGGCCCTTAAATCTACTCCAGGTAAATACAAGATATTGCTTCTGTTCACAATTCTAGTGGGTGTGGGTGTTTAAGATGTGGTAACTCGTATTGGTTATTTTCAGCCACCTATACCAGCCTTTAAAAATGAGGGGCTTTATCAGGAGTATGTTAAGAGTCTATAAACATTGATAGGAGGCTGAGAAGGCACAGTCAACCCTGTCCCCATTCCCATTGGTCCAGGTACCTCTGATGGTGAAGGACTGACCTAGTCCTGGAAGGGAGAGGGAGAAAATGTAGTTCTACCCTGGGACATAGAGTTCCAACTCTGGATTTGTCAGTTACTAAGCACTATTCACTTGCATATAGTATTAAATACTATTTTAATAAACTTTATTATAAGCTTAAAAATCATCCACAAACACAGTTTTTGTACATAAAGAAGTTGAGAAAATGTCAAACCATGAATCCATTACATACTGTTTGTTCCTTTTAATATATGTTATATTTAACATGGTGGAAGACCCACACTACTCAGCTTTTCTGTATCTCCATCTGAATCCTCTGGTCCCTGATTTTTTTTAATGTTTCATTGATGCTCTTTTATTTCCTCTCTACCCTCTTAGAGCAAAAGTTTTAGATTTACTGTGTATTGAAGAGGCATATAGTGACAGTGTCATTAAAAGTCAGCTACGTACAAGCCAAAAAATAACATATTTGTACATACATTGTAGAAAATACTGTCAGCTGTCATTAGTCTTTTCTGACCACCTAGAAGTACTGATAGTCACTACTATCAGGATCATCTTTAAGTAGGAGTTGACCCTTTTTAATACAAGTATGGAGGAACATGACTAATACCCACTTTAGCATTAACTGATATATCAGGCTTTTACCACAGGTAGTTGTGTTTCAGGTGATATGATTCAACCTGTTATATATGTAAGTCCATACTAGTTTTCATGGTGAATTTGTTATGATCAACTACCAATATCTTTCTAACTGCATCTAACCAAGTGAGTTGACAGGATCAGTCCTAAACAGAAAGCTAATTTAAAGCTCAAGAAATGATAAGCTAAGTTTTCTTTTAAAAATTTTTATTGGGGGGCAGCTAGGTGGCACAGTGGATAGAGCACCAGCCCTGGATTCAGGAGGACCTGAGTTTAAATCTGGCCTCAGACACGTAACACTTACTAGCTGTGTGACCCTGGGCAAGTCATTTAACCCCATTGCCTGACCAAAAAAAAAAAAATTTATTGGGTTAAATAAGATAGTTATGAGTTAATGATGAGTTCAAAGCAGTTTAATAGTCTCTATGTAAATGGTTTTTTACTTCCACTAAGCTTTTTGTTAATAGAGCAAGTTATAGAACAAGTTGTCAGATTTCAGCTAAACCTCTCAACAGTTAAGTATATTTTACTTTACCCCCTCTTCTCTCCCCTGCCCGCGTACTTTGGATAACATGTAAGAGGAAAATGGCCTTGTTCTTATATGATCCAAAGGGACATCAACACTGACACACTGTGAAGAAAGGGGTTTGTTGAGAGATTCAATAAAGTACAGTATAAGGGAGAAAGAGACACTGCCTCAGAAACAGCAGAGGAGCAGATCTTTGATTGGCAGGTGACTATTTAAAACAATTTGAGTCACATGTGGAAGAGTTAAAAGCCAGTGAATCAGGATCAAAGAAGAAAGAAGTTGTTTGGAAAAAACAGTAGAGGCATCTGTCTCCATAGCAGCACTCATCCAAGAAGGTCTATGACAGAATTTTTTTGTTTTTTTCTGCATTTTAGGTAACTTCCTTAATTGCAAGCTAGCTACAGGTTACTTTTGAAGACTTTTATGCTTCAGATTAGGAGCTTATTTCAGAAAGCAAAATTGGTCCAGTTTATTTTGATGCTACAGTATGTCATTTGTCACTGAGAACAAGGGTGTTTCACACTAGGTTCTTTCTTTCTGAGCTTATACTTGTTTAGTTTTGGAAATTTGGAAAGGTGTAAGATAATTCCATTTCCTTGAGTTTTAAAAAGCAGAAAAGGAACTGAGGAGCCATTATTAATACTGTTTATTCAAAGTCAGGGAAACAAAGTGTAAGCTTAATCCGTCCTAACTCATACTCATTCCTTAGCCTTTTTTTCTCCTCCCCCCACCTTTTTTTTTGGTTGGGGGGATGCTGGTAGTAGAAACATTTCACATCTATATAATCCTTTATAGTTATTAAATATTTTAAATATGTTAGCATATTTGGTCTTCAGTATTGTTGCTCTTAGAAAACAGGCTTAGAGTTATTCACCTAAGGCAGAGGGCTAGGTCTTAAAAGTCTTCTCCAAATCCAGTGCTTTTTCCACATTTATGTGCTTTCTCTGATTTAAGAATCCTCTTCTGTTCTACCAATGCATGGGCCAAGCAGCTGAGGCAGCATGGCATAATGGATAAAGAGCCATCCCTGAGCCAGAAATACCTCTGGCATATGGTGGTTGTGTGACCCTGGGCAAGCCACTTATCCTCTCCATCTAAGACTCTTAAGTTGAAGAGAAGTTGCCAGGCTGTACTGGTAAAGGAAGTTTCTTTATCCAGGACCTTCCTATACCAATGAAATCCCAGGTCTAATACTTATCCCTTCCTCTTGCCAAAAGAGTCACAGAATGAAAAATTTGTGTATGAGCCATGAAAGGAATTGTTAGTGTAGCTGTAGGCAAATGCCAAGGACCTCAGAAGTATCTGCAGATTAAAATTTTAATCTATAACAGGTTGGCTATTAGTTCCTAATTATAGTTAGAAAAAACTTTGTGATTTTTTTTACCCTATTTTTGGTATGTGTCTTTATATGATCCTAATATTTTAAAAATAACAAGTCTTTTCTCATCTAAATTAAGATTCCAAAATATCAAGTGCTTACAGGTACTGTATAATGTAATGTAAAGCCTAGGTTGAAATCCTGCCTCTACGTGAATTTGGGCAAATTACTTAATCTCTCAGTAGTTTGGGTGAATCTGCATTGGTAGAGGGGGTTTCCTTACCAGGGAGATAGGAACAACAATGACATTTTTTTAAAAATTGAACAAAAAAAGTTCCCAAAACAGAATGTGAGCAACCAGAGCTGAGTGTATTCTTTACAAATGACATTTAGCTTTTCATCTCTTTTGCAGTTTCCCTCTAGGACCTATCTGAAGCTGAGTTTTTCTTTGGTAAAGTTCAAGTCAGTTAGCTTGGGGGGGGGGGGAGTTTTTATAGAGACTTGTCTGATTTTTTTGTTTTATTTTGTTTCTTGTTTTTTGGGGTTTTTTTGGTTGAGCAGTAGGGGTTAAGTGACTTGCCCAGGGCCACACAGCTAGTAAGTGTTATGTGTCTGAGGCTGGATTTGAACTCAGGTCCTCCTGACTCCAGGGCCGGTGCTCTATCCACTGTATCATCTAGTCGCCCTGACTTGTCTGATTTTTATCAAATGCTCAGCCACTAGAAAGGTTTTAGGATGGCATTGTGTTTAAGATGTGAGAAAAGTGAACTTGAAGGTAAAAAGAAATAAACTAAACAAGAAATAACAAAGGACTTTACTGTGATGTCCTTGAGTGGTAATTTGTCATCTGTAAAAATGAAATACTTGTCTACAGAAAGAACATTCAAATGTGCCTTTTAATTGTATTAAACCTTCAAAATTTTTGCCTCCATTCTGGACAATGAGCCAGCCATCAGGAACCCAGAATTCCCTCTCACCTTTCCCCTTCCCAGTGGGAATGGGCTGCTCATGTCAGACAGACATGCCTTTGTTGCTGTAGTTATACCCTTGGTGCTTACATCCTGCTCTCCTGCAGCTGAATTCTTCTGTGTGTTATCTTTTCTGTTAGAGCTTGAGAATAGGGACTGTCTTCTTTTTCTCATATCCCAAGTGTTTGCAATAGTAAGTGCTTAATAAATGATTTTTCATTTTAAAAAACCATGTCCAGATGGGTTGCCAGGGCTGTGTTGTTCATATTTTGATAGAATGGATTGTGCACTCACTGGAGTCAGCATTTTTGAGATTTCCAGTGTCTCCATGGCTTTGCACATGTCATTTAACCTCCCTGGGCCTCAGTTTCCTCATCCGAGAAACCAGGGGGTGGGACTAGATGCCTTCTGAGGTCCCTTACAGTTCTAAATCTAAGATCCAACAATCCAGTTATCAAAAGTTCACTTTAACAGTATATGAAAATGTGAATTTAGCCAATTAATAATTTTTAAATTCCTTAACAGCTTCCAGGTGGTTCACTTATTTTCAATCCACTTCAGCAGCAGCAGCAACAGCAACAGCAGCTTTCTCCCTTTTCTCCACAGCAACAGTCTCAGCCCCCTACAACTTCTAGTCCTCAGCAGCCAGAACAGGTATATGCCCTCTTGCTCTTGTGTAAAACCAAGATTTATTGTACTTATTAACAATAATAATAAATTATAAAGTTCTAAACAGTCACAGTGTGACATGCCTATAAAGTACAGGGACAGAGGGAGGAGTTTGATATAATAACGTGAATTGTTTGATTTTCAATTTAACTTTTTTGAAAATAATAAATTTACTTTTATATTCATTTATAATCTGCTCCTTCCACTGTTCCCCCCTATAACCCTCCCTCCATTGAACTAAAAATTTAAAAAAAATCCTCATCATAAACATGCATTGTTCCCACACTGACCATGTCTGAAAATATGTTTATCTTTGCATTTTAAGTTCATCACCTCACTGACAGGAGAGATGATTTGTGACATGTTTCATCTTCAGTCTTCTGGACTTGTGATTTTTCCTTGCATTAGTCAGAATTCTAGAAGTTTTTCAAAATTGTTTTTGCTATGTTATTGTTATCGTATAAATTGTTCTCTGACTTTATTGCTTGCTTCACTTTGCTTCAATTTATAGTCTCTCCAGTTTCCTCTGAATCTATCCCTTTTGTCCTTTCTTATGGTATAGTAATACATTTCATTCATTTACCACAATTTGTTTAACCATTCCCTGATAGAAAGCCCCTTAGTTTCCAGTTTTGGGCTCCTAAGAAACTGTTATGAATATTTTTTGTACATATAGGTCCTTTTCCTCTTTATTTGATCTCTTTGGGAGATGTCTGTTAGTGGTGCAGGTGGGTCAAAGGATATGCACAGTAACTTTTGGGGTAGAGTTCCAATCTACTATGTAGAATAGCCTGACCAATTCACAGTTCCACCAACAGTGCTCTAGGGTACCTTTTTACTTTCAGCGACTTTTCATTTTCCTCTTTTGTCATCTGCCAGTCAGGGAAACCTCAAAGTTGATTATTTCATTCGATTATTGATAGTTTGGATTTTTTCCTTTGAAAACTGCTTTTTCTTATCCTTTGACCATTTATCTACTGGGGAATAGTACTTTCTCACTTTCATTTCTACACTGATGCTAAATTCTTCTTAAACTACATTGATAAATACTTCTTCCATATATATTTGCTCAAAAGATTATTAGCACGTTAAAGTGTAAGGAATTTGTTAGTTCTGTCGGATTAGATTAATAGAACAGGGCAAGAGTTTTCTGGGCATGTGTTTTAACCAGAAGTCAGTAAGCATTTATTAGGTACCTATTAAGTACCAAATAGTGCTAGCCAGAGCAGCTTTAAATCCTTATGTTCTGCACTGTTATGTTTTTCCCTGAAACTTAGTCTAACATAACATAGCAAATATCTTTTTAAAGGGGAAAAGTTTTTATCATGGTGTTTAGAGGATTTTTCTTTTAACTATCAAATAAGTAAAATTGTTTTTTTCATTGTGTCTCTTCCTTGACAACATGGAGTTCATTACTGCCTCTTTTTCTTTGTGGTCAGAGTTCTGAACCAGGTACAGCCAGTCAAGACCAGGCCTTATCTGCTCAACAAGCTGCTGTTATTAACTTGACTGGAGTTGGGAGCTTTATGCAGTCCCAGGCAGCGGGTATGTCTCTGTTCAACTTATGCTGTGTTTTGAAGCAAAAAAAAAGTACTCAATCCAAAATTCACTTGCCATTTTTATTTCACCTTTTGAATTATTTTTTTCTTTTCCTTTCCAGGCAGATGATAACTGGGGACTTAAAGTAGAAAGTAGAGTTGGTTTTAATGTGTGAACTCTTGAGATCTGTCAGTTGAGGCCCCTTTTTAGTATTTCATTACATTCAGTTGTAATTGATCAATTAGAAATGCCTGGCCCTCCACAAATTACTAACTGTAGTTTTTCCGCATGTTATGTTACAGTTACAATTCTGCACAGTTACTAAATGAATTAGGCAATTAAAAAATGTCTATTTAAAATGTTTATCAGTAATTGTGCACATTATCTACTTATTCAAAATGCATCTTTTTCTATATTTTACCTTTTTTTTCCTGGCAGTTTGCATATCCACAGTCTGTCGGACAAATCAATTAATGACTCTGCTTTAGTTCCTCATCTGTAAAGTATAGGGATTGGACTGGAAGGCCCCTAAGGTCTTTTACAAAATCTTTTTATCTGTGCGAAATGATTCATTGGAAATGCAATTCGAATTGCTAAAACTACAATTAAGATAGTCCATATTGTGTAGATGAGGTGTTAGGGGAATGGTTTACCTGGAACACATTTAAAAGGTCTCTGGATTTTAGGAAGCCCTTTACATATCCCATTCCCTCCCTACCCCCACATAACAAAACACTACAAATTTGTGAACCTAGATACCATTGAATATATAAAGAAGAACTAAACTCTTGGAAATAAGCAATTAGTAGTTGTTATTTCTAGACTTGAATTGTAGTACAGGTATGATAATACCTACAAAATGGTTTAGTGGAAAGAGCAATGAATTGCAAATCATGTGATGTGGGTTCTAGTTCTGGCTCTGTCATTAACAAGCATGTGACCTTGGATAAAAATTTCTTAAGTTCTCTGGGCCTTGAGTTACTACCTTGGAAATTGAGGGGGTTGGATTAAATAATTACCAAGGTTCTTTCCAGCTCAAATTCTGTACTTTTATCAAAATGTATACATTGACCAAATTTTGTTAAAATACGGACTTCTAACACAAGTCTTTGTCTTGATACACTTATTTGAACGCATCTATAAGTTAATCTTATTTAAGCTGTCTTTCTGCTCCTGGGGAACATCAGAAACATACTTTTTAATTTTATGGATAGCAGTTTTTGATACTGGAAAAATACCTTCCAAATTAAACATCAAGATTTCACTCCAAACTTCATTGAGTTCCCCTCCCACCTCTGCCCCCCCCCAAAAAAAACCCTTAAGAATATACATTAAAGTCCTATAGGAAAACTTGTTGCATGACCACAAAGCTTTATAACCTAATTGCATGCATCAACTAACAAGTGACTACTTTATTCTGAAATGTTGTGATTTTATATCTAGGATTAATCATACTGACAGCCTTTCTATTATCCCATTTTCTGTGTTGCCCTTTCTAACTCTGATAACCTTCAAACCTTTTTGACTGGCCTGCTTTCCCCTTCTCCTTTCTGTAGTGTTGTCTCAGCTTGGCTCTGCCGAGAACAGACCTGAGCAAAGCCTTCCTCAGCAGAGATTCCAGCTCTCCTCTGCCTTTCAACAGCAGCAGCAACAGATACAAGTAATCCAGCAACTTCACTCTGATTACATTTTTTTAAAAAATACAATTCTAAGCTCCCAAAGTACCCCCTAATACTTTGGTTTAGTTCTTTCTTAATTCTTTTATGCACTTTAATATTCAGTAAATAAAGTTATTAGTAAATTTAGCATCAAGAGTTCCAACATACTGGTCATTCAACTTGAATACTTAACATTTTAGACATTTAAGATCTTTTCCTAATTCAACATTCAAGGAGTCCTGTCGGCACATTACCAGTTCTTCCCAATTGCCATTATAATTTCAAAATCAGACAATGCTTAAATGCCAACTATTTTTGACATTATAGTGCAGAAAATATATAGCAGTGTTCATATTACTAAATGTCATAACTTCTGGTGTTTTTCATTATTTTAGTATAAATAACCAATATAGCAAGGAAAAGGAACTTGAAACTTGAGATGTAAATATTTATATTGTTAGAAACTCCCACTATGAACCACGTTGGTCACTGAAGTTGCTGAGTTACTACAGTAAAGACTGACAGGGCAAAATAACAAAACAATTTCAAGTTGATCCATGATCTTTAAAAGGCCCTCAGCAGGCTTCCGTGCCACTGGTGCTGCTTGACTGTGCATTGTCTCAATGTGGTACAGTCCCCTTTTTGTTATTATGGTGCTTTCTCACTTTCAAGTTTTGTTGTTTTCCATCGTTCTCTCTCAAGAAAAGCACCTGTCCATACCTACCTCAATGTAACATAACTTGAATTTTTTTCCTTCCCCCTCTGGCAGCAGTTGCGATTCTTACAGCATCAAATGGCTATGGCAGCAGCAGCAGCAGCACAAACAGCTCAGCTCCATCGGCATCAACATACAGGCAGCCAGTCAAAAAGTAAAATGAAGAGAGGCACGCCAACCACTCCAAAATTCTGAGTCACCAATTATTTAGGGTTCTGTTTTTTTTTTCCTCTTCAGAAAAAGAGCATTGAATCAGAGGGTTTTTCTGGGTTTTTATTTCACTTGCTTTTGTTTTGTTGGGTTTTTTTAAGTGTCAGTATTTTACATGGCTAGAGTGGGGGCAGAAGTACTAAGTTACTATGGGAACCCAACCCTGAAATTTTAAAAATTAGGGAGTTCATCTAACAAATTAGGGTTGGTTTTCTTAAGTCACAGCCTTTTAAACAGTTGCTTTACTGTGCATTTTTTTTTTCCACTAAGGAATATTGTACATAGTATAAGGAGGTGGCCTAAGAAATTCTAGGGGAAAAAAAGGACTTTGTAAATGTAGTATTGATATTTGTTTATTTAGTATAAAAGATTTGTGAGCGCTGTAACAAATACAATTTTTACAAATCCATTTTGAAAAATATGTGCTGGCTGTTTATTTTGGTTTCACACTGTCAATTACTTCATCCATCAGTTTCTTTGCTTCTTTGTGTCTTGTAACTGCCCTACTCATACAGTCCTGAAGTTTAGCTCCAGTTAGCCCACTTCCACCTGAAAAGAAATGTTATATACTACACTGGTTATTTTACTTTTTCCTATTGATGCTGATTTAAAACAAAATACAACCACCTAGAAAACAAAACATGGGAAAGGAAGAATATTTTATTGTCTTGACTAGGATATTGTCTCAAAAAGAGTTACATACAATAATGCTAAAAGTAGTCTTGTTCTGGAAATAATCTGAAGCAGAAAAGAAACAGTGTCAGTCACTAAATCCTGATAAACAAAACTCCACTTTTTTTAAAGATATAGTGTTATGCACGATTAAGCTAATTTTTTGTCGAACATATCCTATAGAAAAGGGTGAAACAAGTGATTTTTTAAAACTAGGACTATGTTTAAAGTTGAAGTAAAATAACATGCCTGGTTTGTGTAGACAACACAGTTTGTCTTCCTCATCTATTACGACTGTTAAGGTTCCTGTTGCCAGATGTTCCTCTTCTCCCGTAGGGTCAACTATGAGTAAAGTGCTATAGAAGACAAAACATACTAATTCTTTGCAACTCACTTTAACACACAAAATAAACATGTTCAGAAGGGAACAGGTTCAGCTAATTGTAACATTTTAGAATTCCAGAATTACAAAGAACAGAAGCAGACAGAAATTCCAATCATCCTCATGGAAGTTGTGTAGTAGAATCAGAATTGGGTTAAGTCCTAGTTCTGGAATATTTTATTAGCTGTGTGACCCTGGGTGACATTTAAGCTTTCTGTGCCTGTTGCTTCACCTGTAAAATTGGTATAATTCTTGTGCCACCTAACTTGAAGATTGGAAACAAAATGAGAATAGTATGTGTAATGTATATAGAAGTGTTGGCTCCTGTTAAGCCAGGTAAATCAAAAGTAACTTGGAAACTTTAATCTATATTTGCAAACAATAAGGATAAAAAAATTACTGAGATACAATAATACTGAAACAATTTTTCCAAAAGAAAATTTTCCACATGAACTAAGAAGAAAAGGGCAAGTCATATTTTCAAAATTCTACAATCTTATTAACTTACTCATCAAATACAGCAAATGATGTGGCAATCGGATGTGTTCTAATATTCAAATGACTTTTCTTTTTAAAATTAACTTCAGCTAAGCCAGTTTCTTCATTTATTGTAACTGCTGGCAATTCAACTGCAAAAAGACAAATAATTATTACAATTTCTAAAAGGCATCTGAGTTGAAGGTTACTCTCACTAGCTAGCCCCAAGTGAATTTTTCTTTCCTCCCACCTCAAGTTTTATCAAAAACAATCCTAACATTTCAAACATACCTGAATTTCTCTTAAAATTAAAATAATTATGATTGCGAATCTTTCCTCCTTTATTGCTATCATATAAAATGAGACATGAAGGCAGAGGTAGATGTATTAACATATGACTACTACAAATGTTATGCAAAATTAGGCATAATTCATGCCCATAGAACTTTCTTCACAAAACCTAAATACATTAAAGACATTACTGATGGTTTAATAGATTTAGTTAAATCTGCTTTAAACAGCTGTCAAATTCCATTTAGCTTACTGTACATAGGGAGGTCCAGTTCTGGTCAATGTCACTAGTCCCCCCCCCAGTGAACAGCAGCAGAGAGGTCAATAATGTCACTGGGAACCCTGTATCCCTAGAGCCAAATTCCCCTATCAGAGACCTCGTATGGAAAAATAAAGGTAGTTGGAAAAGGAATACCAAGCTGCTCCAAACAAGATGCCCCCAGCCACCAACCACCTCACCTGCCCAAGACAAATTTCCTACAAAACAAACCGTTTTGACAGGAAGTGGATGGATTCAGGAGTTAGAAGACTTGGGTTTGCATCCCAGTTAAGATAGTTTATGGCTATGTCCCTTGGGGGGGAGGGGAGGAGAAGGTCACATTAAAACACCTGTTTCCTTTTATGCAGAATGGCAATCATCACCTCCTCAAAGAGTTTTAAGATGTCTCATCTTAAAATGTTATATAAATGTGAAATGTTATTAAAAAAAAACAAAACTGGGTAATGCCTTTTCTTAAAGGTTTAAATAAGTTCACTAAATATTTTTTTTTCTAACAGGCAAACACATAAGCAAAACCAAAACACAAGAACAGTATAAGTAAAAGTAGTATCCTATCTATGTCTTTGTAGTGGAATTACTATTAGTCACAAAACTCAATTTCAGTTATTAAAAAAACCCAAATAACTATAATAAGATATAAGTTTCTGTTAATACCATTGCTAAATGTGACTTCAAATTATACTATTTATTTGCAGTAGCTGAAGATGTCTTATCAGCAACACATGCTTGATTATTCAATTACCAGTCAGTTTACTTACCAAGTGGAACCCTATTACTGAGGTAAGTCTATAAACTTTGTTACTAAACTCACTTACCATTTCTTAAAGCTGCTAACAAAGCAAATGTGCAGGCATCCAAGATGTTCCCATCATAGTCAAGGCAAATGAGATCACAATATAGAACCCATGCAAGCTAAGAAAAAAAATTGATAGTAAAGTTAATTTGTCTTAGCAGGAATCTCAAATCCAGTCTAGAGGCTGCTTACCATCCAAGTCATAAATTACATAGCCCTTTGTTCCTCTGTTCAGAGGAATGCATAATTAAGAGTGGTACGGCAAGTTATATAAGTTTAAGACAAAAGTACAATTTGAATTTGAGATGAAAGTTATGTGAACTTTTCCTTAAATGAGTACGTTATCACCAATGCTTGACTGACCTTTAGAAATTCTCTCTTGCAGGGTATTTTATATCTTAAATAAAATGAACTCAATTTTAGAATCTAAACATCTTCCCACAGAAATCTTGTTTTACGTAATAAAGTAGTTAGGCTCTTTTAGAGGAATACTACTTGTCTTCATCAGTATATTACATAGTATTTTATAGGTTAAATAGATTTTTGAAGGCTAGCCTGGGAACTTAACTACCATTTAGTAGCATTGTTCCTATGAGAAAATGTATAACAATTCAAACAGCTGACTTGCAAACTTCTGAACGTGTCCAAAACGTCCTTTAGCTCTTCGCTATCCCTCAGCCCCACCCCCTGTCCTCAATCCAGTCAGTTGCCAAGTCTACCTCTACAACATCTCTTGCTTCCCAACCCCTTTTCCCACTCCTGGCCAATACCTGGTTTAGGTCCGCATCACATCTTATCCTGACTTGCACAAGATCTTCATTAAAATCTCCCTTCTAGGTTCTCTATTCTTTAATCCACTCTCCATAGCATTTTGTAAATAAAGTTTAAAAACACAAGTCTGACATATCACTTTTCCTAATTCAAGAAGCTTCTGTGGCTTCCTTCAGCCTCTAGAATAAAGTAGACACTCCTCAGCTTTTCATTTGAAGCCCTTCACAATCTGGCTTGTTCAACTGAATTTACAAAGGTAACCCTAAAATTCTGAACATGGAAGACCTGGTATATGCTGGTGCCACTGACAGAAACAGGGAGGAACAAGTGGAATAGAGGAGAATATGATTTGTGTTGAACATAGACATGTCTGACAGGTGCTGACAGGACATGTCAGGGGAGATGTCTTCTGAAGAGCTGGAGATGAGGATAAAGGAATGCAAATTTGAGAATCCTATGCATATAAGTGGTACAGAATCAAAATCTGAAGAATGAATTTGATTTCCAAAGATTTTGAGTGTAAAGAGCCAGGGATAGAACACTGGAGAACACTCCAATAGGCACTTTTAAGATGTCAGGAAAAGGACAGAGCTAATGGAAAAAGGAGGAGCAGTAAGACGGAGATAGATCCTGTCAAATGGGCTGTCCCTGAAGCCAAAGGAAAGAGAAAGCATCCAGTAGTAAATTGTTCATTATCAATAACTACAAACATAAACAGTTTGAGGTTATGAATTTGAGATTGAAGAGGTTCTATTTTTTAATATAAAAGGAATCTGAAATTACATAATGACTTTAAAAATGTTACAGAAATCATTATTCAGTACTTCATCACTCAGTACAAAATGAGTATTTTAGTACTTTAAGGATGCATAATTTCAGTGGTGTAGGTACGCCCTCCACCAATGCAAAACACAGTCCCTCTGTGCCTTCATAATATTACTTATCCCCTTCACATCATGACTTTCCCCACTGAGGTTTTGATATATTGTGGGTCAGCATAAGAAATTAAATGGGGGACAGCTAGGTGGCGAAGTGGATAGAGCACCGGCCCTGGAGTCAGGAAGACCTGAGTTCAAATTCGGCCTCGGGCACATAACACTTACTAGCTGTGTGGCCCTGGGCAAGTCACTTAACCCCATTGCCTAGCCAAAAAAAAAAAAAAAAAAAAAAAACAAAAACAACAAAAAAAAAAAAGAAAGGGGGGGGGGGGGGGGGGGGGGGGGGGGGGGGGGAACATGCAAAGGCCAAGAGAGACAACACAGAGCCTATGACCAAATACTTAACTCAGATTTTACAATAAGCCAGTAAACACCCCATAGAAGAAAAAAAAAATTCAGACTTCTCTGGTACAAAGGGAGGGCCAAAAAATTTTACACAGATTTTACACAGATTTTCCAGATCGAGGGGCATCATGCTCCTAGCCCCCTTGACGTGGAAGGGATAATTGTATTATGTAGTGAATTTCTGTGACCAAAAAAATGTTTATCACTCCCTGTTGGCCAAATGTCTGCTTGTGAACATCTTCACTTACGATTATTAGCTGGTGAAGGACCTGACAGAGCATACATTCTGTTGATGCAGCTTTTAAGAATTTAGGGTTCTCTATCACAAAAAAGCAAAGGAGTAGGACTGTGGTAGGAGAGAGGAGTTATGATTCAAGTTTTAAAATAGTAAGCAATTTAAAAACAACAGATTAAACAAAGTAGTATGCTTCTCTGGTTTTTCAATGGTGTTTATTTTCTAGGATTAATGTCTTTATTGTATTCCACCCAAAACATAACACAGGTTGCAGAGACTTTACATTTCACAGCTACTCCATCCCAAAATAAAAACCAAAATTCTACAGTACTTTAAAAAAAAATGAAATCACTCACTATGCCTCTTTACTCTTTTCTTACCTTTCCATGAGAAATGCACAAATCTTCCTTCTGTATTATCTGTGAACTTGATCAAAGAAAGAAGATAGAGTAAATTACAAGTGAAAATTAACTTTAAAGTCACTGATACTCAAATTATTGGAATGTCTTACTTTTCAATCACATCAGCAATGAACTGACTAGCCACTTGGGCCTCTTCCCCAGGAGGTCCAGAACGAAATCTTGATGAACACAGAGGTGGTAGATCCACATTTGGAACTGTTTAAAAAAAGGGGGAGTGGGGAACCACTCTGCAACTATGAACTCAAGAAAAATCACATGCCAAAACTTTTCTTATTAAATGCAGCTTTTGGTACATTTTAAAAATAGTATAGTCTAACATTTTAAAAATACAAAGTCATCAATCATTTGTAAGCACAACAGTGAGTTTAAGGACCCTGTGGAACAGGATATTGCTGCTCAGATATGGGTTCAACATGATAACCTTTGAGATTGCTTCCAACTCTGAGAGTCTAAAGAGTCTGTCTTTGATAGAATGGCTTGGGAATTAGCAATCAAACTGAAAAAGTGCAAGGAGCTGGGAGATTGAATAAATGTATTCTCCTTGTCCTAACCAACTTTATCCATGGACATTTTAGTTCAAAGTTAAATGCCATACTAAGGCAAGAGCAGAGGTCAGTTTTGTCACATCAGCTCCATAGTGATCATGGGAAGACTGATCTAAATTTTAGGACTCTTTACAGGAGAGTGGTTTAGTTAAGCATTTCAGACTATATTCCCTATCAGTCTACATAAAGGTGCTTTCTCTAACATTTAAAGTACTCTTCCACAGTACTTTCATTCTATCTCAAGGGCACTAATTTTCCCAAAAGTGCCCCAAGTTCTTTTAGCTTCTTCAAAGCCAGCATCTCCAGCAAAACGATTTCCTTTAACCTGAAAATTCACAACTTTTTTAACCTGTTTTGCATGTGTTGATTCTTAACATGAAAAAGCAGGTAAGTCAGAATTATAAGAAATGCCTATTAGCATAAAGAAATATGTCTCTGGAAATAAATAAAAACCAAATCTCAATTTACACAACTACAAAAATATCTATCTACCAGTTCTACTATTAACTCACTTCATGGCCATGATATTATTTAACCTTGCTGCCTCAATTCTGTTTATAGTAAGCGTAACAAAAAGTCCTACCTATCTCACAGGGTTTTTAGGATATGAAGAAAAAAGATTTGCTAACATTTTGAAATAGGTGAACACAGTACAAATAGAGTTGAAAGAGCACTGGAATCAGGAAACAGTCAAGATAAACTCCCACCGCTAACACTGCTAGCTATGTGACTATGGGCATGTCACTAACCTCAGTTTCTTCATCTGTAAAATAGGTATAATAAAAGATGTACCTACCTTATAATATTGTTGTGAGGATCAAATGAAGTAATATGTAAAGTGCTTTGTGTAGCAATATAGGGTTTTTAACAATCAGTTACTTATTAAATGCAAAGTATTATTATATAATTATGTAACTATAACAAAAACTTCATTGTTGAAAGGTACAGAAGATATATAAAGACTAGTTAAACAACTGAACATAGAGATAAACCACCTTAGCTCAGAATTATACTAGGAGGCATAATATTGCTAAGACATTACATTTAAAATGCATCTTGACAAATTAGCAAACTATTTTAAGTTAGAACCTAAGAAAACTTCAGAAAGTGCTACAAAATTTGGACAAGATGATAGTATACTACACATAATCAGAGCTGGATGAATGACTGAACTCAAAGAGTAGAGAGTAATGGATCAATGCGATGTCAACCTGGAGAGGAATCTCTAACACAATACCACAATATTGTGTCCTTAGTCCTGTGCTAGTCAACATTTATACCTATGACTCAAAACAAAGGTACGGTTGATGTTTATCAAATTTTCAGATGACACAAAGACTAGGATAGCTAACATATAGAACAGGACAATATACAGAATCTGAAAAAAGACCTTAACAGGCCAAAATCATGAGCTGGCTACATTTACTAAGATGAAATCTAATAGTAAAAAAATGTAGTCTTATATGAGTTTAAAAAATAAACTTCATAAGTATAATATGATAGAAGTGCTTTTAGGCAGAAGTTTACATTAAATAGACCCCTGGGGTTTTAGTGGTCCACAAGCTCCATATAAATCACCAGTGAGATAGGGCATCCAATTCAATCTAATAAGCATAAGAAAGGCATAGTTAGATCCTGGAGAGTAAAGACAAAATGAAAAGACCAATCCCTACCCTTAAAGACCTTACCACTTGTTGGGGATGTTGTAGAAGGGATTCTTGGTCAGTAAAGGGCTCTATCACAAAGATGACCTTTGTGATCCTTTCCAACTCAGTGATTCTGAACAGGGCTATAATAAATCAATAAGCCTCTGTTAAAGAGGCTACTTATCAAATGTGCATGTTAGCTTCTTTATCATTTCTACTTTTTTCCATTCCATGGTCCTGCCTTATAACAACATATTTGTGATCATTCAGGAAATAAAGGCTTTGGACGGCGCTCAAAACTGCCTCTATTACATATTAAATTCCATTCTATAGATAATACTCCAATTGCAAAACATATGCTCTAGTGTATACCATATGTGTGTATGTATACATATATATACACACACATACACATATAGTGTATACCATACCCAACTAGAACAAGACAGAAGAGAATGGATGTGAAAGCACTTGGTAAACAAATATAAGACATTATTATTCCTGTCTGAGGAGCTAAAACAAGTGTGAAAAATAAAAAATTGCAAAGTAGTCATAATTGCTGAGACTTTCCAAATATCAAGGTGAAACTTATAAAAAAGTGGAGATCTGCCACAGTTTAATAAAGATTTCTGGACACTTGCCATAATAGAGCGGCTAGGTGGATAGAGTGCTGGGCCTGAAGTCAGGAATACCAGAGTTGAAACTGGCTTCAGATAGGCACTAGCTGTGTGACCCTGGACAAGTCACTTAACCCTGTCTGCCTCGGTTCCTCATCTGTAAAAAAGAGCTGGAGAAATGAATGGCAAACCATTCTAGTATCTTTGCCAAGAATATCCCAAATGGGGTCACAGAGTCAGACACAAATGGAAACAACTAAACAAAAATGCATTTGCCGTATCTCCAGCATATCTCAACTGTACTTGTCCAGGTCTTATTTTAGAAACATAGTCTTTACACAATCAGGCAACTACAGATATACAATGTTACACCTACCCTCTCCAATATAGACATGTAATAGCAACAATAAACCCCAGAGGTTCAGTGATTAACCAAATGTCCATTACTGAACAAGCTGAAGCTTTTAAGTGGAGAAGTCAACTTTAAGACCTAACTGTTGATTGCTATGCTAGATCAATAATTCTCAAAAGTATGTGGTCTGAGGAATCACTCCCTTCTTTCAGGAGGTCCATGAGGTCAAAACTATTTTCATGGTAATACATTTTCATTTCTAACTTAATAAATATCAATAGACATAACCCACATAAATAAAAGTTCTTGAGGGGAGAGGGGGATTATCCTCAATTTTTAAGAATGTGAAGGGGTCCTGAGACCAAACAGTTTGAGAACTGCTATGCTAGGTGACTGCTTCAAAACATAAAAGCAAAGCAAACTCTTGATATATGACTGAAACAGGAACTCTTCTACTCCATAAAAGGTAATTTACAAATATTATACAATGGGAATATTTAGTGTTCTTCAAACACAAGTATCCCTTGTTATCATCCATCTGCATTCTAAATGGAATTTAATTTTCATGTAATGTATTTGAATGGGCCTGGTATGGTTACCAATATAAATCAGAACCCTTCTAATTCTTACTAGATAGTCTTAATGAGTCATTGCAAAAAAAAAAATCTATCATCTTACAGCCAACCTAATATTGAGACTCTCCAAACCTAGCCAGGCTAGTCCTTGGAAATTAAACATACAGTCTCTCTCTACATCTATACTGGGTGCCTTGTCAGCCTTACAGGACCTGTCCAGAGCTTGTACTCTGCCAGCATAGCTTCAAGAACCCAGTCGAACCCCTTACTAAAATGATTCATCAGAGGACTTTAGGATGTGACAAAAGTTTTATATCTAATCTATCATGTTGTGTTAAACTTACTCCATTATTTTTATCTCATGCTTTTTCCACTGGATAACAACATCATCCAGAACACTTTCAGGGAATAACCTTGTTTGATATATAAAGGGATATGTGTATAGTTTTTAAATTTACAAAAACATTTTCTTTACGCCAATATGTATTTGACTAAGCCTACAAATACTCTGAAATAAAGTGATATACCTAATTAGTATTTTAAGAAACACATTTTAACTTACCAATATAACCTTTATTGAGTGAATCTACTGGGGGTGCTGCAAACTCCTATAAACAAAACAAAAAGGTTTCCCTTGCTTTACTAAAGGAAAATTATAAAAGAAAAATTTATATTGCAGTTGTATAAACACACTACCAAGTAAACTATTTTCTTTTGAACAGCTTAGGTTTTCCATTATGTTCCATACAAAGTAAATGCCTTAAAATAAAATAATTTTTACAGTTTCATGTTACCAATAGGCTTACCCTTGGAATCTTAAATTTCTCAAATAATTTTTAAAATCTGAAAAATTAAAAATGAATTCCAATTTTGATGCATCCAAAGAACAGTCATGTCATAATTAGTGTGTCATTACTGAACTTTGTTTCCATGGTTTTTGTTACAATCAACTCTATTATTAATCCTTTAATTGCTCTTTGGAAATAAAAACAAGAACTGGATAAAAATGCTACTGGATTTCCCAGTCAACTGCAGTGTTACAGACATTCATTACCATCTAATAAGAGAAATGAGAAGCATCATGGCAAAAGGATAGTGAGCTTCCCTGGTAGTAAGGAAAACCTGGGTTTAAGTCCAGCATCTGACACATCCTGGCTATGTCATCCTGGCCGTTACTTAACCTGTCAGTGTCCCAGGTAAGTCTCCAAGACTCCATCTGTACTAGTAGAGAAAGTATCCTCACCAGGAGCTCCCTACACTGATGAAATCAAAGGTCTGGTAAAAAAAAAAAAAAAATGACCAATGAAACTAATTTGGTAACTCTTTTAGATGATTAAATGAAAAAGAGACCTACCGCTTTAACTCCACAAATTACTGTTGTATTTCCCAACTTCACTAAAGCAGAACCATCTGCAGTAGTAATTGAACCTGATATTTAACAGATTAAAAAACTTATTAGAAAAAAATTTCAAAAGTCATCTTACCAGTAATTATTACCAGGTTTAACATTTTTTGTCCACTTGGTTAAAAACCTATCATGGCTTTACATGTATTTGGAGGTTCTCGTTAAGTCAGTGAAATTTTGCTTCTAGTTTGCCTCATTAGTCACTGGACAGAAAGTAGTCTAATTCTATCTAAAGTCAAGTCCAATTCAACAAACATTTATACTGTGCCAGGTGCTGGAATATAAAGACAAAACCCAAACAATTCCTGTCCTTGAGGAACCTATATTCTTTAACGGGATACAACTAGTATACTGATAAGTACAATATGAGGCAATTTGAGTAGAAGTGGGATTATCAGAAAGGATGGCATAGAAGGCAGCATCTGAGAAGAGTTAAGATAGTAGGGAATGCATTTCAAGCATGAGAATCAATACATTAAAAAAAAGCAGAGATGGAATGTAGAGATTGAAGAACAACTACTAGGCCAGTTTGGCTGGAATAAGAAGTTATATGAAGGTAAATAATATGGAATACTACTGGAATGGTAAGTAGGAGTCAGACTGTGAAGGGCTTTAAGTGCCAAACTGAAGAATTTGCATTGATACCAGAGGCAACAGGGAGCTACCAAAGTTTTTGAACAGAGAAGTGCCAAGTTTATTACAGATAAAATGACATACTTACACAGGTTACTTTAACTCACAATCAAGTGATTATCCTAAAGTAAATTTCATTACAAAACATTTTGAATCCTTTGCTTTACTGGATTTGGTTGCTGCATATTGCTGAAAACAAACTGGGGCTTAGTAATATTCCACACATAAATTTTTATTTTAACTACATTTGTTAAAATTAGAGTTGGTTTATTATTCATAAGAGAACCATGATTCCAACAGCACTTCTTACTCCATCTAGCCTTTCATAAATAATTAACTCATATACTTAAGCCTGTGTAAACAATATATGATGGGTAAATAGGAACAAATATATTTGTTTAAAAAAAAGCATTTCCAAAAGAAACAAGAATTTATCACCAGTGTCCAACAAACACTACATATAAAGTTGGTTTTGTATTACAGCATTTACTTTCTTTTTTAGGACATAGAGTACTCTTACCTATATTGACAGTAGTGGTCCTGAATTCCCCAAGCTCCCTTCCATCTGGACGGCAGTTCTCTTTCTAAATAAATAAATATGATTCACATATATTTATCTTGATAGTCCTACAGATATATCATTCATTCATTCATACTTCTCTACATCATGCTGTGTGAACCCTACAGAGGCTTGGCTGAAATCGTGTTTGAACTAAACAATAACATAAACACAAGGCATATAACAAGAGGCAGAGTGTAATTCCTGGCTCTACCACTAACCCAGTATGACCTTGACAAGTCACTTAAACTATGCCTCAGTTTCGTCATCTGAAAAACGAGGGACTTAACTATATAACTCTGAGGTCTCTTTCAATTCTAAATTTAAAGTTTTAAATGTACCCAGTTGCCTTTACTTACCAAAAATCTCCTATAATACTCCAAGGGTTCCACTGTTCTGAAATAAATGAGTAAAAATAAAATTTATTTTGAAAGATTCACAAGAATACTAGAGCAAACATTGTATTCCAAGTTATCTAGTCTAGCTCATTCTGACATTATAACAAGAGTGCCTGTAAATCTGTAGATCGTTACACAATAGATTTATCACACATCCTTAACATCACAAAATACTCTTTGTTTTTAAAGGGTCCCTGTGCAGTTTCAGCTCCAATGCACCTCTTCTCCCGGGGCCCCAGCTTTGTTTCTTTAAACATTTACAGATTTGGCCAACAGCTTTTATTTAGGGCTGGATTTTTTTTAACTGCAGTAAAAGAAGCAAATTCTGTCACATCTCTGTTTATACCACACGTCCAGCCCCTCTTGGATCAGATGGAAGTTACTGACTGGCAGCTGCAGCAACAAGTGCGGAGACTCCCGGGAAAGAAGAGCGGTAAAGATCCGGGTGGGCTGGGAGGGTCCGAAGCTCCCCTGCCCCCTGCGCTGAGCGCCCGGGCCCACGGCACTGGGGAGTCTCGCTCCACTCTTCTCAGGCCAGAGGCGCAGAGGGCCAGGTTAACCCGCACAGCTGATGGCCCTGAAGCCCGACCCCCTCCCCGAGACACCCCACTCCGGGAAGGGGAAGCGAGGCCCGAGGAGGCAGAGATAGAGGGGATCCCGGGGCGCAGAAGGCCGAGACGGCCCACTCAGGCAGGCGGCGAGACTCAGTTCTCCCTCTGCCGCCGCCGCCCCAGGAGCCCCAGCCCCTGGCATCTTCCCGCGGTCCCCGCCGCCCCTCCTGGCGGAGTCCCCGGGGGAGACTCACTTGAATCCAGCCGCCATGTTCGACGAGTCCCACGTGCTTCCCGGCGTCCGCCGGCCGCCCTCCCCCGGCGCCCGCTCCGCCTCTGCACTTTCGACACGAAGTCCGGCCGCCCAGCCTGCTCTGGGGCCGGGATTGCAAGGGAGGGCGACGAGGACCAGCTGCGGGCTTGGTGACCTGGCACTGAGCGAAGCGACGGCATCTCTCTGGTTTTCTTTGGTTTGGAATTTTAGCGAATCTCCGTTTGGGGAAACGAAGAACACGGACTCGGGGAAATCAGGCTACGAGGGCATCTCCCCCGCGCTGCCCCCCCGGGTTTGTGGGGAGCGCACCGGGGCGTGGTTTGCCCGGACCCCCGGCGCGGGAGCTGGAGGCAGCTGCTGCACACGTGGTCTGCAGAGAGTTTGCAGAATAGAAGGGAGGAAGGCTTTGAGCACTTAGCTGGGCCCAGTGCAGTCGTTCATTTGGCCATGTCACGGTGTGCGTCGGCCCTCCTGCTCTTCCCTTTCTTTCGAGGAAGATGGGAGGTTTTCTTCACCCAGGCGTATCCCGCGCGGGGGAGAGGGTTATTTGCAACCACTAAAGATGCGCCTTCCGCCGACTGGGCGACTAGAAACACTAGCACGTTTTTGGTTTGCTTGTTTTTACAGGTAACCCATTATACACCGTATAAAAGCACCACTTGGTATATTCGACTCCTTTGGAGATAGACCAAAACATCCATCTCTCGGAGAGCTCGTTCCTGGGAGTGAGATGAGGTACGACCAGGGACCTTTCGGAGACAGAACTGATAGAAAATTGGGACTATCCCCTTTCCCCCCAAGGAATTCCGTATCTTAAAAAAATAAAGCCAACACACCAAACCTCAGGAGCAACCCCTAGCGAAGATTACATAGAATACTCCTGAAACAGGAAACTTGCGAGGGGCGGGGCAAGAAGCTCCGGCTGCACATGCGCAATGGGAGCCAGACTGTCAAAGCGAGGCTCGCAGGGGCGTGTTGCCGGCAGGCGGCGCTGTGACAGCGGGCCGGAACCGGACCCGGGAGACGCGCCCCTCCCGACGCGGGAGGCGGGGCGCGGCTGCGGCCGTAGCGGCGAGCGGTCGGCGCTTCCGCTTAGGTGGAGGTGCGGGATAGGGCCAGATCGAGAGAAGCTTTCGGCCCTGGGGATGGAGGATGGGGCCCTTCCCGGAGCAGCTGGCGGTGCTCGTCGTGTTGTTGGCGGCCGCGGCGCTGATCCTGGTGAGGAGGGGGAGGGATCCGGGATCCCGGCCCGGCGGGCCCGCCTTCCCCGAGGACGATTCCCCTCCCAGGCTCCAGGGCCTGGCAGCCCTGCCTAGGGTCTCGGACCCAGGCCCCTGCCTCCAGCCCTGTCAGCTAGGCGAGCATCCCCGTTCTCAAGCCCTTGCCCTAGTCCGTAGACTTGGAGCTGTAAGGGACCCTGGAGGTCGTCGAGCCCAACCCCCTCATTTTACAGATGGGAAAACTGAGGCTTGGCGAAAGACTCAAAGTCTCATTTCTTTTCAGACCCAGGATTTGAATCCAGCTTCTCTGCCTCCAAATCGGTGCACTTTGCACCCCACCTTACTGCCTCACTTCTCTCCAGTCTTCTCATCACAACCTCTGTTCTGGATTCTGCGACCCTGACATTTTCTCTTCATTCCTTGGGCCACGTGCCCCGTCTTTTCTCCACATTGCCCAGGGAAAGTGGTGACAGGGCAGTGCCAGAAGTAACCTCATAGTAATAACTAAAGGACAGATGAATAAGTAATCGAATGAATGAGCATACCAAAAAGCCCTCATATGCTAGGTAATGTGATGAGAGAGATGAATGAATGAATGAAGACAATCCCATTTGGAAACAAGAAGAGGTAGAGGTGCATTTAGACTATGCTATATGTTTGGAGTTATGATATCCCCTTACAGAAACCCCTGATCTCATTGTTACAAACTGTTACAAGAAGTTTGATCTTGTACTCTCTACTCTGGTAGAATAGATACTCCTAATAAATTATGAAGAATTTTAAAAGGAAATTTTAGCTAATGTCTGTGTAGTAGATGGTACAGAACTGAATCTTCCTAGAGAATAATATTCTAGGCAATGTGTGTTTAGTAAATACTGACAGTTTGGACTTCTCAGTACTCTCAGTGTAACTGTGGAAGATTTCTCACTAGATGAAGCAGTGCACAGAATAATTATCTTAATACCTTGGGACTTGTATCCCTTTGTCAAATTGGGCAATATTAATTTTTTTCAGATAGTTTAGCTATATCTATTTCAGAGATAGGAAGAATCCAGCATTTGCCCCACTCATTTGAAATTGCCAAACAATGAACAATTAAATTCAACAAGCACTTATTAAGCATCTTGTATACTCTGTGTGCTGTGTCCTAAGAAAACAAAGAGGGGGGAAATCAGTTTTATTGTAGAACTATAATAATAACTAGAGCAGAAAAGCTATGTTATTGCCTCAGATACTGACATATGGGGAGACACCACTTCTTCCTTCCTCAGAATTCTCACTAGGCCTGTGCCCCCTCAGGAAGGGGCCCAGGAAAACAATGAAGGAGCAGAGATTGGTTGCAGAAGAGGAAGGATCTGTCCTCCCTGTCTCCTGCTGTTAGGGATCCTCCTTTTGGTGGTTCAGAAAGGTCGGTGGGCTCAGGAGAAGGCAAAGGAGTAGGATTGCTAGTCTTGGGGAAGATGATATGACACACACCTGTGGGCACATGCACTCTGGACTAGACACAGACTTGATGCCCCAGAAACATGTTAAGCTCGACTTGTCTGAAACTGAACTCAATACCTTTCCTCAAACATTTCTTTCTTCCAGTCTTCCTTATTGAGGTTAAAGGTACCATCCTCATGGTTTCTCAGCTCCATAAACTTGGCATCATCCTTTCCCCCTCACTTGCCTTAACCCCACATATCCAATCTGTTGCCAAACTTGGCTTTTCTACCTTTACAACATGTCTCACATCTGACTCTTTCGCTCACACTTTCATTTTTCCCCTAAATATCTTCTCATATTGTTTCTGTGTTGTGATAATCACTAAAACCTAATTTTCTCTGGTAGATGCTACATTTTCTGACACTCTCTTCAAACCTGGCTGCTACTTATATGTCACAACCCCAGACATATAAGGCCAGGAGGAAGAATTGGCATATTCCTTGCTCCCTAGTACTCTCTTTGCCACTGTCACTCAGCAGCCCGCTCTTTCTTCTTTAAGGTTCATTCCATTATGTCTTATCCTTGTGGCTGACATCTCTGGAACTCCAAGGCATTCTTCCTTCTCCCTAATGAGTTCAGTGATTGGCTCATAGATATCTTTAGCCCAGCCTCGCCCCACATGACTTCCCAGTTCTTCTGCCTCAACTCCCATGATTTGTCTCCAGTTTATTTCAGCTACATACAGGAGTGTTCATACTTTAGCTGAATTTACTCCAGTTCAGGAATCTCTAATTATGACTCTCCTCTCAAGGAGCTTATATCCAACCAGAACTTACATTCAGTCCATATAATAAGTTGTATAGATTAAAGTGGATAACTTTCAAGCTGTACAAACAGTTTTTGATATTTAGATCATTATTTCTTGACAAAACATTATTTCTTGGACAAAACTAATTGGTTCAGCAAAGCAACTGCTCTGTTTACATCATCATGGTAGGTGCTGAGATTGTGGTTTAAAAGCTCAATCATGAGTCAGTGGTTACCATTGAGACAAATGAGGCAATAGCATATACAGTGGAAAGACCATCTGGGCTCAGATTTCACTTTTGATACTTGGTAAGTTACTTAGCATGCTTAGGTCTCAGGGACTTAGATTAAATAGTTTAGGTCCCACTAGATGGAAGTAGAGGTGAGAATACATTCCTGAGTATGAAGAGATATTATGTGCAAAGACGTGGAGATGGGAGTTGGAATGTTACGTGAGGAGCAGCAAGTAGGCCAGTTTTGCTATGTAGTAGAGTATATAAGTAGAAATTATATGTGGAAATATAGTCTGAAGTCAAATGAATGGTATTGGATGCCAAGCTAAGGAGTCTACATTTTAACCTAAGGCAATAGGGAGCCACTGAAGAGTTGAGTAGGAGAGTGATGTTGTCAGATCTGTGTTTTAGGAACATTATTTTGGAAATAAATGTGGAGGCTGAATTGAATAAGAAAAAGTCTGGAACCAGGAATTCCAGTTAGGAAGCTATTGCAAAAGTGCAGACTAGAAGTAATAAGGGCATGAACTAGGGTGACAGATGGAAGTAGAAAGCATGGAACAAATGCCAGAAATGTTGCAGACATAGCAATAACAAAATTTGAAACTAACTGGATAAAGTGGGAAGGGAGAATGAGGAATCAAGGATGACCTTGTGTTACAAGAAGGATGGTGGTGCTTTTGACAGAAATAGTAAAGTTCAAAAGAGAGGGGAGTTGGGATAAGAGGGATGTCAGGGAGGAAGGGAGGGAAAAATAATGAACTTTAATTTAGACATGCTGGGTTTGAGATGCTTATGGTCATCTAGTTCAAATTGTCTGGGAGGCTGTTAGTATTGTGGGACTGGAGCCCAGGAGAAAGACTGAGGATGAAAATATAGATCTGAAAGTCACCTGCAACTAAAACAATGGAAGCCGATGAAATTGTTGAGAGAGAAGAGAAGAGACCCTAGGACAGGGTCTTTGGGTGTTCCCATGAGTGGAGAGAGGGACTTGGATGACAGTACATCAAAGGAGACTGAGATAAAGTAGTCAGATGGGTAGCAGTAGAAATAGGAAAGAACATCACGGAAACCCAGATAGGAGGGTATTTCCAACTATCCCAGAAGGGGTGGTGAGCAGTATGACGTGTTCCAGAGAAGCGAAGAAGAATGAAGACTGAGAAAAGGCCACTGGATTTGAGAAATAAAGGAGAGGAAAGAATAAAAAAATAGCTCAAGGTTTCAAGCCTAAGTGCTTGGAAAGTGTGATAGTGCCACTAGCAAAATGTGGAAATGAGTAAAGAGACAGTTATATGGGAGGATTCACTAAATCTGTTGAGCAGCTACTCTGTGCACTCTGCTGAACTCTGGGCATGCAAAGAGAAATGTGACCCAGACCTGCCTGTTTCAGGGAGCCAAGAATTTGATGAATGGGTGGAAGGATGAACAAATAAAAATCATGCAAGGATTAAGTTAGAGTAGATAAGTACAAAAAAGATGGCCAGGCAAAAGGCCATGAGAAATTTGAGGAGGGAGAGGGCACTTTCACCTGGACTCCAAGCAGGACAGGAATCAGAGAAGACTTCAGAGAGAAGATGACATCTTCTCTCTGTTAGATATTAAAGGAAGGGGAAGTACTTCAACAGGTGGATATGGTCAGAGGAGGGATAGGAAATGATTCCAGGTGTGGGGGTGGCATAAGCAAGGACACAAAGTAGTTCCATTCATCTGAAGCATAGATTACATGGAGAGTGGTATGAGATGTGATTGGACAGGTGGGAGGCAGTCAGACTATGGACAGACTTGAATTCCAGAGTTAAAAGAGAGCCACTCAGGCCTTTTTTTTTTTTTTTTTTAATGTAGGAGTGTTATAGCGATTGGAGCAAAGCGTAAGATCATGTAGGCAGTAGTGTGGAGGATGGATTAGAAAGAGGTTTGACTGATGATGAGAAGACTAGTTAGGAAGCAATTCCAATAATTTAATCAAGGAGAGAGTACCTAAGTGAGCATGGTTACAGTGGAGTAGAAGAAGGGCCAAATATAAGAAATAATTTGGGAGTAGAAATGACAGGACTTGCCAACCAATTGTATATGTGGATAAGAGGCAGAGGAAGGTCATAGATAACTCCCAGGTAGAAAACGTAGGAGCCTGGGAAAAGGATAGTGGAAGGATTACAATTGTTAATTAAAACTGGCCATTGGTAAGGAGTAGAAGTAAAAAAGTGAAGAGGGAAGAGTAGGTCCTCCAGACATTTCCAGGTAAAATACTTAGAACTAAAAAATGACATTTACTTTCGGGCTGGGAATGGAGGAGAAAAGCAGCAGTAGGAGTATCCAAAGGGAAAAGAATGCCATCAAGAGCAGTTCTTTTGGATGGTAGCAGCAGCAGTGTGTCTTCAGCCTTCTTGGGCAGCACATTGGGGTCTCCATAATTCCCTCAACAGCCAGGAGGTGCAATAAATAGAGCTCTGGATCTGAACTCAGGAAGACCTAGGTTCAGTTATACGCTTCCTGGCTTTGTGACCTTGGACAAGTCATTTAACTTCTGCCTGCCTCAGTTTCCTTGTCTTTAAAATGGGGATAGGTTGGTAGAACCTACCATCTAGGGTTTCGAGGATAAAATAATATTTGTAAAACACTTTGAAAATATTAAAGCACTCTGTAGTTGTTAGTGATTATTATTACTGTTAAAGAATCTCAGAGTGAAGGCCAGCCTTTATTTCAGTTTTATACATCTCAATAGGATACCAGAATTATGTAGCCATATTATACAAAAACAGATTTTAGAAACTATTTTAACTGTACCAACCTAACAAAGAAAGACTAGAATATATTTAACTGTATGTTTTATTCTATTTTTAGCTTTCTTTTGTTGTATTTCTATCTGCTACCAAAATTCCAGACATTTACTGGCAGAAGGAAGAGAATTTCTTTTTAAATGCGTCTGGCAAGAAGAAAACTTTACCTACTATACATGACTCACCAACTAAGCAGTTATCCATTGTTGTGCCTTCATATAATGAAGAAAAACGGTGTAAGTACAATTTGGTTTTGGTAGTAGGAAGGAACTTGGGGTGGAAAGAACTTTTGTGTCCTGGCATTTGATTTTACTCTTTTCCAGAATGTCAATAACTATTAGGCAACTATAAAATGTTTTTTAAACAGTACTGAAGTTTTACAGAATGCCTATTTCATTGAAATTATTTTTAAAGGGATTCCTTGAGATATTATTTGCTTCAGTTTTCCTATTTTCATAGTTGAATGGACAATAGACAAAGATTTGAATTACCATTCTATCTGTAGCACTATGCTAAAAGACACTGGATGTGGGAGCATGACTTGCACCCTGCCTTTCAGAATCTGGCACTCTAGTTAGAAACATAAGACATGAACATTGAATAATAATTGTCATAAGGACTGAGCCTGTGATTTCATTGGTATAAGGAATTCCCAAGGGAGAAAACTGCCTCTACCAATTCAGATTAACGCCTTATCTGCAACTTATCTTCTTAATGCCTCAGATTACTGAGACTCTTTGCCCAGAGTAGCATAGCCAGTATATCTCAGAGGTGAGACTTGAACCCAGGTCTTCCTGCCTTCAACAACAACTCTCTTCACTATACTAGATTGCCTGTCTTAAATAATAAAGTAAATCAAATTCAGCAAACTCCAAGACATTGTACTAGACCAACATACAACATGTAATATATAAAGAGATCTGTTTCCCAGTGAGAAAACCAGTTTGGCTAGATCACAAAATTAATACTAGAGGCCATTGAGAGGTAGGTTAGGGCCAGATTGTGGCAAACTTTGAATGTTAGGCTGAAGAGTTGAGACCATCAGAGTCATTAAAGGATTTTAAGCAAGTTGCCTTCATGAAATTAACATTTTAGGAAAGTAAAACTGATATCAGTGCAGGACAAGTTGAAGGAAATTGAGGCCAAAGGCAGGAATACCAGTCAAGAGGCCATTAAAATTTTATAGTTGTAAAATCATTAGTGCCAAGACTAGGGTGATGATAGTGAAAATAGGTATGAAGGGACTGGTATAACATAGAAGGAAGAGTAAGGAATAGCCAAAGATCATTTGATCAGGAAGTATATGTTAAGCACCTCCAGTGTGCTAAGTGCTGGGCCTTCAGGATTATAAGCATAAATCACGAAAAGAATTGAAGTCTTTTTGATGAAAACAGTAAAGGTACTTTTCCAAGAATAATGTTCTCATGGAGCTATAGTGTTTCCCTCAAAAGATTCTCTAGAATATCTCCAAAGGAAGAGAAACAAACACAGGAAGCAGCACCTGGTATGGGCCCTAAACTCTGTTATTTTGCTTGAGAAAAGGTAATACTTAGATAAAGATATCCCTCAAGGACAGAGTAAAGACCAGGAAACTTTAATGAATAAAACAAACTTGATATGAATAGGTAGGAAAGACGGTTTTCATAGCAAGTGTAATTTCATACATGTGAACTGGATTCAGATCCTTGCTCTGACATTAATTGGCTGTATGTTCTTAGATAGGTCATTTCCCTTCTCAAGGTCTAAGCTTCCTCATCTTTAAAAATGAATTAGACCACTCTGCCTCAGATCAGACAACAGCTGGGTAGGATTGTGCTCAGTTCTTAGCACCACATTTTAGGAAGCACATTATTCAGCTAGAGCTAATCCACAGCAAGACTGCCATAATTGTGAAAGACCTCCACTGCATGCCATATAAATAATGTTTGTGAGGGAACACTCCAGTCTGTCCTCTACACAACTGCAAAACTTGATCTCCGGAAAGCACTGGTCCCATTGTGTCAGTCAGTCAGCTATTAACATTTAGTAAGCACCTGCTGTGTCTAGTACAGGGCTGAATGCTGGAGGTACAAAGAAAGATAAATGACAGTCCCTGCTGTCAAGTAGCTCATAGTCTCATGGGGGAAACAGCATGCCAACAACTATGTACAAACAAGATGTAATTATAGAATAAAGTAGAAATAATCAACAAAGGGAATGCACTAACAGGTGACTGGGAAAGGTAGCTGGAGTAGATGTAGAAGGTGGAATTTTAGATGGAATTTCAAGGCAGCCAGAGAATCCAGGAGTAGAGATAAAGAGAATAGCATTCCAGACATGAGAGGCAGCCAGGAAAAGTGCCCAGAGTCAGGAGATGAAGTGTCTTTTTCAAGGAACAGCAAAGAGGCCAATGTCACTCAATCATAGAGTATGTGTGGGGTTTTAGAAGACTGGGGGCAAGTTATGAAGGCTTTGAATGTCAAACAAGGTTTTATGTTTGATCCGGGAGAAAACAGGGAGTCATTGGAGCTGATTGAATAAAAGGGTGATGTGGTCACTTTGACCTCTGAGTAAAGGATAAACTGGAGTGGGGGGAGATTAGAAGCAGGGAGACAAGCTAATGGACTTTTCTTGAGGTGTTAAAGACCTGTACCAGGGTGGTGGCAACATGAGAGGAGAAAAGAGAATATATATGAGAGATCTTATGAAAGTAGAAACAGCAAGACTTAGCAATGAGTGGAATATGGAGGGCGAGAGAATGAAGAGTCAAGGATGGCGCCTAGGTTGTGAGCCTGAGTGACTGGGAGGATGATGGTACTCTGCATAGTAATAAGGAAATTAGGAAGAAGAGAGGATTGGAAGGGAAAGAAAATAAATTCAGTTTTGGACATGTTAAGTTTAAGATGTCTGAGTTCTGCAGTTTGAGATGTGCAATAGGTAGTTGAAAGTGTGAGAGTGGAGATCAAGGGAGAGATTAGAACTGGACAAATAGATCTGAGAGTTATCTACATAGAATTGATAATTGAATCCATAGTTGTTGATGATATTGCCAAGAGAAATCGTATAGAGGGAGAAGAGAAGAGGGGTCCCAGCACATAACCTTGGGGGACAGTCTTGGTTAGATGAAGACCCAGCAAAGGAGACTAGGTAGGGGGAAGGTAGGAGGAAACCAGGGGAGAACAGCATCCGGAAAACTTAGAGAGAAGAGATTATCATGTACACAAGGGTGATCAACTTCAGAGAGTTAAGAGTAAGAGGAAAGGAAGTGGAAGTGATTGATTTTAGCTAGCAGGAATGGGTGGAGGTTTTTGGTTTGGTTTTTTTTTTTGTTTGTTTGTTTTTAGAATGGAGGAAACATGAGTATTTGTGTAGACAATGGAGAAGCAGCCAGTAAACAGCAGAAAAATTAAAGGTAAATGTGAGTGGAGATGATAGAGGGGTCAATATGCTGGAGAAGATGGGATGGAATGGGATCATTTGTGCATGTAGAGGGGTTTGCCTTGGCACGGAGAGGGCTCCGTTTTCATGTGAGTCAAATGAAGGAGGGGATAGTAGAAACACATCTGAATAATGTGAACGGAGGAGAAGGAAGAGGGGAGAAGAGGAAGCTCTCAGCACGTAGCCTCATTTTTTTCGGTGAAATATGAGGCAAGATTTTCAGCACAGAGAATTGAGGGAGACAACAGAGCTTTAGGATATTCTCATAGTTGGGGGTGTGATATGGGTGATGAAACTTGCCTCAAGTCTTTTACCACTCCAGTCATCTTCTACAGTTTCCAAAATGATTTCCTTTAAGGGCAAATCTAACTATGTCACTTCCTACTCAGTAAACTACAGTGGTTCCCTGTTACCTCTAGGACCAAATATACACTCTTCTGTTTGACTTTTAAGGCCTATGTTTCCAGCCTTCCCATGTACTACAATGTAATAAAATCAGCCTTCTCTCTGTTCTTCACAAACAGAACCCTACCTTCTATCTCAGAGCCTTTACATTGGTTGTCCTTCATGTCTGGAATACAATTTCCCCTTACCTCCACTTCTTAGAACCCTTCATTTCCTTCAGGACACACAGATCAAGGCTCCCCAATTGCTATGATTGTCTCTGCCTAATTACCTTTTATTTATCTGACTATACTTAAATGTCAAGTCAACAAGCATTTATTAAGCACTTACTATATGTCAGGCACTATGAGCACTGGGAATACAAATGCAAGCAGAAAGACTGACCTGTCCTCAAGGAGCTTACATTCTAACGGGAGGAAGACAGCACATAAAAGAAAGCCGAAAAGCTGAGAGGAGTTGTGAAGGCACGCAGGCAGGGGCATGGTGGAGAAAGTCCTGTCAAGACGAGTCAGCATTGTAGCCTGGAGAGGAGTGAAGACATGGTCGGCGTGGGCCTGGGCCTGCCCCTTTAAAACAAAGATTCTAGAAGAACCAGCCAATCAGAAGGAGAAGCCCCAACCCCATTCCTCTTTAGAACTTCCCTGAGTCATCATCTAAGTTTACAAACTTGGTATTATTTTTGGCTCCTTTCCCCTTCCCCCCACCCCCACCTCAGCCCCTTATCCCATGTAGAATAAAATTCTGTGTTTTAGGCACAAGCCTGAAAGAAACTTTTTTTTTTCTTAATTATTCTCATACAAGATTTTCTGCTAAGAGAGTATCAAAGGCTGACAGAGTCACTCTGATTCTGAAACTCTTTACTCTTAGACATTTCAGATTTGCCTTTCTAGCAGTCCCTGACAATAGATAGGTTTCCACAGTGAGATAAAATAAAGTTGTAATGTTCAAGGTAAAAGTCACTTAAGATTTTGTTTGATTTGGAGTCACTAACTTTTGGAATACCTTTGAACAATCATTTTCCCAAAATCATTCAACCCATTTTTGACCACTCTTTTCAAGGATTTTCAAAATGAACCAAGAGATACTTCCCATCTTCTAAGGAAGCCTTTCCCAACTCCTCTTAATTCTAGTGCCTTCCCTCTTTTAATTATTTCCTATTTATCCTGTGTATAACTTGTTTGTATGTTATCTCTTCCATTAGACTGTGAGTTCCTTAAAGGCAGCAACTGGCTTTTGATTCTTTGTATCCTTAGCACTTAGCTCAGTGCCTCACACAGAGTAGGTTTTCAATAAATGTTTTTGACTGACTGACTTGCATTTTTAAAGAAACTTTGCTTTCTTTTTTTTTCTTTTTTTATTAATTTATTTATTTTTAGTTTTCAACATTCACTTCCACAAGATTTTGAGTTCCAGATTTTCTCCCCATCTCATGCCTCCCCCCACCCCAAGATGGCATGCATTCTGAATACCCCTTGCCCTAATCTGCCCTCCCTTCTATCTCCCCCCCTCCCCTTCTCTTTTTCCCTTCCCCTTCAATTTTCCTGTAAGGCAGGATAGATTTCTATACCCCATTTCCTGTGTATCTTATTTCCCAGTTGCGTGTGAAAACTATTTTTTTTAACATTTGTTTTTAAAATGTTGGGTTCCAAATTTTCTCCCTTCCTCCTTCCCCACCCACCCTCACTGAGAAGGCAAGCAACTTGATATAGGTTATACATGTGTGGTCATGCAAAGCACTTCCATAGTAGTCATGTTGTGTAGCTATATTTCCCTTAATCCTATCCTGCCCCCCATTTATTCTATTCTCTCTTTTGATCCTGTCCCTCCTTAGAAGTGTTTGCTTCTGATTATACCTTCCCCCAATCTACCCTCCCCTCTACCATCCTCCTGCTCTCTTGTCCCCTTCCCCCCCTGTTTTCCTGTAGGGTAAGATAGATTTCCATACCCAATTGAGTTTGTGTGTTATTCCCTCCTCAAGCTAAATCCTATGAGAATAAAATTCACTCATTCCCTGTCACCTTCCCCCACTTCCCCTTCACTATAAAAGCCTTTTCTTGTCTGAATTATGTGAGATAATTTACCCCATTCTACCTCTCCCTTTCTCCTTCTCCCAGTATAATCCTCTCTCACCCTTTAATTTTATTCTCCAGATATCACCTTCATCTTCAACTCACCCTGTGCCCTCTATTTATCTATCTATTTACATATATATAATTTTTTCCCTCCAACTGCTCTTAATACTGACAGAGGACTCGTGAATTACAAATGTTATCTTTCCATGCAGGAATGTAAACAATTCAACTTTAAGTCTCTTATGGTTTCTCTTTCTTGTTTACCTCTTCCTGCTTCACTTGAGTCTTGTATCTGAAGGTCAAATTTTCTATTCAGCTCTGGTCTTTTCATCAAGAATGCTTGAAAGTCCTCTGTTTCACTGAATGTCCATTTTTTCCCCTGAAGGATTATACACAGTTTTGCTGGGTATGTGATTCTTGGTTGTAATCCTATTTCCTTTGCCCTCCGGAATATTCTATTCCAAGCCCTCTGGTTCCTTAATGTAGAAGCTGCTAAATCTTGTGTTTCCACAATACTTGAATTGTTTCTTTCTGGCTGCTTGTAATATTTTCTCCTTGACCTGGGAACTCTGGAATTTGGTTACAATATTCCTAGGAGTTTTCCTTTGAGGATCTCTTTCAGGAGGTGATCAGTGGATTCTTTCAATTTTTATTTTGCCCTCTGGTTCTAAAATATCAGGGCAGTTTTCCTTGATAATTTCTTGAAAGATGATGTCTGGGCTCTTTTTTTGATCATGGCTTTCAGATAGTCCAATAATTTTTTAAATTCTCTCTCCTGTCTCCTGGATCTATTTTCCAGGTCAGTTGTTTTTCCAATGGGATATTTCACATTGTTTTCTAATTTTTCATTCTTTTGAATTTGTTTCACAGTGTCTTGATTTCTCATAAAGTCACTAGCTTCCAATTGCTCCATTCTAATTTTTAAGGAAGTATTTTCTTTGGTAAGGTTTTGGACTTCCTTTTCCATTTGGCCAATTTTACTTTTTAAGGCATTCTACTCCTCATTGGCTTTTTGGACCTCTTTTGCCATTTGGGTTAGGCTCTTTTTTAAGGTGTTATTTTCTTCAGTATTTTTTTGGATCTCCTTTAGCAAGCTGTTGGCTTGTTTTTCATTATTTTCTTGTATCACTCTCATTTCTCTTCCTAGTTTTTCCTCTACCTCTCTTACTTGCTTCTCAAAATCCTTTTTGAGCTCTTTTATGGCCTGGGACCATTTCATATTTTTCTGGGAGGCTTTGGATGTAGGAGCTTTGACTTTGTTGTCTTCTTCTGGTTGTATGTTTTGATCTTCTTTGTTACCAAAGTAAGATTCTATGGTCTGACTTCTTTTTGCGCTGCTTGCTCTTGATCCCAGCCAATTACTTGAGTTATAAACTCTTTGTTAAGGTAGAGGTCTGTTTGCAGTGTGGAGAATATACTGTCCCAAGCTTCAGGGGTTCTGTGCAGCTGTTTTCAGAGATACTTCTAGGGACCTGTAAATTTTCAGTTCTTCCAAGGTGGTATGATTAAGGGTGAGAGGTTTACTCCTTTCCTGGCCTGTGCTCTGGTCTATGAGTGACCACAAGCACTGTTTTCTGCCTTGGAACTGTGAGGAGGATTTCCTCTCCACAACCACTATAAGCTCCACCACGCTAGCACTCCTCCTCCCCCCAGGGCCGCCACCCAGAACTGTGACGCAGATCCAAGCAGGGGCAAAGCAAGAGAATCCTGCACCAGCAGAGGAATCCCTGCAATCCCCCTCCAATCAGCCACTCGATTGACCCTCAGTCTGTGGACTGGAAGCTCAGGAAGCAGCCACCACCCCAGGGCCAAGCTCGGGGACTGGGGCTGGGACCGCGCTTCACTCTCTCACTGCAGTCACAGACTTTTCCTACTGACCTTCTAAGTTGTCTTTGGCGTTTGTGGGTTGAGAAGTCTGCTTGAGATTCAGTCCTCTGAGGTCTGTTCCAGGTTTGCTGAGGCCTGATTTGCCTCATGCCCATGCAGAACTGCGTTCCTTCCCACCCACCCCCCACCCCCAATGGTCTCATGGCCCCTATCTCAGATGTCCCCTCTCCAGTCTATCCTTCACGCCACTACCAAGTGATTTCTCAAAACTCAAATCTGATCATGTCCCACTTCTACTCAATAAATGCCAGTGATTTCCTTTTTGATTCATATTTGATGCCCTTAGTATCAAATATGAATTCCTTTTTGGCCCTTTGTCCTAAACTACCTTTCTAACTGTATTATATATTATTCCCCTTCCCAAACTCTCTTCCAATCAGTCTGACCATTTTGTGTTTCTCACTTACTGCGTTTCTCCTCATTTTCACCTCTTAGAACCCTATTTCCTTCAAAATTTCCTGGTCCTACTAGCTGCCACTCCCTTCCTCCTCAAAATTACCATGTATTATTTTGTGTCTGTCTATACAGAGAAATGTCATTTCCCCCTATAGTAAGTAAGATCCTTAAGGGAAGGAGCTGTCTCACTTTTGTTTTTGCATGCCTGATACCTAGTGACGCATAGGTGGTGCTTGTTAGTTAATATAATTACAAAGAAAATTATATAGATGCCTAGTTTTTGTTCTTTAAGGTTTTTTTTAACTATCTAGAAAGATCATGTTAACATGAACTCATGTATAGAACATGTAGAAATTAGTAGGATAAAAATATGCCCATAGATAATGGTTTGATATCCACAAACAAGGATAGCTATTAATAAATTCATTTTTTAAAAATGTGTTTTTATGGATGCCTTTTTTTTTTCTTCCTGGTATCAGCCTACCCCCCAAAGAGCCATCCCATAAAACAAATAGTACTATTTTAAAAGAGAGAAAAAGAGGATAAAATCAGTATAACTGATTAGTACATTGAAAAAACCTGAATGTACATTTGTGAACCAATTCATTAACATTTTATTTAGAGTTGTATTGTGAGAAATGATCATTTGTTTTCCTTAGATCTACTACTTTGATTCTATGGCTGATATGAAATAGGGCATCTATCAAGGAATATGAAAAGAATGTCTTTATGAAATTCACATGTATTATCTTACTGATAGTCTATGATGACTAACAAACTAAGAACACGTCGGCTAAAACACAAACTGCTGATTAAAGAAGCATTAACCTGACCCCAAGTAAATTTCTGATGATTTATTTTTTATTTGACTTTATCCTTGCCAGATAAATTGTATACAAATCAGAAGCAAGGATAGAGAAATAGGCATAGAGAAGGGAGTAGAATTCTGCATACATACTGACAATTTGGTAAAGAGGGACACTTTGTAAAGATTTTATTGTTTAAAATAGTTCTTTTCAAAAATTTTACGAGCATTAAGTGCCTCTATTATGTGCAAAGCACTTTGATAGATTCTGGGATACTGAGGCAAAAATAAAATGATTCCTCACTTGAAGAAGTTTATGTTCTACTAAATCAAGAATTTTTGTGGTCTAAGGAGAACAGCATTTTCTAATGATTATTTAAGATATATTTCATTTGAGTGAAGATCTTTAGTATGACTCAGTTATAGGAAGATTTCTTACTTCTCTCAGTGCCTATAATGTATCCACTAGCAGAAGGCAGATTTTTCCCTAGTAGCAAGTTTGTTAATGGGTTCTTGTAAGATCCTCCTTTTTCAAGCAGGTTAAATTATGACAACTCATCTTCCAATTTATTTGTGAGACTCCAGCGTAGCACTTACTAGATAGTATTAGTTGTATCAAAGACATACACAAATCTATTGCTGACTTACTGACTTGGTAAGTAGTTTTGGGAAGCAATATCTAACTGCTTTTTTTTTTCAGTGCCTCTGATGATGGATGAAGCTCTGGGATATCTAGATATGAGACAGGTAAAATATTTTCTTATTCAAAACATAAGGTCTTTTAATTAATAAAAAAAACACTCATTGGAGTAAAGATATTCTTTATGACTTTTGGGTCAGAAGCTAAATTCATCCCAAGTAATAGTCCCTGGAAAGGAAGCAAGATCCCATTCTTGTATGTAGAATGCTCCCTTAGGCACCATGACAAAACTAGCATGTAGATGATTCTCTATACCTCTAACTGAAATTGTAAAATATATCCTTCAAAATTCCTTTTTTGTAACCTCTCCTGCCTCCCAGTCCTTCTCATTCCCAAGTACTACACCTTCTAGCTACCATTAATTAATAAGCTGAACTATTATGGGGCTACTTGTATATGAATATCATTTGGGTTAAGACATGCCAGCTTTAATGTGTAGAGGAGAGTTTTTGTTAGGGGGAGAAGGGTGGCTTTACTGATACCTCCTCTTCCAGCTAACATCATTCTGCACATCTGTAAACTGAGTAGATTGGCCGAGATGGCCCCTGAAGTCCCTTCCAGCTTAAAATCTGTATTCCTGCTCCTCTTGCCTGAATCAGATGCTCAGAGCCAGTAATTTGGCACTTCCCTAGTGAAAAACAGGGTCCATATGATTGTGGTAAATGGTTTTACCTAATGAACAATATACTTGAAGTGTTACCGTGGATTATTGAGCTAAAAGTTAAACTTATGAGTTATTATTTTATTAGCACCTACTGACAGACTGGAATCCTGTTGAGAGACATGTAAAGATACCTAGCATATAAGAATATATTTCTCGTATATTCCTGAGTGGTGGTAAAGTTTTGAATTTAATCTTCTCACTTAACACTTCTTGTACAAAAAAAAAGTTATCCTTAATTTATGTTCAGTAATTTTGTAACTTGGATTTAGCTATAGGGTTTAGGATTGGACCTGTGATTCCTTGGCATAGGGAACTCACGGGTGAGGAAACTCCTTCTGTGCATGAAGGTCAGCACTTTCTCTACAACACCAAGCCTTAGAGAGTCACCCAGATGACTCAGAGTTAAGTGACTTGTCTAGAGTCACACAGCCAATATGTGTCAAAGGCAGAGCTTGAACCTAGGTTTTTTTTTTTACTTCAAAGGCAGTGCCATCCAACGGCAGGCTACCATGCTGCCTCCCAACTTGAATTTAAGTAATATAGCTGATATGTGTTATTTAATTGAAGTAATATGGTACCACTGTGCTCTTTTAACTTTTGCAGATTTTAAGGAAACAGCATTACTTAAATTAGGTCAGTAAATTGATTTAATTCCAAATGCTCTTTTCATATCCTTGTATTCTCCCTTCGAGTAGTCTCCCTTAGATTTTGAGAAGAAAGTGTTTTCCCTTAAATAATTCTTTAGTTTTTTTCTTTCATCTTCTTTAAAATAACTTAAGCAACTATTGGAAGATTCCTTTAAGAATATCCATGTTTAATGACTTGAAACATAACATTATATTCAGAAGGAATATATTATTTGCGCAAATTTAAACACATTGAGGAAGACCAAATACTCAATTACTTCACTGCCTAGCACAGACAAAAGAGACAGCTAGTCAGCAATTACTCTTCTATCTCTTTGCCTAGCTGCCTCTTCCTTCTTGTTTTTATTTTGGTATTATGTATGTATGTATATATCATTATTCTTATAAAGATACTTTTAGTTTAATTTGAAGGGATCATTCTACATTTATTAAATAAAATTACTTTTAAACTGTTACCAGGATTTCTTCTAGGGGCAATTATGCTAAATTGTATGTTCAATTTCTGTTTTTTGAAGAAACAAGATCCTTCATTCACATATGAAGTGATCGTGGTTGATGATGGAAGTAAAGACCAGACTTCACAGGTAAAGAAGCAGCTTTGTGGTGCTTAATCTAAAAAAAATGTGACATTAGACGTAATAATAATATCTAGCATTTATATGGCTACTATGTACTAGACACTGCACTAAGTGCTTTATAAATATCATCTCATTTTATCCTCACAACAGCCCTGGAAAGTTGATGCTATTTTTATCCCCATTTTACAGTTGATGAAACTGAGGCAAGTGACTTGCCCAGGGTCACCAAGTAAATGTCTAAGGCCAGATTTGAAATCAGGTCTTCCTAACTTGAGGCCTAGTGCTCTGTGAAATACAGTGTCACCTGGCTATGCTATTTTCACTCAACAAGGCTGCCTGTATAGTTGCCTACTGCTCTCCACTTAAGTATAAGGGAAGGAACAAAGAAAAGTTTCCAATAAGGGAAATTTTTACCCTCAGTCCCACTAGTAGTAATGCATACAGAAGAATGCTAACTGTTGTGCATGAAATTTATTCCTTCTTTGCATGCCTCCCTCTACTATAAGCTGTGAAGGCTATTACACTGAATCAAGCTAGTGGTCAGTGTCCAGCTTCTGGAGCTAGATGGTGTCCTTATGAATTAAGAACAGGATTATGCAAAATGTAGAGGCAAGATTTGTCAACTAATTGGATGTGGAGGATAAAGGACAGGGAAGAATAATAATTCCCAGGTTGCTGCCTGGATGACTGAGAGAATGGTGGTATGTTCAATAGAAATTTCAAAGCTTGGAGGGAGAACAAGTTTAGGGGAGAAAATGATGATCTATTTTGGATGTATTTGAGAGGTCAACAGTACATTCAGGGAGAGATACGTAGCAGGAAATAGGTCATATGAAGGATAAGAGCTAGATCTAGAGATTTGCTAGTTATTTGAATAAAGATGGTAGTTGAAGACTGGGGGTCAGATTCATTTATTTATTCAACGAGCATTTATTAAGCAACTACTACTATACTAAGCAGTGTGCTTGGTGCTAATGATACAAAAACAGAAAACCAAATCACCCTGCCCTCAAGAAGCTTATAGTCTAGTTGTAGAAAACAAAATACACAGCAAAGTAAACAGATAGAAGATACATTGTGAAATTAGAATCAACAAGACTTGACTACTGGATACAACAAATGAAGAGGAGGCAAGAGTCAAAGGCGACTCCACAGCTGTAAACTTGGGTTACTGTATGCATGGTGGTGACCTCAGAAGAAGTCAGAAAGTAGGAAGAGGGTTAGGTTTTAGAAAAAATATAATAAGCATCTAGGGATGATACTGTAATGTAGGGACAAGATTAAGAATCATCTGTAAAGAGACAGTTGAACTCATGAGAGAACTCATGGTGATGAAATCACTAAGAAAGTAAAAATTAAGGAGAGGAGAGAGCCCAGAACGGTTTTGTGGCACAACCACAAGTGGAGTGTGGTACATGGATAATGATTCCTCTAAGGAAACAAAAAAGGGAAGGGGGGTCAGGCAGATAGGAGGAGGACCAGGAAAAAGCAGTGTCTTGAAATGCCAGGCAGAAGAGAACCTCTAGGACAATAGTTCTTAACCTGGAGTCCATGAACTTTGGAGGAAATATTTTAATAACTGTTTCAGTATCATTGATTTCCTTTGTAATCTTGTATATTTTACTTTATACCTTTAAAAGCATTCTGAGAAGGGTTGTGTGGATTTCACCAGTTTACCAGTGGGGTCATGACACACACACAAAAAAAAAAAAGGGTTAAGAACCCTGCATTAGGAGAAGGGGGGGAAGTCAACATTGTCAGATGCTGTCGAGAGATCCAGAAAGCTGAGTTCTAAGAAAAGGCAGTGAGATTTTGTAATTAAGAAATATTGGAAACCTTAAGAGAGCCATTTCTGTTGCAATAAGGTCAGAAGTCAAATTGCAAAAGTGAGCAAGAAATAAGAAAATGGAGGCAATAAATGTGACCAGCTTCTTCTTGAAGTTTGCCTGAGAAAGATACGAGAGAAGTATGGGACCATAGCTTAAAGGGATAATAGGATCAAGAGAGGACTTTTTTCTTTAACTTAAGGATGAGATCACCAAGGGAGGAAACGTAGGAAAAGATCTGAATAGCCCTTTGAGGAATCACCACTCTTGAGAAGGATCTAGATGATGCACCAGCAAAGAAGGCTGAAAGGGACAGTCCCATAGTTAGGAACTGAAACAAGAAGGCAGTATCATGAAAGCTACAGGAGGAGAGTATCCAGAAGAAGGGAATGGTGATCATGTACAGGATATAGTTATAGTTTTTAAACCAAAATAAGAAATATAGAATTCATATTTTCTTGGCAACTCAAATTAATTTTTTATTACTTTTATGTACTTAACAGATTGCTCTTAATTATTGCCAAAAATATGGAAATGACAATGTACGAGTAATAACACTGGTGAAAAATCGTGGGAAAGGTGGAGCTGTCAAGACGGTAATGAACACTTTTATTTAAAATACAAGCATTCTTAGTAGCCCTGCTGACTAACATACACATATGATATATTTACTTACATCTCCTCTCTGACCTTTCCATTTATGAGATAAATGATTATCTAGATGACCTAGCTCCATTTATCATTTTACCTTCAGATGATTACATGTATTGGTATTCACATTCCCATTCATATTTCCAAATTCTGCGTAACCTTCTGGCATTCTTCTGTTTTCTAGAAATCCACTAAAAATGGACTTGCATTGCTTGAATGTCAGATGTGACTCCACTGTTTTTATTTCTTTTCACTCGTATTCTAATTAATGTGATACTACACTGTGATATTACATTGTTAATATAATATGATATATAACACCACCAACCAGAAATGGATTTGTCATTAGGCAATAGAAATTATCTCATTTATGTCTACATTTCTAAATGTCATACCAGTATTCCAACTATATATAGTTTGTGGTGTTTCAGTTTCTCATTCATGTTTCCAAATGTTTTATGACGGGAATTTAGAGCTATGCTATATATAGTTATATGATACACATGTAAGCTATACAAAGGACTATCATTTAAAATTACATTCGCATGATTTACTGAGTGTCATTGGTAACACATTGGTAAAGTGGTAGCTGGATGAATTGACATTAGTTGCGTTTTAATGAGGTTCGCTATTTCTTGACTTAGCTCCATGTAACATCTTTAGATCTTTTGGTAAGAGATTTCCTAGATAGACCTCCACTCTCTGTAGGCAGGCAGGCAATCACAAGGATTTATTAAGCACTTGATGTGTGCCGAGTACTATGAAAACCAGACAGAAAGGCAGACACATGATTCTTGCCCTCAAGAATCTCATATTCTAATTGAGACATTTCACAGTAAGGCACCACACCATAAAAGTTACTTTTTATTCCATAGATCATGTTTTGTAAAATACTATATTATGTATAAAGAGTATACCTATGGCTCAGAAAGGTCCTTAACTTCAACAAAATCTATGTGAATTCTTTCAAAGTACCAGTAGCCTTATTCAACTTTATTCATATTTACAAATGATAGTACTATCAACTCCAACAACCAGATAATTGACAAAAATATTAGTGACCTAACTTAAAAGACTGAAGTACATTAAACAGTTAAATAATATTTATTCATTGCCCACTATGTGCATGGAATTATATTAAGTAGACTTTGCAAGCATTTTACAATCTAGGCTTGTAAATAAAGAATATAGACCTATGAAAATTACCTAAGAAGGTTTACTTAACAATGGCAAATGTTCAATATGTGGAAAATAACAAAAGTGCTGAGAATATACAGTAATGGGCTGATCTAAAAGCCACATGCTTTACTGGATAAAGTGAATCTTGAGCTAAAAAGGTGGTTAGAGAGTAGATTGGAACATAAAAGTGTTGTTGGCATACAGACTCTAGAAACATTTTGACAATAATAAATTATTATTTGCTACTATTTGTAATGTTAGGGCCAGGATGAGGAAAGACTCACTGAACTTAGAGACATTTAATTTTGAAATTATTCCCCAAAGTAGTTGTTTAAACCCACATTACTTTAAAAAAAATTTTTTTTTGGACAGGACCTACAGTTTCATTAGTGTAAGGTAGAGAGGTCAAATTCAGTGCCCCCAAGGGAGATTAAAATGGAATTGGGAAATGTTTAATAGCATAAATAAAAATGTAAGACAATATAGTTAATGTTAATGTGTGGTTTTCCAAGTCAAGAGGCAGCCTGTAGGGATCTATTTGAGTTTGACACACTAGTATTAGGAGATCAGAGTGAAGAACTTTCTCTCTCAATGAAAAGAGGCATCTTCTCTACAGGTTATATATAATCTTCGAGGTTTGTCTGGGGCATTGAGAGGTGAAGGAACTTGCTAGGGTCACGTGGTCAATATGTGGCAGATTTGAACCAGGTCTTCTGAATCTGAGGCCAGCAGTCTCCACTATGCACACTGCTTCTCTCTAATTAGTAATAAATTCCCACCATTCCTTTGCATCTGTACAGTCAAAAACTGGGTTGTAGCAAAAAGTAATGCAAATAAGTCAAAGTATGTAAAGATTGGAATAATTATGAAAATGGATGGGATTTATTTGATCTCACAGAATTTTAACTTTCTCTACTTCAGCCTCATTTTAGTCTTAAGTATTTCAAATGAAATAATTCAATTAAAACTTTATGTAATTTTGTCATTTTTATTAAAAGTATTTTTATTGACATTTCTAAATGCAGGGCGTATTCACTTCTCGAGGGAGAAAGATCCTTATGGCAGATGCTGATGGAGCCACAAAATTTGCAGACCTTGAAAAATTAGAAAAGGAACTTGGAAATCTACAGCCTTGGCCTGTGAGTATAATATTTTATGATTACCACTAAAATATCAATAAGAAAATATCAAAAAGAAAAATTTGTGAACAAAGCCCCTACATAAATATTAGTTACTTATCATGGAAATATGTTTACCACATAATGAAAAACAAAAAGACTCATTTTTTAACATCATTATTCTCTTGATAATACTTTTTGACTGCAGTTTATGGAACACTACAATCAAATTGCCAATAACTGAAACAGCAATAGAGAAATACATGTTAGGCATGAGTAAACTATAGTATAATGTGACTGATGGTTTGCATGCAAGAAATGGCATCAAAGATTACTTCTGGGAAATAGATCATCCCAAAAGTACATGTGCTAATTATATAATGAGACAAATGATACTGCATGGGTGATGTGAAGACTCTACTGGTACCCTGAAAATAACGAAAACCCCTCGAGGAAGGTGTCCAGTGTTTTGGGGTAGGTACTCTATAGAAGATTTGTAAGAGACATGGAGAAAAGTCACATGGGATGAGAGGCCTAGATGGACCAATACCACTAGAAGGAGTAACCACATTGATGAGCTCATCCATTCACTGAAGTATAGGTAAAAGGCCAACACAAACCTGAAATGTTTGGGGTTTGTTAATCATATTACTATCTTTAAGGGTTATAATATTGTGCTTTTTTTATGATGATTTTCCAGTGAGAGTCCAAATAACTATCCTGCCAATTAGTCTGGTGAGTCCCTAATTTTTTACCTCGTTGTTGTTGATGAGTCATTTCAGTCATATCTGACTCTTCATGACCCAGTTTGGGTCATGGCAAACATTCTGGACTGGTTTTCCTTTTACTTCTCCAGCTCATTTTATAGATAGGGAAACTGAGGCAAACAGGGTTAAGTGACTTGCTCAGGGTCACATAGCTAGTAAAGATCTGATACAGAATTTGAACTTGGATCTTCCTGATTCCGGGCCCAGTGCTCTATCCACTGTGCCATCCAATTGCCTTTTGTCTTTTACAAAGATATTAATGCTTACTATGCAAATTTATTATGCTCTCACTTTTGTTTAAAATGTTTAATATGTCTAGCACCCTTTGAGTTTATTTTTAAGCAGTTCTATATAATGTTTTCTCCAAGGGTGTTTTAGAAAATATCTTTCCACTTGATTGTATGGTTCATACAATCCTTTCCTTGGCCTTACCTAGAGGTGGACCAGGATTGGACCTATGATTAGGGAAACCAGCTGCCAGGGTGCTGTCTTCCATGACAAAATCAGCCTTTGAGTCTGTGAAGGAAGGGATAGGAGCCTGTCATCAGGACCAGAAGGGCAGAAGCAAAAGACTTGTCAAAAAATACTTGATGTTAATCACTTACTAATACCCAGAGATAATCAGTCAGTGAATTGCTTCTATTGGTCAAAAGCTGTCAAGCTTTTGGTCCTTCTCCAGGTCATAAGAGATCACACATAGAGCAAGCTGCCTTCAAGTATATTAAGGACTTTGATGTGAAAGGTGGATTAGACTTATTCACCCTATGTTTACAAGCAGTGGGTGGGAGTTGCAAAGAGACAAGATTATGCTTGATGTAAAAAGAAACTTCCTCATGATTAAACCTATTCAAAAGGGAAATGGGCTGCTTGAGGAGATAACAGGCTCCTTCTCACTAGAGGTCTTGAAGCGCAGTTTCAATGATAGTAAAAAGCACTTATTAAGCAACTGTTCAGTGCCAGGAACCATCATGGGCCCTAGTCACACAAAGACAAAAATGCAATAATCTCTTCCCTCGGGGAGCTTCCATTCCTAATGGGAGAGCTCCATAAATGTTTACTGACAGAGCAGCTACACATATGAACAAATAAAAGGTAATTTTTGGTATGGGTCAGGGAGAATCAGCAAGGCTTCGTGTGGGAGGTGTTGCTTGAACAGAGTTTTTAGAGGAAATGAGGAATTCTAAGAGACAGACGTGAGGTGGAGGAGAAGGTTCAGAAGCAGGAGATGGGGTATTGTTTGTGAGGAACAGCAAGAAAGTCAGGCTGTGTCAGAGTCAGCTGGGTCCAAGAGTGTGGGAAGGACCATCCTGCTTCCTCCTCTGCCTCCCACAAACACAGTCACTTAGCTGACAGTGCAGATGGAGCTTTCATGCGAAGCAGTAGCCACTGTTCCAAACCCAAGAGTGAATGAAGCAACTGCTGCAGTGCCATTGAGCTGTTCATTCCATCACCCAAGATAATGATAATGGTGAGGAAGAGGATAGTGACAATATTTCTATATTGCTTTACTGTTTGTAAAGTACTTTACAAATATTGTCTCATTTTATCCTTATAACAACCCTGGGAGGTAGGTTCTATTATTATCCTAATTCTCAGGTGAGGAAATTAAAGTAGACAGATGTTAAGTGACTTTCTAAGGATCAGACAGCTACTGAGTGTCTGAGCAGGGCTTTGAATTCAGGTTTTTCTGACTCCAGGAGCAGTACTCTAGCTACTCCATCACCTAACTACAGATATTCAAAAATTAGCATTTACTCTTCTGAATCCCTTGCAAGATTGAGTTTGACTAATGCTGAGACATCTGTTCACTGACATTATTAAAAACCTTTAAGGAAGGTTTTGCCATATGACAGCCAAACACTGTATAGATATTTTCCCTCTATTATTCTTCCTGTGAAGAAATGGGCTTACAAATAAAATTATGCCTTTTTGCAAGTGCAGTAACTGAGTCAAAGAAAAATGAAATTACTTACCCCAGGTCATTTAAGAAATTGAGGTAGAAGAGTATGCTAGAAATAATTCTTGAACTTCTTCCTAATCCGTTTCCTCATCTACCAGTGAAACATGGTCAGTGGCTGTGTTTGATTGACTGACATAATATAAAAAAAGAAGTCATACAAAGGGAGGTTTTTAAAAAATTTATCATTACTTTTACCGTTTTTTGAAAACATAAAATAAGGAATTATTAAATTACCATTATGTCCTTTTTTTCCTGCCCTGGTTTTGTAGTACCCTCAGATATCTAATTATTTCAAAATATCTATTTTATTTTAATTAATTAAATTTTAATTAATATCAAAATATTTAATTATTTCAGAATTCTCACAGTAGAATTCATTTAAATTCACATTAATTTATAAGTATGATAAATATAAGATAAAAAATGTGAAGGAGTGGCAAATTTCTCTGATTCCTTATAAATGGTGAGGGCTAGCAGATGGCCCTATTTGTGAATTGCTTCAAGCCCTCAGACATTGTAGTGCCACCTAAATGAAATCTATAATCATTTAAAGGATTTCATAAGCTCGTAAAATCTGATATTTAGATCTTGATGGGATCTTAGAGTCTCTTATCTTGTCCAATCTCCATTTTATAGATGAGGAAACTAAGGCCCAGAGAGCTTAAGTGATTTTTCCAACATAACAGTGATAGTAAATGAAGTTACCTAACTTTTCTCGCAGGAAAAACCAAATGATAAAGAATTCCTTTTGTCCCAAATACTACATGCAATACAATGGACAGCTCAGAGCTGTCTTGGACAGACATTGCGGATGGACATTGAACTGGGTAGAGATTGAATAGGATGAAGAAAGTGGGTTAAAATGCATTTGGGATGTTCTAAACTATAATTAACCTTCATGCAATAAAAATGAAACTGCTTAGCACCAGTGTTCTCCCTGTGATATATAGCTGGCAATCATAAAACACCAAGAGCTCTGAGGAATCAAAACTGCCAAAAGGTGATTGGGAAGGTACATGGTGAGCATAAGTAAACTGAAGCAATATTACTAACAACAAATTGTTTGCTAAAAGAAATATAAAAGTGACATAAATCATGTAACGAGAGCTGACACGGACAGCACATCTGCATCATTGGTACCCACATGATGTCCAAAGAAGGCCCCCGGTACATTAGGTGGACTTCCCATAGAGTATTTATGGGAATACTTGCACAAGAACCACAAAGGTTCAGAAGGTATGGGTGGATTGTGATTCCAGTCATCAGAGGGTACACTCAAAGTAGTAAAGTCGCAGATTCATTGAAGCTATAGATAGGTAACATCCAATACTTTTAAAGAATGGGAGTGTAGGCAAGGGGGAGGGGGAGAATACTAAGATAAAACAATGGCAGTTATAACTCTGTAATTAAGAGTCCGCAAAGAAGCCTAGTGAAAACTTCCTTGTCTGTTCATGGTGCTTGTTGTACTATATTTATATAGCACAAATTTAAAATATGGATGCTATGTTGTGGAAGCTTACTTTTTGAAGTGATAGATGGGTGACAGAATATCTAAGCTGAGTGAACATTTCTGTGACCTCACTAGAGGGCACTAGCTGACTAAAAATATTACATGTTTACCTTTTCATATTTGCAAGCATTACCTCAGGAATTTCTACAGCATTTTTATCATTAACGTCTGTCATTGTGTCCTTTCTTAAGTTTCATTTTTCATTGAAACTGCAAGAAATTTACTCCCTGTCTTACTCACATCTTAATATTGGAATGTTCTAATCGCTTTTGCGGGTCTAATTGACCTTCCAAGATCTGAAGGCCAAAATTGTATGTAATTATTTCTCTTAAAAATGTCCTTTTTTATGTTTTTTAGGTTTTAAACTAAATGGCAAATAGCTTGATCAGAACTTTTTATAATCCCTAGTTATGGAATGGGACTTTACCTTTCAATTCCATACCTTTTTTATTCTTAACATTTTTCTGGCTTTTCCTTAAAACTACTACCAAATTCTCAATTTCTGGTCAGTAAGTAACAAGCCCTATTAATGAATGTATGCTTGCTTTGCATTCATTTTTCTAAATAAAGTAGTATTTTATCCAGAGCTCATTTGTATTGTCATAATGTTGGAAATTATAGCCCAGAACAAGGAAATAAGCAAAACAAACAAAAAAAAACCCAACCAATAGGTATCACAAAGTCCATAAATTTAAAACTCATTACTTTTGATCATGGGAGAGTTTCTAAAGCCCTCCGTTGAGAGTCTGTCCGTGTGGTAGGTAATGTAGAACCTGGGTTCAGATCTTGCCTCTGAAGGTTATTTCTTGTGTGATCTTGGGCAAGTCATATCGTCTCCCTGGGCCTCAGCTTCCACATTTGTAAAATCAAGGGTTGAATAAGATGGCTTTTGAGGTCCCTTCAAACTCTAGCTCTATAACCCTGTGATCCTAATTCTAACAACCTTGATTCTCTAGTTTCTAAACCAAAAGCAGATTAAAAACATCAAATGTAGGAGAGCACCATGCAATTGAATCAAACACTGACAAGGAACAGGACAGCTGAGCGCAAGAAAGGAGAAAGAAAAACCAAACCCCAGTTTAAAAGGCACAGCAGTATAGGACCATCTAGTACAGGAGCAGCAAATAGCCCTTTCCATTTCACTGGTTCCTAATGACCCTGAGTCATCGGGAAAAGGTTACATTATTCTCTGTTTACTGTGTTAAAGAAAGCAGGGAATGCTGAAGAAACTTTTTTATGAAAAATGCCAAAAAATAACATTTTGGTGCTTAAGTGGAAGACTTACTTTCAGAGAACAGCAGCTTGTTATTCCCCAAAACAAAGAGCCACATTTTTCACAATATATCGATTATTAGTTGTCACGAATGGTATCCTAAAACCAGATGCTTATAGGAAAATTTTTACAAAAATGTAAGCTTAAAGCTCTCTCATTTTTATTGAATAGGTTTTAGGACAGCACTATGCGTGTATAGATGGTTGATTACAGAATTTTAGAATTGAAAGGTTCTTCAAGAAGTTATCTAGTCTAATGCCTCAGTCCTCTAATATCCTCAACTAGTGGTCAGCTCTTCTTTACTTGTAAACCTTCAGAGAGAAAAGACCTGCTGCTTTCTGAAGGAGCCTTTTCTCCTTTTGTTAATGATCCCATCTCTAGCAAAAACTAAGTCGTCTTAGTGAGTGTATGCCTGCAAGACAAGGATTCAGGTGTGTAAGGCCACAGCTAAGTCACGTAATCTCCCTCTGAGCTCTAGTTTTCTCATCTGTAAAATGACAATGACATCATTACACTACATACTTTCTAGGGTTATGGAAGTGATATATGAATATTAGTAGTTATTATGATAATGTCTGTGGGAAGACCCTAATTAGGGCCACAAAGAGTTGGAAACGACTGAAACAACAACAAAAATAGCACTCCGCCTTAATAGGTTGGTTACTTTAGGAGTTCAATCAGTTATCAGTTTATAAGTGTACAATCAAAGAAAAAATGCATTTCAGCATAAGACATGTTTTCCGTTTTATCTTTGCATAATTTAATTTTTATTCTCATGATTTATTCTGATAAAATCTTACTTTGTTCTTGGTTTTTTTAATTTTTTTATTTTGGAATATTATACATTTCCTTCTTTCCTTAATTCCCTCAGGCTCAGTTCTCCTGTATCACCATCCTTGAGATATTTTAGAAGAGCATTATAAGATTCTGATTAGACACTTCCTTCTTAAAAAATAGTATAGTACTTTCATGTAGAACATGCCCCACTGCCCCCACCTTTTTTTTTTTAAGCCACCTCTGTATTATTTCCCATCTTTGACAGACTAGCAAAAGTACTTGACCTGAATAGATCTGAATTCCATATTGTTCCTTAAGACCTTTGGTGGAAAGGCCCCCATATCCTCGTAGATATTCTTCCTTAGGCACAATTTTTAGAACAAGGATACCCTTCAGTTGTGAAGAAGTAGAACGTGTTGGCTTATCATTTATAAGCTCTTTAGATTAATTCGTCCTGATATCGAGATCAGTACCATGAACTCATTTCCTCCATAAGGTCCTATGCCTAATAAACTCGTGTGTTTTTCTGATATACAAAAAAGCAGAGATGTTAAAAGCACTCAAAGAAGTAAGTTGTACTGATAAGCTGAAAACAAGTCTGAAAAGATTTTAGGTAGAAGTTTTTAGCTCCCGTAAAGACTGTCACTCCTTGCCTTAAATTCATTTGCTAAAAACACACACGCACATGCACACGCACACACACAGTTTAAAAACAGTGACGTGGGGGTGGGGAGAAGCGTGTGTGCAAGCTTCTGCTATTAGTGATACAGCTTTGTGGCCTTTCTTTGCTATAAAATTAAACGTAATTTATTATTGATTGCTTGAGGGCATTGTTGTTATTGTTTTGTTTTTTGTTTGTTTTGTTTTGAGACTAAGTCTCCCCATTTCATTTAGACTGGAAGTATAGCAGCCACTCACAGGCCCAGTTCCACTGCTGGTTGGCATGACAGTGTAGACCTGCTCCATTTCCAACTTAGACTGGCTCCTCCCTCCCTAGACAATAGGGAAGGGGACCCCTGCCTGGTGGGAGGTGCTCATTATGTCGTTACTGATCTTAGTGTGAGCCTTGGTGATCAACTCTCAGAACTCCAGAGGTCACATGATCCACCAGCCTCAGCCTCTGCAGTAGCAGGGATTGCAGGCTTATGCCATCATTAATAGTGTCTTTTGATAATGTCATATATGATATGATGATATGATATTATATGGAATTTTTCCCTTTTGTAAAGTTTTCCCTCAATAGCTTTCTGCCTTACTTTCACCTCCCACTCTTATACCCCCAAGGGAAAAAAAAAAACTTATCTTAGAATGTTAGAAGGTGTCTTAAAATTTCGTCTAGTTCAACCCTTTCGTTTTATGGTGAGATGGCTGGGGTGCAAGGAGGTAAAGCCTTTTTTTTTATACAGGATCACCTAGCTAGTTAGTGGTAGAGCCAGGACTAGAAAACCTGTCTTCAGACTCCTGGTCTAGTATTTATTATGATCATTATTATTAATTTTTATTTATTTAGCACTTTATGATTTATAAAACACTTTATATATTTTCTTTCACTAAATTCTCACATCAGTCCTTTGAATCCAGTATTGTATTATTCCCATTTTATACTGGCTTTTTCTTCTTAATGTTGGCTGTTTGATACAAAGAAGACATGCAGATTAGGTAAATAAATGTATGCATACATACACGTAAAACCACCTTTTTACCTAGCCCTCAATATTCTCCCATCTGATAAGCATTATAATGCTTCCTTAAATTTACAAACATTCTGAACTATACAAAAAGTCCTAAACATTAAAGTCCTAAATAAACGTGAATAAATTTTAGAGAGCGATTTGTAACCACACCCAGAGAGCTATAAAACTGTGTATAGTCTTTGACCCAGCAATCAACTACTAGGCCTACATCCTAAAGAGATCAAAAAAAGGGGGAAAATACAGAAATATTTATAGCAATTCTTTTTGTGGTGATAAAGAATTGGAAATCTAGAGAATGCCCATCATTTGGGGAATGGCTAAACAAGACATGGTTTGTGATTATGATGGAATACTATTGTGTTATAAGAAATATCAAGCAGGATGGTTTCAGAAGAACCTAGGAAGAACTTACATGAACTGATAAAAAGCAAAGTGAGCAGAACCAGAACATTGTACATAGTAACAGCAATGTTGTAAGGATGATCAGCTGTGAAAGATTAAGCTACTCTGATCAAGACAGTGATCCAAGAAAATTCCAAAGGACTCATGATGAAAAATGCTATCGACCTCCAGAGAGAGAACTGATTAAATCTGAGTGCAGATTGAAGCATCCTTTTTTCACTTAATTTTCCATGTTTTATTTTTGTCTGTTTTCTTTGGTAACATGGCCAATATGGAAATGTTTTACATGACTTTACGTGTATGATTGATACCATATTGCTTGCTTTCTCAAGGAGGGGGAGGAGCAGGATGGAAAAAATGTGGAGCTTGAAATTTTAAAAAATTAATGTTAAAAAATTTTACATGTAATTTGGAAATATTTAATGAAAGCAATAAATATATTTTTAAAAATTAGTTGTTGAAATATATTAAGTCATTGAACTAAATATATTAAATATTATCAAATAATATTAAACATAAAGATATTTTAAATTAAATGAGTTATTATTAAACGGACACTGAAGATAAAAGAAAAATTCAGCTTCCCCACGCTGAAACATTCACATTGCTAATGAATTAATCTTTTCCTCAGTGATGAGGTGATACTGTAGGCAACTCTATAAGACTACAGATTGTATAACAGCTGCACATAAAATATTCTGTTTTTTGGTTGCTTTTCCCCACTAGGATCAAATGGCTATTGCTTGTGGATCTCGAGCTCATCTGGAGAAAGAATCAATAGCTCAGGTAAGGCTTTCACAGAGTGGCCTAGAACACTATTTGTTTTCATGTATTCATGTTGCAAGAAATTAAATGAACCTTTCAAGTTTAAGACAAAAAGACCCACTTTTTTTTCTTTTTAAAAGAAAACTTGAAGAATTTAGTGCATTTATTTATGTGCAGTATTCTGAAAATATAAATGAGGTTAGACTTTCTAAAGTTCAAAGACTGGTGGAAACAGGAAAAATAGGATACAGATATATATATTATTGAACTTCTCTTAGAATGTACAAAGAGTCCTAATACAGTGAAATACAAAACTTCGAAAGGAAAACAATTTAAAATAGTTTGTGTATAGACTAACACTGGTCATGTTAACCCACTTTTAAATGGTGTATTTTGAGTTTAACTCAGTCTAAGTGGTTATTTTTCTTAGTGTTGCCTTTGTGTTAGAAAAGTGATGAAACCTAAACTCTTATTATTCCTTTGCCATTTAGTATCTGACTTTTGTTTTACAGTATAAGATGTCTTAGGAAGGCTCCATAAACTACAAGAAGAAACTAATCTCTGGAAATTAGGTAGCATATGCTAGAAAATCTATGGGGTACCTAGAGGGAACGGAGTTTAAAATGTGTTACAGAAGAAAAATACAGTGATGTATATGTTCTACTTGTACTGAGAAATTTAACCTCATCACACTGTTAGTGTTTATTCAGTAATAATGATTCTAGAGGTGAAAGAAAATAAATATTCTCCTATTTAATTTTTATTTGATTCAGCTACATAAGAAAAATATTAATGCCTTCTTAATATTCCCTACCATAAGTTTACCTTTCAATCAGTTTAAATTGCTTAAAAACGTATATACATCGGGCCCTTGTAATTTTTTATCCTTTTATGGTGATAAAGAATAAAGGTGCCATTCTGTTGTTCCTTTGGGAGAAGCTTTCCAAGAGGATTCTTCTTTTGAGACCGAAGAATGGCCTTTGATATTTATGATTAAGAAAGGTTGGCAGAGAGACAGCTTGGCTTAGTGGTTACAGAGTCAGCAGGCTGACCTGGCTTCATGTCCCACTTCTGACACATGCTGTCCATGTTACCCTGAGAGAGTCATTTATCCTCAGTGTTCTAGGCAACTCTCCAAGACTACAGGTTGTAGAACAGTTGTTTTGGTTGAGGCAGTTTTTTCAATAGGAGTTTACTACAATAATAAAAGCATGGGTCCAAACTCCCAAATAAGACCCATTGGCTATCTGGTTGTATAACTTTCTGGGAATGGTATCCTTAATGGCAGAGACTTTGTTTCTTGGCCTCCTTTAAAAACAAAAAACCCACAATGCTTAATACATTGGACTCTGAATAAGTAGGTAGTGATGAAACAACATGAAGAATTTGAATATGGAAATTTCCTTTTCCACTAAATAGAATTGTAAACTTCTTGGGAGCAAACTGTCCCCTAACACCGATTCCTAGTTTAATGACCATGTTTTGGGTTGATGCTGCCCTTCTCCTTCTATGTTTTCTCATGTTTTCATTCTTCTCAATTTGTGTCTCTCCTACTGTTAGTTAGAATAGTCATCATTACTCCAGTATATCTGTTTGTATTCATATACTGCCTCTGTGAAAAACCTGACTATTTTACACTGTATGACAATTTCTTCAAGAGAAGCTTGAAAGTTTAAGTATTTTATATTCAACATATTCAGTATTCTCATGGGGAAGTGTTAGCTGTAGTCTCATATTACAGTAATAGTTTTCTCAGGGTTTGCTTCCTGTTAAGTCTGTAATATTTTCATCTTAGCTTAATCTTTTTATTTGCTACAGTATGTTTCATTTATGTTTTCCATTTGTCTTTTTCTTAATAGTTGATTGATTCATCAAATTCAGCAAGTATAAAGGCCTATGTTGATGTCCCATTGTAGTATGGAGGTGAACTTGGATTCTTGAAAGCTATGCCAGTGAGGTACAGGTTCTGGCAGGCTCTGCCAAGGGGAGAAAGGCCTCTAGTACAAGTCAGCAACAGACTGTCACCTAGTCACCTGTCATCCTAGTTAAGAGTGGAGAGATGGTCTCAGTACTAGAATGTTAGCCACCAGATAATTTTTTTTTTTTTGGCCATGGCTACTCTTGAAAGCATATTCTTTTTTAAAATAAATTTTGATTGATATCTTTTCTTTTTCAAAATCATCATAATTTACTCCAGTATCCCTGTCCTTTCCAGAGAGCCATCTCATGTAACAAATAGTATTTTTTTAAAGACAAAAGAAAAGAAAAAGAACAGGAAAAAAATCAGCCCCCTGAAAAGTCTGAAAACATGTGTAGTATGAAGCACCTGTGAACCTCCTACCTCCACAAAGTGATGGTTCAGAATGTCCTCTTACAACTCTTTCGAGTCATACTTGTTTTTTATAATTTTACAACATTCACTTTTGAGTTTTTGTTTAGTTCTTTACATTGTTGTTACATGTGTGTGTATACGTGCATATATATGTATATGTATGTATACACACATATATTGTTTTCTTCGCTCTTACTTCACTCTACATCAGTTCATGTAGATCTTTCCATGTTTCTCTGTATTTATCACATTCATCATTTCTTACAGTACAGTAATATTCCATCACATTCATGTACCACAATTTGTTTGGTCGTTTTCTAGTCAGTGGGTATCTACTTTCTTTCTAGTTCTTTGATGTCACTAAAAGAGCTGCTGTAAATGTTTTGTTGTACATGGGAACTTTCTTATTTTCAGTGGCTTCCTTGGGTTATAAGCCCAGTAACTGAATCTCTGGATCCAAGAGAATGTATATTTTAGTCACTTTATTTGCTTAATTCCGAATTGTTTTCCAGAATGGCAGTACTAATTCACAATTCCACTAACAGTGTGTCAATGTGCCTTTCTTCCCACAACCCTTTTAACATTGACTGTTGCCATATTTTGTCATCTTTTATGATTTTCAAGGTGTAAGGTGAAACCTTGGGGCTATTTTGATTTGTACTTATTATTAATGATTTGGAACATTCTTTCATGTGGTGATTAATGCTTTACAATTATTTTGAGAACTATTTATTTATATCCTTTGACCATTTAGCTATTGAGGAATATGTGTATGTCTGTTGTATATGTGTATGTCTGTTACATATGTGTGTGTATTTAATTGTTTAGATATCTTAGATACCAAACTCTTATTGGAGAAATTTGAAATTTCACATTCAACCACTTCCCTTCTTGTCCTAGGTGCATTAATTTTGTCTATGAAGAAGCTCTTCAGTTTTATTTAATCACAGTTATCTACTTCATCTTTTGTAATTGCCTCTATCCTTTTTTTAGTTAAGAATGTGTCTCCTACCCACAGCTATGAGAGATATATGATGTGTTCCCCTTCTAAATTTTTTTAGTGTGATCTTTAATATTAAGGTCACATATCCATTTAGAATGTATTATGAAATAGGATGTAAGGTCATGATCATCTAAGCCTAATTTCTGCCAGACTGCTTTGCAGTTTTCCTAGCAGTATTTATCATAGAGAGTTCTTTCCTAAGTAACTAAAACTAAAACTAAAGTTTTCTGCTTTATAGAGCACTGTTACTGAATTCCATTGTTTCTGAATGTCCCTTGTCTAGTCTGCTTCATTGATCTACCTCTAGTTTTTTTTAAACTAATTTCAAATGATTTTGATATCTACTGCTTTATAATATAATTTGAGGTCTAGAAGTTTAATTCCTCCTTTGTCCCTACATGTTTTCATCATTTCCCTTGATGTTCTAGATCTTTTGTTTTTCCAGGTTAATGTTGTTATTATTTTGTCAAGTTCTACAGAGTATCCCATTGATACTTTATTGATATGGCCTTAACAATGTAAATTAACTTTGGTAATATTGTCATTTTATTATATTGGCACAGCCTAACCATGAGCATTGATATTTCCCCAGCTATTTAAATTGTTCTTTATTTCTTTAAGGAGTACTTTGTGATTGAGTCTGTAAAAAGTCTTTTGTGTGCTTTGGTAGATAGGATCTTCGATACTTCATTTTGTAGTTATTTGGATTGGGATTTTCATTTCTATTATTGCTTCCTAGATTTTGTTATTAGAAATTGGTAAAGAATTAATATTTATCAGTAAAAGGAATGTTCACCCTGATGAAATATTTTCAAGTAATATATAAGACCATATATTTATCAAGCACCTGCTGTTTGCAAGGCACTGTACTATGCACAGTGGAAGATAACAAAGAATAAGATAGAGAGCTAGTGTAGGGGGTCTTCTGGCAAAGAGTATTGAGGAAGGCATGATAGAGTAGGTAGCTTTTGAGTTGAGCCTTAAAGGAAGAGGTGCCACTATCGTATAGCCCATCCTAGACCAGTAACTTCTCTAAAATATTTTGACCCTACCTGTTTTTTAAATGTTTCAGAATTATTTTAGGAACTTTAGGCAGATGCTATAATATGTATATGCCACTTTTTTGCAAATACCTTTGAAAATTACTTAGTTGACTTTAAAAGTTTTCAGTAATATGATTTCAAAACTATACAGTCTCTCTTACCTTATTATCTAGAATCCTTTTTCAACAGAAAAACAAAGGGGGACGATTTGGGCTTTTTGAAAGTAGGTGTTTTCATTACAGCTGCCTCTCTTGACCACTATTTGGCTCCTTTTTGAATATTTGTTATTGCAAGATATACAAAATTATACATTTTTAGTGACTATTAAAAGGGTCTAACAGTTTATTTTATTGATTTTTAGTTTATAATTCAATGAACCATAGAAGATAAAAGGGACTTTTTTTAACCTGGACCTATGATTTTATTGGAATGAGTAAGTTCTACTTACGTATATCAGCAGCTTGCTTAGAAGTAGGACCTGAACCCAGATCTTCAGATCCAGAAGGGACCTTAGAGGTCATTTAGTCCAACTCCTTCATTTTAAAGACAAGGAAGTGAGGTCCAGGAAGGTTAGATGACATGCTCACGTCACACAAGTAGTCAGCAGTGCAGCTCGGATTTTCCAAATTTAGCACTTTTCCCC